ACTAATTTATCTAATTCCTCCACCACTTTACCTTTAATTGCAAATGGTAACGGTCTAGGTTTATGGAAAATGGGATTTGCATCAAGTTTAATATTTATGGAGATCTTACACTTGTTGAACCTTCCCAAATTGGTTGCAAAAACACCAGGAAACTCATTACATAGAGCATCAACAGCATCGTTGTTCAAATAATGAATTTTTCTAAATCCCATATTATAATTCCTAATAAAATCTCGACCTAGGAGCAATGGATTGTTACCATCAACAACAAAAAAGCGTAGGATGCTATCTTTGAAATTAAATTTAACATTTAAGTTGATTGTGCCATGTGGGATGATCTTATTGCCAGAAAAATTAATCAAGGAAACATTTGTTTTTTTCATGACGTGAGCACCAAAATATGTTTTGTAAACATGAAGTGGCAAAACACTAACAGCTGATCAACTGTCAAGTTCAAATTTCAACATGACATTCTCAACTAAAATATCGATATATAGTGGCACATCATTGTTGCTTCCTAAGCCAGAAATACTTAGAACTGGGGATGAAAAAACGTCTGTATAATCCTCAGCAATATCATTATTAGGAAAAACATAATTAACGTGCTTAGGTGAGGATTGTTTTTTCTTTTTACACACCACACTGAGATGACCCCTACCGTGACAAGAGTTACAAATATGTATATTCCTTATAGGGGCATACATTACTGTTATGGTTCCTCCCGCAGCGGAAACAGCCCGGAGAGCGACCAGACGATGTGAACGACTGTAGCTGCGGCAGCGCCATGTTTGAGCTGTTGCCCCCACTCCTGCGCGTGCCTCCTTGGCTCCGCTGCGCTGCAGGTACTGCTGTTCCTCTATGATACCGTTGAGGATCTTGATGATAAGAAACGCAAAATACTCATACATATACTATACCGAAGCAGCCGTGCAGGGAGAAGCCGAAATGTCGGCTGCTATTATGCTATGACGATCCCAAAGAAATTTTGGTAATCCGATTTTTGAACTTTTTGTGGATTGTTCCACAATCTCGACAAAGAAGCGGTCGTATCGGACTGTTCTGGATGTACGAAGTTCGACACGGTTAGGATGGGAGGAAAGTCAGGCGAGTCTGCCTGGCAGGCACATTGCGCGACGGCATCATGGAAGTGAGCTCTAAGGAGCAAAGCCCGCTGGTGTAGCGGTAGAAGAGACCTAGATCGCCGATGGCCTGCCGGTGGGAAAGGGTCCCGAGACTGTCTGTTAGAGAAGAATCATCGATCAGTCGGACCGCCCTCCTCTGGACAGCATCGAGCATAACTAACGTAGTCGGGGCGGCAGCACCCCAAACGTGTGAGCAATACTAGAGGCTAGGCCTGATCTGGGCCTTGTATAGAGTGAAAAGGTCAGGCGGAGAAATGTACTTCTCACCCCTAAACAAATAGCCTAGCATTTTTCCCAGCAGCTGCCGCTATTGACGAGATGTGTTCGTGACAGATCAGGTCCTCGGTGATCTGGACTCCGACCGGCCGAAATGAATGGCTCTTTGGCACAAATTTTATCTTCGATGTTGTTCCCTCGAGTCCACCCTCAACCCGGAGTTTACGTTCGGAATCGAAGTTGTGTCATCTCATCTAAGTCCAAACGGCTAACAATACCACCTGAAAGTAGGCAACCCACATTGCTGGTCAATTCCGGTAATAGATGGCGATATGTGCTATCTTATTACGGTAGTCTACCACTTTATTGACGAATCTGGAATTCAAGTATTGGATAATCCGTTATATAGCCCTGACTTGCCATGCGATTTTAGCTTTTTATTTTCCTTCGTGAGTTTACAGCAAAGGCAACAAAGTTTGAACGACTCAAATGGAACAGATCTCAGACAGCTGAGCAAAAATCCATCTATGGATCAACATTTTCAGGCTTGTCCAAAATTGTTCAAGCAAGCCTCGTTTTTATACTAAATATGCCTCCTGGCAATTTCCATTATAATAGGCTAGTTGACACTTCCTTTAAGTAGGTCTTGAATAGTTAATAATTGTTCTATTAGACCAAAGAAGTAATACAATATTCATTAAGACCTATAAGACTGTGATTAATTTCAATTAATTCAAAAACATGTTTTTCTTAGAGAGACGAGATAGCTGCCCACCTTGTTTGGCCCATACATTAATGCACCCTCACGTCACACAATTTCTAAACAGCAGCATAACTTCTCAAACTTCCGAACATATAAACATGAATTCTACTAGTTCTCACGGAAAATATAGTTATATATACTAAGTGACATATAAATCCGAACACCCAGTTTAAATGGTTTTATTTTAATAAAAGTTGGTGAATGTATTTATCTTAGTGTAAATAACGAGTGAAAAAATTTTCAGCCTTATCAGTTGGACATTCCGGTTTTTATACTGCTTTTTTTAATTTACTAACGCCCTAAAAATGAATATTTCAGCCGCAGTAAAGAATCAACGTTGGCGGATTTTGGTTCTTGACATCCTTTACGATCGGTTACGATGCCTAGAGTACGGAGACCTGTACGATTTCGTCAACTTAGTGAGTTTGATACGGGCCGTATAGTGGGACTTCGGGAAGCTGGACTTTCTTTTCGGGCAATTGTAGTTAGAGTGCAAAGAAGTGTAGACACTGTGGTTAGGTGTTGTCAGGCATGGCTTCGAGAAAGCCGTACGCAAAGAGCAAGGGGCACTGGACGCCGCCGTAGAACAACAGACCGTGAAGATCGCCGCCTAAGATTATTGGCCTTAAGGGACCGTTTCTCCACTACCAGGTCCATTGCAAATGAATGGTTTGCAGAACACGGAAGACGTATTGGCATGCGAAGTGTTTACCGACGAATGAGAAGTTTTGGCTTGTTTTCATACCGGCCACACTGGGTCCTCCCTTTAACTCGAGAACATCGACGTAATCGCCTTGAGTGGTGCAGACAACGGTCACTCTGGGATCAGGAATGGAACAGTATTGTCTTTAGTGACGAGTCTCGATTTTGTTTAGGCATGCACGATGGTCGTGCCAGGGTTAGAAGGCGACGTGGTGAAAGGAGGAATCCACAGTTTTTTGTTGAAAGACATGTTCATCACACTGTTGGAGTTATGGTTTGGGGTGCTATAGCTGATGGTTCCAGGTCACCTTTAATCTTCATCAGAGGTAACATGAACGCGCAGCGTTATATCCACGAAGTTCTAGAACCCCATCTTGACACCCTGGCAGATCCAACTTTTCAACAAGATAATGCCCGACCACATGTTGCAAGAGTCACAATAGACTTCTTTCAACATAATGATGTCACATTGTTACCATGGCCACCAAGATCTCCCGACTTATCCCCAATTGAGCACGTGTGGGATATGATGGGTAGGAGATTGCTCAATTTGCAACGTCCTCCTCAGACTCTAGAAGCACTTCGAGAGGAGTTGGTGGTTGCCTGGAATGAGATACCACAGGAGGACATTGACCACCTGATCAGAAGCATGCCTAGGCGCGTTGGAGAATGCGTAGCACATCAGGGTGCATCCACACATGATTAAAGGTCAAAGGGCTTTAAAGCAGTGAAATCATTTTGAAATTTTTATCATTTACTTATTATGCTTCATTAAGTACTTATACAAAATTTTATTAAAATAAAACCATTTAAACTGGGTGTTCGGATTTATATGTCACTTAGTATATATAAAAACACATCGATACAGACTCCAAGGCAAGTTATGGATTAGAGCGCCGATGTAAATAAATATGTATACACAACAATGAGTATTGCTTGAAACATACAGGTACATTATGTTCGGGAGAAATTTTACTATGCAGTTTTTATCATCTAGTTTAAGTTGGACGATACCATCACCATCGTACGATCCCTTACAGATGTCAGACGAAATACAATATTAGATAAAATTAGTCAGAGGTTATAATCCGTGAGCTTAGTCTTGAATGTCTTCTGAAAAGAAAGATTACGTAAGTGTATTACTTATTGTTTCTTTTTATGTATATTATTATATCAGATGCAAAAAAATTACCTTGCAGCAAAGTGTCATTTTTTGGCAAATATTGCTTTCTGCTTTTAGGAATCCAACGACCATTATTGTTTTTTCAATAAAACGTGGAAAACATAACTTTTTAAACTGATTAAGAGTTATATATATACATATATAGAAATATCCAAAGATTACAGCATTCGTCTACGAGTGACATGACGTTTCTTTGTTTACAATTTGTATTACGTCACATCGTGGCAGATAGTGTTTTCACGGTTTCATCTCAAAAATCAACTTACGCATGTGCGGCTTGGTGTTTTATTGCCGAAAACACACATGCGAAATCTGCAAGTTCTGCAAAGCAGGACGTTGCGCACTATTGCTGACGCCCTATGGTATGTCTCTAACGTAACTCTTCGTAGAGACCTCGATGTCCCTACAGTAAGCAACAGGCGCAGCGGCGCCATAACCTAGCGGAGTCGCACAGCAACCCTCTGTTGCGCGAGTCAGTGGACTACACAGTTCGCAAGCACAAAAGGCCGCGGCTCGCACTGTGATCAAAATTAATTCGTGAACTTAGAACAACCAAAATTGGAGCATTTTGACAAAATCTTTAGAAAAAATCGGATATTTTTAGGCCATCTCAAAATCTGTGAAGTGAATTTAGCAATGCCTAAACTCTGCCTATTCTAAAAGATTCTCTTCTTCCTCTTTTTTCTCTCATTTCCTTCCCTTTTTTTCCTTAAAATTGTCTTGTTTCTGGGTTACCAGACCTGACAGACTTACAAACTGACAAGAGCTAAGATCCCAAGGACCGCTCTGACAACCAACGATGAGTTGATTCATAAATCAAAAACATATGGACATATACTCGTATATATCATTCTAGCGCTTTTAAAATTGAAATCGATATATTTCGTTTTCCTAAGCCGAATACTATAAGAAATACTCATTTATTCTTTGAAATTAGATAATTATGAGTCAAGTAGCCTATATTTCCATTATAATTACAGGTGATATTTTTCAGGGAATGGTGGAAATAGACCACTTTTATCAATGATCATTGCGAATCGTCCTTTAGAAACATTAGTTGGAGCGTTTTCTCAGTCTCAATCTCAGTCACAGGGACAATCAGGTAAGTCAAATAAAAACTATATTCCGATAATACAGAAGAAATGCATGACTGATTTTCTTAAAAGCAGATGTCTTAAAGATTAACTTCAACATACAGTGTGGGTACTATGAACTTATATTTAAAATCAACGTTTGAGACATGAGAAGAGTCACTCAAAGACGTGCGTATGATATTATGAACCAGGAGGGATATTACCAGAAAAAAAACAATTAAATTCTTATTTTGATAACAGGAATTTTAGGCGATTTTCTCTCCGGATTCACAAGCGTTCTACCGTCAGCCCAGCAAGTTGGACAAGGCTTTGGAGAAGGACTTTCGTCATTTGTGCAAACCATACCACAAATAGGACAAAGTTTTGCATCTTTACTACCGAATTTCGATAACTTTCAACTTCCTTTCTTACCTTCAGTTCCTCAAGGTACCTAAATATACGCAAAACAGTTTCACTTAATAGAAAAGTATGTCCAAAGGAATTCAGAATTTTCGTTACTATCTACGACACTTATCAGTTTATGCGATTATTGAATAATTTCCATCAAAACAAATTTATACGAAACAGAAAAAAAACTTAATTCAAACCAATTTATGGAGATATACGTCAGCATTTATATTCTGATAGATGATTCTATTGCACTGCTTTCATTCGATGTCTTATCTAAATACCTAGACCGTGTTGATAATTGCCAAATATCATGAAACAGCGTTGTACAGGGTTAACACTCCATTGGATTTTAAAATCTGCTTATCCCGTAGGAACACCTCCGGTAGTACCTGTCGAACCACCTCTCGATCCTGTGGATCCAGACCTTTACAACGTTGCAAAGCCAGTAAATGAACCAATAATAGATCGTGTTACAGGTCGACCATATATTAGAGTACCATCTGGTCAGTACTTGGTTGCATAGTGACTCTGCTTTTGATACTCACATGCATGATATCACTTGGGGTCTGCTTTTAATAAATCCAGGGCAGTTTTAACGTTAATTTGATGACAGGTTCGGAATCGACGTACCCGGCGATTTACCCTGGTAATAAGTTTTGATGCAAATCATAGATATCTGGGCGTTTTTGAAAATTGATTAGTCTATAGAATATTTTCCGGGCCCTACTTATGGTTTGTTGACTCATGGTTAAAAATATTGTTTCTTAGAATAACTGAAAAATTTTATATAGAATTGATTTTGACCCCACAGGGGCCCACTTTAGCTTGGTTTTATCACAAAAACTGATTTTGCTCTTAGTCTCGAAAGTCCTCAAAACATCAGGACCCCGATTACTACTTTGACGACTAAAGCTAAGATCGAAATATCGTTTTCGATTAACACATTCATCGCCAGGGCGGACACCAGTGTCCGCTGCGTTGTCGGCTTATTACGCCAGGGAGGACACCGGTGTCCGCCAGGTTTAAAAATCAATATGTCCCCGGAAATCCTAAATCTCATAAATGTCTTGATATTAAAGTATTATTTTTGGCCTCTAGAACGGTCTTCTGACCGTGGTTTTCTAAAGAAGTGTTTTGTTAAAATTTTTTGGAAAGTGTCCGCCACGGTGTCCGCTGTGGCGTGTAAAAAAGTTTTAGAAGCATCTGTACTCAAGGCGCCAGAGCGGACACATTTCTTTCCATAAAAATATAGACTACACTCAGGGTTACTAAAACTTTACTATTGTGTTGAAACAAACATTTTTAACATTTTTTTCGTACAAAAGATGTTCAAAAAATTCTTCCTTATAGAGTGTTATATGAATACATTACATAACAAACATTTCAACATATTTTTATGTCTACAAAAAAAATGGCAGAAAGTTCCTATTTATTATGGCCCTTATTAAAACATTCCAAACAGTATCGAGGTTGATCTGGACAAGTTTTACAAAAAGTGGTAACTTTTTTACTTTGTTTTTCGGTATTTCATTTTTTAATTTCTTCTTATAGCAACCCCTACAGTACCTTCTTCCGACTCTTGAGTTTCCTGGATGTTTCTCAAATGCATGTGTTTTTTTTTTAACATCGGGATCAGTCAATGGTCTATCTAGGAGCTTATCAATTATCGCTTCACGAAAATCTAACAAACTTATTTTATTTCCTGTGACTTCCTCATACAGCAAATGAGAATTGACAATCGCAGTGCCCAGTATAATTTTAATGGCAATTTTGTGGTACCATTTAACGGTTTTTCGTACGCAAGATCCATAGCTTGCAAATTGATCTGAGAGATCAACTGAAGATTTGCCTTTGTTATAGTCAACTACCATTAAGGGCTTTACTATTTCTTTGCCTCTTATTTGTATTGTCAAAGTTTCATTGAAATGATAAGTGGAAAGCATAAGCACATCCCTCTTATCTTTCCATTTTAGGATAGAAATTCCATGTTCTACTTGCTTTGCTTTGATTTCTCCTTTTTTTAGCTTTGCGCCAACAACTTCTTTTGGGTTGCCCCTTCTGTTTGCTCTTAAAGTCCCCATCAAATGAGTTCTTCTTTGAAGTAGTTGGTTTGCAAGATCTATACTTGTGTAATAATTATCGGTTACAGCCATGCGTCCAGTATCTAAAAGTTTTTCACTAAGTTCTAAGACAATCTTGGTAAGGATTGAGTTATTTTGGTCAGCTTCTTTTCCAGAATAGATTTTCATGTTCCATGTGCAACCTGGTCCTGCGCATAATTTGAAAATTTTCACGCCGTATGTATGGGCCTTATTAGGAATGTATTGTTTAAAAATTAATCTGCCTCGGAAGGGTATTAAACTTTCATCTATGCAGAAAACTCTAGCTGGTGTATAGAACATTTGACTGTTGCATACGAATTTGTCCACTAAAGATTGCACTTAATGCAGTCGACTATTTGAATCATTAGACTGATTATCCGAAAAGTGAAGCATAGTTAATATTAGCTCGAAGCGATTTCTTGGCATGAATTTTCCACAAATCTGGTTTTTGTATTTGGAATTAGTACTCCAATATCTCTCCAAAGTGGGCATTTCTACCAAACCCATATAAGCAGTAATACCAAAAAATTTTTTTATTTCGGATACAGTGGTTGGAGTCCATGAGTGAAATTTAGATGATTTTCCGAAATCTGAATCTTCTGACATCAAGCGCTGAGAAGCAAATAAATTTGTTTGTTCAACAATCATTTCAAAAATCTCATCATTTATCAAGAGATTATAGAATTCATGGGGTTCTCCTTCTCCAAGCAAACTTATTATAGCCTCGTTGATACAGTTGCCGGGGATGTATTCAAAATTATTTTGATGAATCGAAGGAGGTCCATCATCGTAATTAATTTCTTGAATAGACTTTCTGGAAACAGGACTGGGTACAAAGTCCTGCATTTCATTTTGATTTTGAAAAGTTGAAAACTCCATGTAACCTGGACCCCCCTAACTGCTTTCAGTGTCACTCCCATTTGGTGAATAATTTTGATCTCGAGAATCATCAGAGTCATGGTACGTATCTAGAAAGAACCTGAAAGTATATAGTTTTTACCCAGCACATCAGCACAGTTATTCTATTCAATTGGAAATTTCATAATTTTCCATGAATAAATAGTTAAGGAATTGAAGTTTTGAACTTGAGTATAACAAGTAGACGTAATACTCCAACGAAGTTTCTTTCCATCGCACGTATTCAGAGCCTTTCCTTGTCACAAGTATGTAAATGTGTAAATAATAATACAAAGCTACTAGTAGAGAAACAGTAACCTTGAATATATGGTATTCTAAATATAACCAATGAATCAGGTATTACGGGTAACCCCTGGTGAATACAGTAAATCTCTATTTTTATATTAAACGACAACCCCGTACAAATAAGTGAACATTAGATTAGCTATCCAATTTTTTTTTTGCAAAAATATTGCATGCGCTAAATACCACAGAGTACGTGTTATCTACACTACTATTTTATGGAAATACTATAACATAAATAAAAACGTACCTTCCATGTCAAAATCACTATCAGAGTTTTCATTCTTATTCTTTTCCACAAGGGACATGATATGTCTTGTTCTACTGCTCATTATGACTTCCGTATCGAACAAATTAGAATAAATACGTGGAAAACCAATGACAAGTAACGAAGTAACGTCTACCAAACTAGGTTATGCCATACTGAGCATAGGAAGGTATTTCGCACGAGATGCGCCTCGTGTCCGCTGACAAATTTGTGTCCGCTATTGTGTCCGCCACGGCGTGGCCAAATGGAAAAAAATTGTCCGCCCTGGCGTGATACGACCGAAAAATTATTTTTTTACGAACGGCGCCAGGGCGGACACCAGTGTCCGCTGAACCGCTCTTATGGGTGGCGTACTGGGAAGTTTTATGAAAATCGACTTGGCGGTGAATGTGTTAAAAAACTAGTTTTGGTCGAACATAATTTTATTGAAAATTATGGTGAATGTGCGTATGCGAAATTTCATTCGTCATAATTCTGAATAAGAGGTTCCTATTTTGCGTTTGACAATGTACACATTTGTATCTCACCGGTTACAATAAACAAACAAGCCTCGTCTGACCATCGGTATCTCTAACGTCAATACGAAGATTTATGGCATGTCAGCCTACTCAAGTTGTTTTCAATTACCTGACACGTTATATGCCGCAAGTAGCTTCATATATACCAGACGTATCGGCGTTATGTACCCGACGCGTTATCCACTCGAAGTACATAGCTTCATTCATATGGGTATTATACCTGAAATATCAGACTAATTCATTATCGCAGGATGGACCTTTCTAATTAAAAAACAAAACCAAAACAAAATACCTGGCGTTGACGGATCCGTCAGAATTATGTGATGGATACTCGTGAAATAGGGTATAGTAATTTATGGTGGAAAATGTTAGGGATTAGGCACTGAAAATGTTGTTCAATAGTCTAGAAAACCTGAAAAATTGCGTCAAGTAGATTGACTCTGTACTTCTCAAGCAATTATGGACAAATGAACTTCATATATGCTATATGCATCAGTTATAGTATACGAGTCAACTTTTGTACGCTCTTGATTGTTTGACGGCTGTAAAAATCATTGTATCCAGACATAAGGCGGCAGAGTAGAATGGAGAGGAGTGAAAACAAATGACTCACTAATGACTGTATGCTTAAATCCATTTGTTTTTTCATTTCTTCATTACTTCTGTTAGATCAACGTAAGATAACATAGAACACGTCAATGGAAACAATTTACAGAAAATCAATAAGTAGATAACACACATTAGTGAATGACAGTCAAAATTAAATAAGCATTGAAATATAAAATAGACAAATTTAATTAAAAACAAATATTGAAATAACAGATTAAAATATTGCTATGTTCAAATGATATAAATAAAATAGATGGAATTCAAAAAACATAGAATATAAAAATGTATAAGAACGGTAACTGCTGAACACCTTCGTTCAAATTCACATGGGGAAATGGCACATATCATATTGCAGAAGGGTCTTCAGGGGAATTGGTTGAATTTTTAGTATTTTGTGCATTGTGATGTCCTGATAAAAGTATCTATGCGCACAACAATAAATAGGGTTTATATATTCTGGAATGGCCTCGAGGGCCGATCTTCGGTGCCGACCTTGACGTCACAAGACCATGAAATGCAAGATCACAGACGACGGAAATGAGTGGCACGGTTTTTTGTGATGTCCGGTGTCACAGGAAGTAAAAACGAGTCTTCTGGAATGCCCCGTCAGTTCTAGGATCACGTGACATTAGATGCGGAATCTCCAAGTACCCGATTTATCCAGATCATGAATACGAAAGGGTTTTCAAGAAATTACAGTATCGCAGAATCTAATCATATGACTTAATATTGCCGATGTTACAGGTCGACCTTTCTCTAAAATACCACCTGGTCAGTACCTGGTCGCTTCTCATCCCTGGTTCGGTACTCACACGCATGATGTCACTGGGCTTGCCGATGTTTTTAACCCTTTTAAATTGGTGGAGGAGGCAGCTGAAGCTTTGGTAGGGCTGTTCGGGTGAAACTGGTGTAAGGTAAATAGATCAACCATCATTGAAACTTCCCTATTTAGTGAAACTTAATCATCTAATTTTCATTCAAAAATTAATGCTTACATCTGAACCTTTTATCTTAGAAGAAAAGTTCATTCTCGGAGGTAGTTGCTGCTAGTATTTATAACAATATAGATGGTAACTCTAAAGTGACGTCCTTAAACTAATTCAAGAAAGATACCAAAGGTATATTATTAATGAGTCATAGTGGAACACACTATGCATAGTCACTGCATAATTTTGATGCCCACCGTTTGCCATATCCATAATACCATATTTTCTTTCTTTCTAACAATTCACAATGTGTACCATGCTCTACCTTGCCATTCATGTTATGTGTTACATTGTATTTTATTTTTTTATTTTTTTGTTCTCATGCCATCGTATATAGTGTATACCTTTCGCTTTAGTGGTTCAGTGTAAGAATAGCCCACGGATAAAATTTGCCACTGTTGTTAAATTTACATGTACTTGCATGCACTTAATAAAGACGAATTTAAGCTAAATCACATAGAAATTGCAACGCCGACTGGAAGTGCTGTAATTTTGAGCATACGAGTACATTTACAAGTATAAATGCAAAGTGATTAGAATTTTAACTAGAAATTTCGCAAAATAGCTTAGATATCTTCAGATATAATAATGTGTTGAAGCTCCTATTCGCTACACATTAGTTAAGTCGTCGCGGCATTGATTAGATTAGATGATTGATGTGTTCTTGGTGTATTGTATCCCAGGTCCTCCGAATTTGGATTCGTAGGGCCTCCAGTGTTTGTGGAGGGTGCGGTGAATTTAGCAACCTCCTTCCCGTCATGTCCCATAAATGTCTAAACTAACACGTGCGACATGAGGTTGTGTATTGTCCTGCTGAAAAAGTGGATCTTGCAATGTTTCCAAAAAGTGAAGCCGATATGGATGTAAAACTTCGTGGATATAGCGCTGGGCAGTCCTGCTACCTGGATTGAACACTAATCATTATCTGCTGCCGTAAGCAATGACACCCCATAGTCTGCGAACTCGAGGCATGATAATGCAATGAAACAAATGGAACCAATACAGATAAATCACTGAATATTAAGTAAGCACGTTCATATTGTTAGGATCCTGATATGACAAAAAAGCCTTTACAGAAAAAAGTACGGCTCGAAATGCCTTCTACATTTTATCAGCATATACTTCCATGATAGCAAATATGTTTACACATTTTTATCGAAAATAAATAACTCTGGGTGTTGCATTTTGTATGTCACATAGTATATTATTAATTAGTATTGTCAGAGCAGCACTTAAGCTCTACTTAGTGACACTAACACTTAAGGGGCGCCTATACTTGTTCGTAATTCGGACTAACCATAACTCTCAAAATTTCGTACAGGTAGTATTTTTGTATGTTTTAGGTAAAGACTACGATCAAATACGTTACCAAAGGCTAAAAAATTACCAGTATGAAAAAGATCAACTTGAATATAACAAAAGGCATAGATTTAATTATGAAACTACAACTAATCGTCCAGAATACAGATTTCAAGGAAGACAAAATGGCGAAGAAAGTATATCGGGACAGAGAAGAAGTGTAGGTAGAAGTTTCACATTTCCTACATAAAAAGGCAATGGACTAGAATTACATATATTTACAAATAAAAAATATATACAAATTATCTATATAAAATAAATAATACATATTAATAAAATACTTTGTAATTTTTCTTTTATTAGCTCTTCAGAAAATTGCCATCTGCATTTTCGATACCGAAAGCTCCCAAATATAAACTATCACCATTTTCGATAGCTCCACCGATTTCCAAAATATCGCAGATCGTTGTATTGAAAACGTATACACTAAAAATGAATATGAGATCAGAGTGTTATAGCCGCTTTACACAATCAAATAAATTCATGAATACAATTGTCAGAAAAATTGATGAACTTCTTCAAGGTAACAGGGAGCGAAATTACATATCAAATTTATTCAAGTCAAGCATGCCACTACATATAAACGGTCTTCCATCAGTTGGTTCTTTTTAAGTTGGTATTTTTTTGACAGTTGGTAACACTTCCAACAGATTGACAGATATATTGTGTCAAACTTTCGCTGTGAGCGATGGATCGTTTTAATTTTGAACAAAGGTAGGAAATATTGAAAAACTATTTTTAAAGAGAGTGCTGTGTTGCAGAAACTTTGCGAAAATTGTGAAGACTATTTGGTCGGAATGAAGCTCCGTCCGCGACTGGTATACGAAAATTCTTAAAGAAGGCTTGTGAAACTGGCCTGTTTGTAGATAACAGAAGGTATGAGCGTGTTCGACCCGAAAACATTGCTGCTGCAGCAGTCGCACTTCCGTGCGGAGAATATTGCATAACGACCTGGGATTATTTCCTTACAAGGCGCAACTTATGCAAGAGTTGAAACAAAATGACACATCCGCTTCGATGTCGTTTCTCTGTGTGGGCTCCAAATCAATTGGAAACAGAAACGTCTGGATGGTTACGTTAACAAGCAGAACTGTAGGATTTGGGGTTCTGAAAATTCACATGTCATAGGAAAACCAATGCATCCAAAAAGAGTAACTGTTTGGCGTCTCTTTTGGAGTGGTGGGATTATTGGTCCCAACTTTTTTCAAGTAACAGCGTGACGGTAAAGAGAGACATGTTGAGGAGTTTTTTATGGCCACTATTAGACGACATGCACTTGCACAATCTCTGGTTCCAGCAGGATGGCGCAACATGCCACACCAGCCGTGAAACAGTCGATCATTTACATTTACACACTGAGTTCGGTCATCGCGTTATCAGCCGTTTTGGAGACGTTCATTGGCCAGCCCGCAGCTGTGATTTGACGCCCATGGATTACTTCCTATGAGGTACTGTTAAGGATAGCCCACCCTTTGGTAGCTTCCTGTGATACCAACCTCAAGGAAAAAATACCAAAACATAACCTATGTATAATGAACCTAACCAATAAAAAGATGACAATATATACCCTATTTCACGAGTATCCATCACGCTTTGACGTCTACTGATGTGAACAGCTGATCAGCAAGTGGCATTTTTGTGTTAGTCAGCAACGTTGGCTATAATGAATCGGATGTAAATCTAGCAAAAATTTATTTGTCCGTCAGAATTTTGTGTATTGTGCCGATATGGGGAATTTTGAGATATTACTAGATAATCAGCTGTCATTCTACCGTGAAATAGGGTATAATCTGGCAATTTATTCGTGAATTGGCAGCAATTTTTATATTTACACGTCCAACTTCTTCAAGGTCAAAACATTGTTCAATTTATTGGAAAGTGTAAAGCGGGTACTACAGACTCTGATCAGAAAAAAGTGCAGGTGCAACACAATTTTACCATTTCACATATCAGCCAGATCTCATAATAATAAGTTTTTCTTCCTTACATGATGAAAAATCTGGTCAGATTCGGGTAGTATTCGAATACTATTTTGAATCCTATTCAGAATACATTTGGCTGTAATTCGAATACATTTGTGTGTTTGGTATTCGACTGAATACTTCTTTAATCAGTACTCGGTATTATGTATTCTGAATAACGTTTCTGAATCCCAATATTCGAATACCCACTTTTTATTCAAATATCGGTATTCTATATTGGAATCCTGTTTTCGAATATTGTCTGGCTATTCTTATGAATATTGCGTTACGCTTTACTCAATTTGGGTGTGTTAAAACAGGTTCGCGGTGGTTGTGGATGGCACAAACAAAATAGCTACGCAAAGTTATTTTTGTTTGTGTAGATGGCGGTGCTCCTAAATTCGTGATGCCGACAGGTTGCTTAATTAATGAGATTAGATTACGTACGCACTTGTGCAGTATTGCCATTCAATTTTATAATAAATTTTAATGTCTCTTATACCAGATTAAGTAGATATATACTAAGTGTCATATAAATCCGAATACCCAGTTTAAATGGTTTTATTTTAATAAAATTTTGTATAAGTACTCAATGAAGCATAATAAGTAAATGATAAAAATTTTAAAATGATTGCACTGCTTTAAAGCCCTTTGAATGTGTGGATGCACCCTGATGTGCTACGCATTCTCCAACGCGCCTAGGCATGCTTCTGATCAGGTGGTCAAGTCGGGAGATCTTGGTGGCGATGGTAACAATGTGACATCATTATGTTGAAAGAAGTCTATTGTGACTCTTGCAACATGTGGTCGGGCATTATCTTGTTGGAAAGTTGGATCTGCCAGGGTGTCAAGATAGGGTAAAAGATGGGGTTCTAGAACTTCGTGGATATAACGCTGCGCGTTCATGTTACCTCTGATGAAGATTAAAGGTGACCTGGAACCATAAGCTATAGCACCCCAAACCATAACTCCAACAGTGTGATGAACATGTCTTTCAACAAAAAACTGTGGATTCCTCCTTCCACCACGTCACCTTCTAACCCTGGCACGACCATCGTGCATGCCTAAACAAAATCGAGACTCGTCACTAAAGACCATACTGTTCCATTCCTGATCCCAGAGTGACCGTTGCCTGCACCACTCAAGGCGATTACGTCGGTGTTCTCGAGTTAAAGGGAGGACCCAGTGTGGCCGGTATGAAAACAAGCCAAAACTTCTCATTCGTCGGTAAACACTTCGCATGCCAATAGGTACTCCGTGTTCTGCAAACCATTCATTTGCAATGGACCTGGTAGTGGAGAAACGGTCCCTTAAGGCCAATAATCTTAGGCGGCGATCTTCACGGTCTGTTGTTCTACGGCGGCGTCCAGCTTCCCAAAGTCCCACTATACGGCCCCTATCAAACTCACTAAGTTGACGAAATCGTAGAGGTCTCCGTACCCTAGGCATCGTAACCGATCGTAAAGGATGTCAAGAACCAAAATCCGCCAACGTTGATTCTTTACTGTGGCTGAAATATTCATTTTTAGAGCGTTAGTGAATTAAAAAAAAGCAGTATAAAAACCGGAATGTCCAACTGATAAGGCTGAAAATTTATTCACTTGTTATTTACAGTAAGATAAATACATTCACCAACTTTTATTAAAATAAAACCATTTAATCTGGGTGTTCGGATTTATATGTCCCTTAGTATATAAAGAGATTTGTATATTTTTCAATTATGTAGGTATATTGTGTAATATTCATATATTTTCTTATTTAGTTTTATTACATGTATTCATTTTCTATAAAAAGATAATAAAATTCAAACAATGTCTTCGCGTTAAATTAATTTTTCCAACTTCACTAGGCATCAAAATTTTTATTTAATATAGTCATGTTTATTATATTTTTTTATAACTTAAGTACATAAATAAAACTCAAGTTTAAAGTTCATATGTTATTTTCTTAGTTGGAATATTCAAAAAGTATTCATTTTCAAATGATCCCAGGTAATCAAAACAGCGGTTTCCGAACATTTTTTTTGTATTCAAATCTTGAGTATTCAAATGCAATTTAAAATACAGTATTCCGGATTCGTATTCGTATTTCAGTATTCTACCAAGTCTGAATCTGTCATACTTCATCATCCGAAAAAAAAATCCAATAATAGCACGAAAACTGTGAGTGTGAATGAATGATTTTTGTACATATTCTCGGACTCGCATGTTCTCAGATCTGTGCCGATATGTACGAAATCAGAAGATTTTTCAAAAATGTTGAAAAAATAATACATATCTTGAGGATTCTAGAAGAAATAAACTATTCCATACCTTAGATTCCAGTTATCATCCACAATTTTATTATAGTATCTATTCTTGAGGCTATACACAACATCTGGCGACTCAGACGGATTCACTTGAAGAACACTGTTATTATTCAAAGGATTTTCTTTTTTCTCCGTCAACAATTCTATCCTTCTCATACTTCTGTTGAATCCTGATACTAACAAAGTTATTCTTAAAGCACTAGTTCTTCCATACGGATCTTTGGTAAGGAAAAAGACCACAGTATTGTCGATGATCTTGATATCACAGGCGAAAAGATAGTGGATATGATCAAAGTCTTTTCTCAAGTTTTCTTTGGTTATCAGGCAGGTGTTTTTAGAACCCAAGATGTAGCTTTGTAAGCAGTCACACTGACTCTTTATGTTCGGTATTTCCGAAAATTCTGGCAGTTTCAGTGTGGGTCGTAGAACCTCTGTTAATTGATGCTGTTGACTGAAGAGGTTGTAGCAGTACTTGAAAGAGAAAAACATGCAGACTTGGATTATTTGTGCATTTTAAAGGTATTTGTCAAGTACATCGTATTATATTAGGATCAGGAAGCCGGACACCGATGTTGAATATCGCCATCAAAAAGGTATCGCGAAGTCATATTTATGGCGAGGAGCACCAACTAAAAGAATACATAATACTGATGACCCCAGGGTGTGTATGTATATACAGGGTGTTTTCAAAGCGGAGTCATTAATTTTAACAGCTTGTCGAACTCGTCAAAAGAAGTTGATATTCCAAAAATCACCTATAAAAAAGTTGTGTAATAAGGTTAGTTTACATTAAAAATTATTTCAAAAAATCATTATCAAATTAAATGGATAGCGTTTTTACAAAAACTGTTGTCCCCATTTGTTCGATTAACGCAAAATCTTGCTCGGCGAATCCACGACTCTTTAAAAGCTTCGAAAATGAAATTCTGGTATCCACGCATTAAATCACTAGCATTTTCAGTGCACTGTTGAAGTTCTTCCCGAGTATTTACTGCTCCATCATGTGTACACCAACTCTTTCAAATAGCTCCACTGAACAAAATCGCAAGGCGTTAAATCCGGGGAGCGAGCAGGCCAAGAAATGGGTCCATCGCGCCCTATCCATCTATTCGGAAACTCATTATTAAGATGTTCATGAACTTCTCGTCTAAAATGTGGTGGAGCCCCATCATGTGGGAACCACATATTCTGTTTCACATTTAGACGAACATCTTCTAACAATTGTGGCAGATTGTGTCGAAGAAAATCTAAATCAATTTCATCGGTCACTCGAAAACATTTAATGAAAATCTATGTTGTGAATGAGTTCTTTTTACAGCATGCGGATTTTCTACTGCCCGAACATGATTGTTGTAGAAATTGTGCACTTCACTTGATTTCGAGTAATTCCTCAATTTGTAATATTTCAGGTTGAGCAGGTCTTCCAGCGTGACCTCCTCGTTGTTCTTTTAAATATCCTGTGTCACGAAGTCTAATATCTAAATTTACAAACGTCCTTGGGGCCAGATGATTTCTTGAAGAAAACCTTTCCGCATGCAACCTGCATGCTGCGGTTGCATTGTGTTGGCACTCTCCGTATATTAGTATTATGTCCAGTAGTTCATTGTTTTCGTAAGCATAGGCCATGTTTTAACACAAAAAGTTTACCAAATTTAGATACACGATAAGGTTTAAAACAAAACACGCAGTGGTCAAGAATATCATAAAATCTGTGTAATGAATTCTTATTTGCTTTTGACGAGTACTACAAGCAATTAAAATAAATGACTCTACTTTGAAAACAGTCTGTATTACTTTTCCTGGATTCAGCACTTCCCCCATCCTAAGTGAAACAAAATATGGACGTTTGAAATTTTTAAATTGAAAATACGCCCTTTTATGAAGCTGAAAGTAATTTCCAGCAATTTCCTTTGGCCACTTTTTTTTAACGGGTCGGTCTAGGTTAAGCCGTTGCTGAGATATAGCCAGCGTCCTTGATTATTGGGTCACCCGGTGCATGAGAGAGATTCCCTATGCGCACCACCTGAAATTCATTTCCTGCGCAGAGTACCAACTTACTTCATTGTCGACATTTTTATCTTTACCCTCACTCTCTGAGTTTAACACCCAACTCTAGCCTTCGTAGCCCAGCTATAATACTGCATAGTGGCCAAAGCCCTTAAAAAGCGCTCTTTGTCATACCTTATCTAGACCAATGTAGAAGTTTGTAGTAAAGTAGTTATTTAATGGATGAGTATAAAGATACGGCCATAGACTAGACCAAAATGCGGAATCTCTGTTGTAAAACTTCTCGAAAAACAAATCCACATTTCCTAGAGTTTCATGGGTCCAACCTGGTGCAAAAATAGCTATTGAGAGGTTGTACTTTGCGGCCACATCAACAGCCTAAAAAAGGTAGAATTTTATTTTTCAGTTAGCAACATGAAAATAATCGCAAACCTTGTGCGTGTTGAACATTCCACCTCCGAAAAAATTCCTGCCAAAGACGTCTATACCAACGTAAACATCTAAATGTCTTTGTTTTGCTTCGGCAGCGGATTTTGACAAATTTTGCTCGTTCCATGAGTAGTTCAGGAAAATTCCGTCACAAGAGTCAAAGAAATATCTAAAAAAAATATTTTTTAGGAACGAAACACATAGTCGTACCTGCAGTTTACTCTTTAAAAACCATACCATAAATCGTCGTCTCTTAGTTACAAAGGGCACATTTTTTGGCTTTTCTAAGTCTTCTGTTAATGTGATTCATAGCTTTTTACAAAATTGACCGCAGGTGATAAACATTGATATGGTTTCGTCTCCAAAATGTCTCATTTCTTCGGGAGTGCCGCAAGGGTCTGTACTTGAGCCACTATTATTCATTATATATATATATATATATATATATATATATATATATATATATATAACTTGAGACGTGGTCATCGTTGTCTAGACCAGTTAGCTGAAAAATTAAAGCTTCCGCCTTTTGTTGGGTACTTCGACAAAATTTAAGCAAAGAGGACTCTTTATACTTTTTTAATTCTCTCTAGCTTTCAATGGACTTTGCCATCATCATCAGGAGCTGCAATTACAATGATAACAGTAGCAACAAAAGTGTAAAATGAATTTAAATTGACTCAACTTACAGTAGTATGTGAGGATGTTGCTAATTGTTGTTTACATATAGGATGAGGGAAACGTCCAGTAACATGATGAGAGCTGGATAGATGGTACAATGGTCAAAATTATATAAAATATGACAAGAACAAGTTAAAAACAGATTAAAAATTATTTAAAAACATTAGAGCATTACATCGTGAAGCCACTTGATGATTGCACAAAATGGTGGTCATGGAATAATGAGTGAGATGAACCCTTTTCAACACAGACATTGACAACCTTCGGCCTTCTGTGAAAGGGTTCATCTCACTCATTATTCCATGACCACCATTTTGTGCAATCATCAAGTGGCTTCACGATGTAATGCTCTAATGTTTTTAAATAATTTTTTATCTGTTTTTAACTTGTTCTTGTCATATTTTATATAATTTTGACCATTGTACCATCTATCCAGCTCTCACCATGTTACTGGACGTTTCCCTCATCCTATACGTAAACAACAATTAGCAACATCCTCACATACTACTCTCCTGATGATGATGGCAAAGTCCATTGAAAGCTAGAGAGAATTAAAAAAGTATAAAGAGTCCTCTTTGCTTAAATTTTGTCGAAGTAGCCAACAAAAGGCGGAAGCTTTAATTTTTCACCTATATATATGTTACGGGTAAAGTTAGAATATGTAATGATTAAACTGCACAATACCCAAAAAAGTGGTTAATGTCCAAAATAGTATTGAAATTTCACATATTTCGAACTTTACCCGGGTAAAACGCGTTTTATCCGCTTTCGGGTGGTTAAAGTTGGATATAGAAATTACTCTTGCATCATCTTTCACCACGTGCAGTTCTAAAATGGCAACCGAAGAAAGCGGATGCGCGCGTTTAGCACAGCGTTTTTATGAAGTTTTCAATGAGTTTGGTGTCTTCAAAAAGTGCAAACAGTTGTTATTTTAATAATAAACAATACCAAGAAATGTTAGAATCAGTCAAGTTGGCAAAAAATGCTAAAACTAAGATTACTCTATAATATCGACGGTTAAAGAGGTTTGACATATGTTCTGTGAGAGGCGTTGAAAAGCTTATTGCTCGTGTATCATCAGGTGAATCTAGCATAAAATATTATGTTACAAACGACGAAATGTTTGACATTTTGCAGGATGCACATTTAGCCTTGAGACATGGTGGAAAACATCGTATGGAAAGTGCATGTAAGAAAAAGTACAAGAATATAACTCAAGATGTTATTAAGTTATATCTGCGCTTGTGTGAAGGGTGCCAAAAAAAAAACTGAATCTGCCAAAAAAGGACCTGTGGTTAAACCGATAGGTTTTTCAGATATGAACAGCCGTTGCCAAGTGGACCTGATTGACATGCACTCACATCCAGATGGAGAATATAAGTTTGTCATGGTGTATCAGTACCATTTAACTAAGTTTGTTCAAATACGTGCATTAACATCATTAACTACAATCGAACAACGGCCGTGAGTTCGCCAACTGTGTCATGGAAGAGTTATGTACAATTTGGAGTGGCCTTAAAATAATCCATGGCAAACCACGTCATAGTCAGGCACAAGGCAGCGTGGAAAGAGCAAATCAATATATACAAAATATGCTTATGACGTGGATGGATGATGAAAACTGCAGGCGATGGTCAGAAGGTATAAGATTTGTCCAGTTAATGAAAAATAGGGCATACCATGACGGGATGAAACAAGCTCCTTATGCTGCCATGTGTGGGCATGACGTTATATATATATATATATAGGTGAAAAATTAAAGCTTCCGCCTTTTGTTGGGTACTTCGACAAAATTTAAGCAAAGAGGACTCTTTATACTTTTTTAATTCTCTCTAGCTTTCAATGGACTTTGCCATCATCATCAGGAGAGTAGTATGTGAGGATGTTGCTAATTGTTGTTTACGTATAGGATGAGGGAAACGCCCAGTAACATGGTGAAACTGGATAGATGGTACAATGGTCAAAATTATATAAAATATGACAAGAACAAGTTAAAAACAGATTAATTTTTTTTTTAAACATGAAAGCATTACATCGTGGAGCCACTTGATGATTGCACAAAATGGTGTCATCAAGTGGCTTCACGATGTAATGCTTTCATGTTTTTAAAAAAAAATTTAATATGTTTTTAACTTGTTCTTGTCATATTTTATATAATTTTGACCATTGTACCATCTATCCAGTTTCACCATGTTACTGGCGTTTCCCTCATCCTATACGTAAACAACAATTAGCAACATCCTCACATACTACTCTCCTGATGATGATGGCAAAGTCCATTGAAAGCTAGAGAGAATTAAAAAAGTATAAAGAGTCCTCTTTGCTTAAATTTTGTCGAAGTACCCAACAAAAGGCGGAAGCTTTAATTTTTCACCTAACTGGTCTAGACGACAATGACCACGTCTCAAGTTATATATATATAACAACAAGTAGGAAAATAATGGGCAAAATCCGCAAAAAGGAGGAAAGTGGATTCGAGCAGAAAATAGCATAGGTAACCCGAGCGATACGTATTTCTGCTGGTTGGCTTCATCAGGCCCGAAATGAATGCACATATGAAACTACAAAAGTAGATACACATGCCCACACATCCGGATACGGGTGTAACCTGAGGAAACGAAGTTGGAGGGGAAAAAAACGACACACGAAGTCCACAACAAGAACCAACCTACACATTGTAGTATAAAATGGCTATACGACCTCGAATTTTCAAGGAGACGTCTAACCACCATCACGCGGCCGGTTATAGCCACTTGCTGTGGTACTTCAAGCCCAAAGGATCTACAAAGAGAATATGATCATGCGGAGAAAAGTATATAACAACAAGTAGGAAAATAATGGGCAAAATCCGCAAAAAGGAGGAAAGTGGATTCGAGCAGAAAATAGGATAGGTAACCCGAGCGATACGTATTTCTGCTGGTTGGCTTCATCAGGCCCGAAATCAATGCACATATGAAACTACAAAAGTACTTGTTGTTATATACTTTTCTCCGCATGATCATATTCTCTTTGTAGATCCTTTGGGCTTGAAGTACCACAGCAAGTGGCTATAACCGGCCGCGTGGTGGTGGTTAGACGTCTCCTTGAAAATTCGAGGTCGTATAGCCATTTTATACTACAATGTGTAGGTTGGCTCTTGTTGTGGACTTCGTGTGTCGTTTTTTTCCCCTACAATTTCGTTTCCTCAGTTTACATCCGTATGCGGATGTGTGGGCATGTGTATCTACTTTTGTAGTTTCCTATGTGCATTCATTTCGGGCCTGATGAAGCCAACCAGCAGAAATACGTATCGCTCGGGTTACCTATCCTATTTTCTGCTCGAATCCACTTTCCTCCTTTTTGCGGATTTTGCCCATTATTTTCCTACTTGTTGTTATATACTTTTCTCCGCATGATCATGTTCTCTTTATATATATGAGCAGTAATCATTGCCATTGCCAACGACTAGTTGGGCAAAAATACAATTAATTGTTAATTGGGAAATTGGCAAACCTTTTAGGCTTTAGTTAACTCTTTTGACGGTAATCTCAAGCTTTCGGCAATTCTGTATGGCGCCTTCATCAGGAGCTGGAAACACAATTATAATGCTAGCAACCAATACGGGATAGATTTAAATTGTCAAACAACTTACTTGTCGTTGAGGTTGCAGCCAAATGGTGTTTCAAAACGAACGCGGGGATGAGATCACTTATTACAATTACAAGTATAAAACCAATCGGACGGACACCTTGGGCTTATTGATAAAGACGGATACCATCGTTAGGTGTTAACACTCCAAATCAATACACCCGAAAAAGTTTGCCAATTTCCCAATTAACAATTAATTGTATTTTTGCCCAACTATATATATAGGATCTATATGCTGCTGTGAAGTTTTGCAGTGCTCAATTTTTCGCCGACGATTCACATATTTATAATCATTTTCAAAGTTCTAATATTCAATCTGCTGAATCTGAGGTCAATGATGATTTAAAATTAGTACAAATCCAAGAGTCATTTTTCAATTCTCAACTTCACAAAATTTGTAATTCCTCAAACTGTAAATCTGTTATAATTTACATTTTATACACGACTTATTTGTGCAACTATTATTACTCTTATTAACAGCGAAATATTGTAGTTTTTTATGGTACTGCTGTACTTTTTTGGGGTTAAGTGGCAGAACACCATGCCAAACTTCGCACGTTATAAAGACGATTTTATTATTATTTATTTTGTAGTTTTGTACCTGTTCTTATCATTTAATTCATTCTGCCATAACAATTCTCCAGCTACTGTCACACTATCGTACCAAATTACAAGACTTCCAGAATTCTCCTGATGCAACATTTCTGTCAGCAGAGGTACGAACTCTTTCAGTACCTCAACGTTGTCTACCCTATTTTCTATGTTAAGCAACCAACCGTCAAAACCGAAAACTCGTGTGAGTTCGACCAAGGATAGGGTAAATTCCCTCATTGATCGAATATCTTTGAAGATTTTTTCGTCGCACGTATTTTTGCCATCTCCAAACTCGGTTATAAGGGTGCCTAAAACAGAATTAAGCTAGATCATTTAAGAAAATTTTCTTTTTCCGATATTCTTACATTGATTAAGTTTTTCTACATGAAAATAATCGTAGATAAGGTAAGCAATAGTTAAACAAGAAGCATGAGTGGCAACAAAAATCCGAGTCAAAGATGAGGATTTTTGCACCTACTTGAATATTTTTTATTAAGAAAATATTACTTTGCATTGTTTTTCCGATTTTTTTCACAGGAAAAAAATTAGATGCCCAAATGGTATTTGGCATTTGACAAGACTATTTCATGAATAATAGATTATTCTGCATACACATAGTTTACAAAATTTATTGATCATAATTAGTTGTTATCAAAGGTATTGTATTATTTGGTGACAACAGCTGTCAAGTTTTGCCGCGGGTAAAGCTGAAAAAACAACTTATCTATAATCATTTTCTGATGCCTCTCTAATATATTTTAGCGTACTTCAGATCCTTTTTTGGTAGGTAAAATGCTTCAATCAATGATAAGTATTAAATACTAAAACAGGGCGCATCAGAATAACTTCCTTTTTTTAAATACGCGCCATTGAGCCGGTTGATGTTGAGTTCGTGAGGCGGGATTATAAAGTTTTGTCCCGACACAGTTCAGTCGCCATCATGCGTTGGAACAGTGAGGAGTGTGCTTTTGCCGTTGAGGCCTACTTTTCGAGCGCATATCCTGTGATCGCAGACCAGCGCGCCTTTTGGAATCGCTTTAATTTAGCCCCGTTGTCCCTTGGCCAGGGCCGGAAATCGATTGTTGCGTGGGTCACTACGTTCAAAAAAACTGCGAGTGTGACTAGTCGAAGAACTGGAGTCTCTCGGCCCATTAGATCACCTGAAAACATTGAGGCAGTGAGAGCTTCAATGTTGCGATCACAACGGCGTTCTGCGCGCAAACATCCGTCTGCCCTTGGACTTTACAATCGTTCTGTGAGGAGAATTCTTCATGATGATCTTCACGTCCATCCTTACAAGATGGCAATTGTGCAGGAACTTTCTGAATGTGACTTCATTCCTCGGATGAACGCGTGTTAGCGTCCTCTCGAAGTCTTTCCTGAGGAGGTTTTTTTTTAATGATGAATCTCATTTTCATTTGCGTTAATCCATCAACAAGCAAAACATGCGCTAATACGCTGACACCAATCCTCGAGGATTGCTTCAAAGGCCTTTGCATTCACCTAAAGCCACAGTGTGGTGTGCAATTTCCTCAGCTGGAATTATTGATCCCTGGTTCTTTGAGGAAAATGAAGTCGCAGTGAAAGTGAATTCGAACCGGTATGTAAGCATGTAACAGGCTAGACGAGTTGGACCTTTGGCTCCAATAAGATACCTCATCTCAATTAAGGGGCGACTTGGAATGGCCAACCCGCCCTCCCGACTTAGCCCCTTGTAATTTTTTTCTGTGCGTTTTTTTGAAATCCTGTGATTACGTGAACTGTCCAAGGATGTGGAATTTTCGCGCTGTTACTGAAACATTTCGCATTAATGTTTAGCGTTTTTAGATAAGGGATCCCGCAGGTCATATCCAGCAGGAAATATTAGGCATGAGAAAGGTGTCTGCGTGACGGCTGCCGCGTTTGCTGTCCGGACAACAAGCGCAACCGTGAGACCACATCGGAGTACTCTTTGATGCTGTTTAAGTGCAATCCGAAGGAGTTTCTGCATCGTTTGGTGACCGTAGCCGAAACATGGAGCTACACACCAGAGACCAAGGAACAGTGGACCGTTTTCTGGGATTCACAAGGTATGATCCACATCGACTGCCTAGAGAAGGGCAAATCAGTCACACGGCTCTACTATGCCGAGTTCTTGGGTAATTCTATCGCGAACAGCAGAAAAAAACGGCCCCATTTGGCGAAGACAAAAGTGCTATTCCACCATGACAACACGCCGGCTCACGCCGTCGCCAAGGCCAATTTGGTCGAATTAGGCTGCCAACCGCTGCTCCATACACCGTATTCTCCAGATTTGTCCCCGTGCGACTTCTTTTTGTTCCCAAACTTAAAAAAGTCACTCGCCGGGCATAAATTTGAGTCGATTGAGGAGGTTATCGCCGCCACAGAGGCCTACTTTGCAGACCTCCAGAAAACCTATTTTTCAGACGGGTTAAAAAAGTTGGAGCATCGCTGGGTCAAGCATATCGGACTAAAAGGAGACTATGTTGAGAAATAAATCATCACTATTAAAAAAAGTTCGTTTTTCTTTTGTATGCTAGGTGCTTATCGAACCGCCCTCGTATACGAGAAAAGTAATAAGTTCTCACCCAATATTTTGACACCATTAGCATGTGCCGCATTTATCCAGCACAGAGGTGGTATAGTAATAAAATGGTGACTAAAATAAACAAACACATCAATTTGTGCCCAGTTGTAGAATGTATATCCATTACCTACAATTTCTTCATATGGATAATGCAAATACCTGAAAATGAGCAAAACAATAACACCATCATCAAAATAGAGTGAAATTCAAGGTTCGATGGGACGTAGTCAGGATTCAGTTGCCGGGGGGTTTATGAAATAAAATGACAAAAATTAAATTAATTCTTTTATAATGTGTGATCTGGACGTCAGTAATTTTTTATGCATAAGTTGTGTAGAAATCCACTGAATCATCAGTAAATACTGATGGTATGGATTACAGTAGATACTGATTGAGTGACATTCGCCTTTGACACAAGCTATAACTGTTTTATAAGCTAAAGTATAAAAAACAATAAAATAACTATACCCATAGATATATCTTGATTACGAAAAAGCTTTTGATAAAGTTCCGCATAATAATAATAAATAAATCTTTATTTCAAAATAACAGCGCATGATTACAATGTATTACACACTGTTAGGTGAAATATACGTCACAGTGTCATTAAGACAGAAAAAAACAAAGAGGCAAAACGTATAACATAATAGAGATATTACATTTCGGAATATTCTTGAAGGTCATATGGTTCTAAATGCATTAACAATTGATAAATACTCTTTTTATATTCTTTTATATCTGCCAACCTTTTCATTTCTTGTGGTAACTTATTAGATATTTTAGTGCAACTGTAATGGACATTTTTTTCGGTAACCGTGAGATGATGGACTAGATACAGAAGATTTATATTTCTATTTCTTGTGTTATAGTCACTTCGTGGGTTACCGATAAAATTGTTAATATTTTTAAATGTAAAAATTAGAATCTCTTGAATATATATTGCGACTACAGTTAAAATTTTATTATTCTTAAATTTACCTCTGCAAGTCTCTTTAGAGGAATTTTTTAGGATGCACCTCAGCACTCGCTTTTGCACTAGAAAGATCCTATTGGTATGGCTACTATGTCCGAAAAAAATTATTCCAAAACGTACAATGGATTCAAAATTCGCGTAAAATACTATTTTTAGAGTCTTGAGGTCTAGGTACTTGCTTAGTACTCTAATATGCATTGTTTAACCTTTTTTCTAGATGTTCTATATGTTTAGCCCAGGAAAGTGCTTGGTCAATATGAACTCCCAAGAATTTTCCATAGTCTGTCAGATGGACTTCTATTCTTTCTGCTAAGGTGATGTTTGAAGCTTCGATTTTTTTTTCTTAATTTAAAAAGAATCGCATTTGTTTTTGAGGTATTCAGAGATAATCTATTACGAGCAAACCACAAAAACGCTTTCTCGCAGAGGCTCAAAGTACTATCAGCTAAATGGTTGAAATCTTGGCCAGTGACTAGAACACGTATTGGATCGCGCATACATTATTTGGGCTTGTAATAGTAGCACCTTTTGGAATACCTCTCTCTACCCTTAATACTTAATCCAGTTGCAAGCACTTCCCCTTATTCCGTATGCCTCGAGTTTATTCAATAGTAGAGAATGATCCACACAATCATAAGCTTTGGATAAAAAAAAAACAAAACCAGCGATATCATATTATTTTCAAGGCATTCTATGATGTTGTGGCTGAAAGAATAGATCGCCGTGTTGATGGATTTCCCTTTTACAAACCCATGTTCTGACTCTGCAATTAAGTTGATGCATATCATATGATTCATAATTCTTGAATAGATCACTAACTCAAAAAGCTTTGCAAAACAGTTGATTCATAAACATAAGCATTTTGGTGTACGAGGTAAGCTTTTAGGTTGGATAGAGGTATTTCTTGCGGACAGATCTTTCTAAATTAGAGCAAATGTTGTCTATGTGACCGACACCCAGTGCTGGGTGGTGTTCCACAAGGCTCTGTACTTGGACCTCTTCTATTCATGTTTAGCACGCCAGATCTATTAATGGTTATAAAAATAAAGATTTCATTCTAATCAGATGATAGCAAGCTTTTCGGAAATCCTGCATTACAAGACGTCTAAATTAAAAAGGTCATACTCGTCATCGAGGAGTGGTCTAAGAAATGGCAAATGTCACTCACTGCAGAATGGTGCATGATAGTTCATATTGAGAAGACAAATCCTCTTATAAGCTACAGTACAGGTTGAAATTGGAAATGTACAGTACCAGAAAGATCTAGGACTTATAATAGCACATAATTTAAAATGGGAAGCTCAAATTACCAACAAAGATACAAAGTCAACTATATTTGATTGAAACAGCTGTTAAAAACCATTCTCCTAATATGATAGCAAAGCTAAACAAAATGTACATTCGACCAAAACTTGAACATGGACACAGCTAATGGATCCCCATTTTGTCAAAGACATCAAACTACTGGAAAGACTGCAACACAAAAATAACGCAAATTCCACCAGAGATTCGTTTGCCATATGAACAACGTCTAAGGGCTCTGAACACACTGAGTGAAGATTACAAGGGGACCTGAGTGAGACATTCAAGATCATCAGTGGCTCTGCTACTCATGTACCCTTAAAATACTCAATATGAGTCAGACTCTTCATCACTGACCAAAAACTTAGAAAAAGAGAGGACATCTAAGTTGATAAGGAGAAATTTAATTTCAAATCATGTGGTATACTCATCCTACTGTCAATTTATTCAAGAATAAGTTGGATAAAAAACTAAAAGAAAGAGCAGCACATTTTGTGCATTATCCAGCACTTTTGTATTGGTAGTAATATAATAATAAAAAAGTTATAATTATGGACATACTTATCAGCTTGATATCCACCTCTATAATCATGGCACACCAAAGTCTTTGGCACAGTCCTCGCATCCAATCTTTTCCTTGCCCCAAACTGATCTTTTTCTGTATGACAGTTTGACAACTTATTTTGCATGACAAACTCAGATCTTGGTGCTATGGGAGCCACCCGTTGGACCCATCTTGGTGGGCTTCTAACAACTCCTAGTAAATCCTCTGGATTGTCAATAGGATGACACTCAAGAAACAAGCTAGGCATCTGCATCATTTTGTTCGAGTCTGTTTCTTCGGTTGATAGTTTGCGCTTAGAGTTAGGCAGGGTACTTGTATCAGTTGATGCTACAACTAATTTATCTTAAATGAAACTGCATGTTTCAGAGATAAAATTGTTACATACCATTTGAGTCACTCATGTTGATATCTAATCTGGCGGTTCTTCCACAAATGCACCCAGGAACAATGAAAAACGTAGCTTAAAGGAAGTTAGTATAAAATGATGAATGATAACTGCAACCTATTTCCTTTGCTTCTTATCATAGAAAAAAGTAGGTCAGAATGCGGAAGCACTGCATTTTTCAATGATATGCATACAACTTGTATACAAAATCAAAACTGACAAAATTTGTCACATATCAGCTGTTTAAAAAAGAGAGGTTATGTTGACTCACGACGTGTTGTAATCAACGATGCCGAGTTGTGACATATATCCCGATTTAGGAGATTAATGTCATACGAGAGCATACCCATTTAAAATAGGCAATAAAACCTTTTTACAGTCCGCAAGATGCAAAGAGTTGAAGGTGCAAGACAGTATTGTTGCATCCAATCACTTGCATTTGCAAGACGGGCCTGTTTCCTCGATTCAAACGAGCAAGGTTAGCCAACGTAAACGAATCACATTCACATTCCAAAGCTACCAGTATAATTTTAGTGCAGGTTTTTTCATTTGATAAGTGGCCTAGATACCTTCACTAACTTGTAAGTTACTAACTATTTCTCTAGAATCGCCAAAAAACTTGCCTGAAAGATCCCAGCATTTTAAAAAAAGTATCAGGAAGAATCAGCTGTTTTGTTAGTGTACATGCGTCTGATCAACATTTCTTTTTCTCTTGCCTGGTGTGAAAGTGTAAAACTCGTATTCGAGCAACGGCAGGAAGGCTGAAAATGTGGCGCCATCTATAAAATAGTATCTGAACCAAACAATACCAAAGAAATTCCAGACTTTGTTGTGATCTACAACTGTAGGTGGCGGTAGGGTCTTTTAGATCGTTTTTGGGCTCCAGAATACAGTATATATGGTAGAATACATTAATTAATGACGATATATTCACATTTACGAGAAATTTATTATCCAGCTGTATTTAAAAAATCTATCATGATGCCGTTTCAGCCACGCCTTGTCAAAACTGATGATAATAATTGGCGAAAAATGCGGGGAATCATAGAGAACTCATAAGACAATTTGAAACCGCAAATAAACGTTGTTGATTTGGGAAAGTAAGCTTTTAAGCGCAGTGTAAATCAAATCTACTTCAAGGAAATCCTAAATTTTTTTGGTATTCTATGGCAAACTGAAACAAAATCGCTTTTTGGGTTTTCCGATACAGCCATATGGCAACATTGTGCTGTGATTACTTTCCCTTCCATTTACATTTTACCTGCATACTTGTCACCAATATTTTGTAATTTGTTGTAGTTCACGTACTTTGTGTTGTGATAAGCCAAATTGTAAACAGCAGCAACACAATCAGCCTTATAACTGATGGAACTGATCAAAACACCGAAGGTAGAGAATGTTCGTATGCTGGATAGATACTCGAAGACCCCATCTCAAGGCACACTATATTTAACTGCAACACATTTGATTTTTGTTGATCCTGTAGCAAAGAAGGAAACATGGATTCTGCATATGCACGTAGCTCATGTGGAGAAACTACCCCTGACAACGACAGGGTCTCCGTTATTAATTAGGACAAAAACGTTCCTTTCAGTTACTTTCATAGTTCCAAAGGAAAGAGACTGTCATGATGTCTTTGTTAGCTTGCAACAGCTTTCTCAACCCACCAGTATGCAGGTATGTATTCTTTTACGAATTTTTTATAAACTTCTGACAGAGGATCAAAGTAATTCAATGCTTGTACCTTAGAGTGACCTGTTTTTTAGGTGTGACATTATCAGTATTTACTGTGGTCTGTACTGTCAGTATTTACTGATGCATCCGTTAGTATGGTTCTTTTCACGGTTTTTGGCGGTTCAAAGTAAAACTACAGCAACTGCTTTCTTACATCCATTTCTCTCATACATACACATGCAACCTACCCCTGTGTGTGAACATTTGTTTGGTAAGCTCAAAGACATACGTTTTTTAGTTGTGTGTCTCCATCTAGAAAACTTTATCATTATGTATGCGTGTCCTTCAATCATATTTTGTTGTTCAGCTATTAATCTTCAATATAGAATTGTACAATGCCTGGAAATATGATCAATGCAGAAAAGGCTGGCAGCTTGTGCTAAATATATTAGAGTATTTCCTAGAAGAAAATGAAAACAGCTGTCCCCTGTTACCACTTCATGCATACTGGAGAGAGTAGCAGATGCGTTGAAGATTAGTCTGTGCCTATGATAAGGAGACTTGATCTATTTACGTATCTCTATTTAGCGCCTAAATTTTATGAAATTATACCTAAAGACTTAAAAGATTTACGTTTCGGAAATTGTTTCAAAAGAAATTTAAAAAAGTGGCTACATTCTATATCTAGGACTGAAATTCATAAACTCATAAATACGAACATCAACTAAATACATAATCTACTGTAGCTAATTTTTGTCCTTTTTTGTCTTTTGCATTCTACAGTTTCAACTTAAATTATTGGTCCATGTACAGGCGATGCCTTCTATTGGGCCTGTTTTGATTTTATATTTATTTACTCATATTGTTTATTATCTTTGTACATTGAGTAAATAAATATTATTATTATTATTATTATTATTTCCTATGTTGACGTAACCGAGCGGTGACTACAACTATATCAGTGTATTTCTATGTAACCTTGAAGATCATTATTGACATCCAGGCTAGAAGATCAATAAATTTCACATTCACCGCGCAAAACAGTATAGTTTGAAGAAGTCTACAACCCCATATTGTAATTGTAAATGATCCAGAAGAGATCTTAGATACAAAATTTTTCCTTTCATGATCTCAAAAAAGTCTTCTGACATCTTCAATGCCTGACACTCAATTTTACTAACAAATGAATTGAGTTCCAACTGTAAGACAAATTGTAAAATCATCACCAAAAATATAGTTCCAAAGTTGCAAAAGCAGGTAACTGGTCAGGGTGCACTACAAGGCTCATTGCTATGGCCTCTCTAGATATTAATTTGGATAGATGATTTGTCACATTTCAAATATATGGATGAAGGTGTGTTATGTTTTATTTGGGGGTTTTTAGTGCAGCAAAAGTAATGAATCGTTAAGCTTTCTGTTAAATTATTTTTGATAGAGATAGCAAATAATGAATGTTGGAATAAGAAGTGTTTTTATGCCCAGTAAAGTGCACTGCAGTAATTTGGCTGACTGCTGTCAGTTATGACTGGTTGCTTTTTGGACTGTGACGTGAATCTGACCCCAAAATTTTAAAAGCACATTCAATTTTTTCAGTTTCTATTATATCTGTGTTATGGATACTTGAAACTGGTCAAGAAATATATTGGTTTAGAATCTTAGAACCATAGATCCACAAGTGACGTCAAAACCAGCAAATCTAGAATTAAAAGCTCCATTGCCACATTTTGGCATGTGTTGATGTTAAATTAGTTAGACATGGTTTAAATATATTATTTTTTACTTTATAAATGAATATCATTACAAGATATTTGATACAATTTTTTACATTGAGCCATTTTAATATGTCTAATTGGAGTATATTTATCTTTATTCAGTATTATTCTCATACACTTGTTTTGTAAAATTTGCAGTCTTTCAAAAATGGCATTATTTGCTAAATATAGAATAGTTGAACAGTACAAGAAATTTGGAAGAATAAAGTATTATTGATAATTTTTCTGCTATATGAACTCAGACATCCAGAAACTCTTGATAAATATCCCACTTTACTACTAATCTTATTTACAACTTTTTCATAATGAATATCAATAATTAATCGAGTCAACAAAAACCCCAAGATATTTCAAATTTTCTATGAATACAATATCTTCACCATCAATATTTAGTTGAATATTTGTAAATTGTTTTTTTTTCGATTAACATAGCTATCGTTTTGCTTGTATTTTATTATATAATATATAATATAATAAAAAATATAATAATTTTAATCTGTTAGATGCTAGCCATTTTGAAACAAATTTCAAGTCTTCATTGATATAAGAGATACCATCTGAATATTTTTGTGCGAAAATCTGAATTTTGTATTTTTTATAAAAAGAAGTTGTACCAGGATACTGCCTTGTGGAACACTTGATGCATTTTCAATTTTTGATGAAATAGTGTCATTAACTTTTGTAACTTGCATCCTTTTAGACAAATAATGTTTAAACCAATCTAAAATACTTCCTGATAAACCATATGCCTTCAATTTGCCTAACAAAATACCTCTATCAATCGTTTGAAATGCCCTCTTCAAATCTAAAAATATTGCTATGACAACTTCTTCTGAGTCTATGGCTCTTCTCCAGTTCACAGTAACCAACTAGAAAGCCGTTTCTGTGGAATATTTTTTGCGAAAACCTGCTTGTGCCTTCCCTAAAATTTTGTTTTCTTCTATAAATTGCATAATTGGTCATGCTCTACAGATCCAATAATTTATTTTTCAGTGTCTGGTAACACATTTACTGGTCTTATATCGCTGCATCTTTTAGAATTCTTTATTTTGGAAACTGGTGTTATTGTAGAGCATTTCAAATTTTCATGTAAATAAAACTCCTTCTCAGTGAACAATTGAAAGCGCATTCACGACGAATCCCAAACGACGCATTTGCTATTTCAAATTCATCCCCACAACACTTTACGATTTTCTGATGGTTATATCCGCATTCAGCGCCCCAAATTACCTTGTATGCAAAGTTTCATTTAGTTGAAATAATTTGTGCGAAAAGGGAAGTTTTCCTATTACAAAGTCGAAATATTTTCGAGAAATCTCAATTCAAAAATCTCGCATCGTATCTGTGATTTGGACGAAACTTATAGGTAAATCGGGTGTGAAGATTCAAATTTGGCGACAATTTGACGTTACGGCATGGGTACAAATTTTACATCTACAATTTCTTCACGAATTTATTCGGATGGATTTCTTCAAGGTCTCATGATTACGTTTTGCGGTATTGACATCAATGGACAAATTGGAGGCGAATCTCATAAACAGAAACCTTATTGTTGAATACCCTATCAAAGTTCTATATTCGAACTTGAAAGTTGATCAATATAATGGAAAGGAAAACAAGGACTATGGAATTTGACGTCCAACTTGCTAAAAATTAGCACATGTTCTAATTTGGTGAAGAACTTCATGGATTTATTTGATGTCAAATTCCTGTTTTACACTTTTGAAATTTGGCTATGAACTCAATTCATGAAAAAATACGTGGATTTATTGTCAATGTAAAACGGTTAATATAATACTGTAACATGCGCACTTATTGACACATCCTTTATTTACTGTGCTGATTTCATAATTGATATTTGATTGATTCCAGGTGCTGTACTGCTTCTCGTACACACCTCCAGCAGAAGAAATCCAAAGAAGTGTTGGTTGGAACTTCCACGATTTGCAATCCGAGTACCAAAGAATGGGCATACCAAACGAACAATGGTGCTTGTCTAAATTAAACAAATACTATGAAGTATGTGACACTTACCCAAATGTCATATATGTCCCTACATCAGCCAGCGAAGATATACTTTTGGGCAGCTCAAAGTTCAGATCAAAAGGTAGATTACCTGTTCTGAGCTACTACTACAAGAATAAAGCGAGTATATGTAGATGTAGCCAGCCTTTGTCAGGATTTAGCGCAAGATGTTTGGAAGACGAGAAAATGTTGGACCACATTTTGAGGACCAACCCAAACTCTACGTTTATGTATGTCGTTGACACAAGAAGGAAGATCAATGCTATGGCAAACCGAGCTGCTGGTAAAGGTTATGAAAATGAGAATTTTTACGAAAATATAAAATTCCACTTTCTTGGTATCGAGAATATCCATGTCATGAGAAGCAGTTTAGCTAAACTAGTTGAAACATGTGAACAAAGAAGCCCAACGATAAACAGCTTCCTGAATGGTCTAGAATCAAGTGGATGGTTGAAACATATAAAGTCGATTCTAGATACGTCTCAGTTCATTGCAGAAGCATTAGTTGAAGGAATTAGTGTTGTTGTACACTGCTCTGATGGTTGGGATCGCACAGCTCAAGTTTGCTCTATTGCATCCTTACTTCTAGATCCCTATTACAGAACAGTGTCTGGGTTTCAGATGTTAATAGAGAAAGACTGGTTGGCTTTTGGACATAAATTCTCAGACAGATGCGGACATATACAGATGGAAAATAAGGAAATTTCCCCTATCTTTACCCAGTTGTTGGATGCGACTTGGCAATTGATGCAGCTATTCCCTATGTCATTCCAGTTTAACGAAACCTTTTTATATACTTTGCATGATCATGTACATTCCTGTCAATTTGGCACATTCATTGGCAATTGTGAAAAAGACCGACTCAACTTAGAGCTGTCAAAGAAGACTTACTCCTTATGGGGTTACATGGCGATCCATCTCCAGGAGTATCTAAACCCCCTGTTTAACCCTCAAGAGAGTCCAGAGGTACTCGTTCCAAACCTTCTACCACAGAACATCAAGTTCTGGCGAGGTATGTACTGTCGGTTTGAAAGCGGAGTGCACCCTAGGGAACCACAGATGGATCTGTTATTAGCAACGTCGGATTATGTCTTCTCTCTTGACGAACATGTTAAGTATCTGACAGATAGAATTTCGTCTATGAAGTCGTATCTGTCTGGAAAAGTGGAGAGAAAAAACAGCAAATCTGCGAAGAAACAGCTGTGCAATAACGTGTTTTTAGATAACAAGTTACAATACGAGAAAGGATCAAAAGAACTGCAGACTGTGAATGGTGACCAGCACCCTTTAAGTCTCGAAACTAAAGTCAGTAAAGCAGAGGATGCACTTGACGTGGACGCTATCAAAGAAGAGATAAATTCAGTTGCAATTGATTGGAAACAGGCTAGAAATGCCAAAGAATGCAGCTGTTCTTTAACCCTAGATCAGCTGAGTAAAAAAATGCACTGTAGAAAATGTGGAAATATATTTTGTCAAAGATGTATCACAAAGAAAAGTGTCTTGCCAGGACATGTCTCTCAGATACCTGTTCCTGTGTGCAAGCCTTGTTTTGACAGTATAGCTAATGTAGGAGAGGCTTAGTTTTATTATTTTTGTATTGCTCATAGTGAGTTTTTTTATTGTTACAGCAATGTTAAGATTGAATTGTTGTATTTAGTATTACGTGATATAATGGTATAAAGATTAAGGAAGCATAAAATGTCTGTTTTTTGTATCTATTTATTTTAATGTTCGGTGAAACTTTCAAATACATGTAACTTCCAAAACTTGTAATTTACTAATACCCACTCTCTTGCCTCTCCAAAATGCTGATATAAATACTGATGTTGTTTGGAGAGCTAATGTATCAAATACAAGTGCTTGAAGAATATACAAATCCTTTTTCGACATTTTGGTACTGAATACTTTCAGGTTCAGGCATTTTTTTAAAGAAACTGGTCTACTCCGAAGTGCAAAAAAGTGATTTTAGCATTTTTGATGATGTCATTTCATCTCAAAACACACCAATTGTTTACGTGATTTTTTCATTTGCCATGGTTGAGTCTATTTTTATTTTTGATGTAAGTATGCAATATTTCACTCTGTAAAGAATTGAGATGAGAAAGAAATATGGTTTATGACTATAGTCTAAACTCTTCCGCTTTAATTTCTTAAGCAATGAACCATTAGGAAAATTATAATAAAATTTAGGTCTGCCAGGAAATAAATTCAAACAAGAAATATTTTTTTTGTAGTGAATAATCAATGATAAATAAGCACATATTACAACATATTCATATTATTCGCACAAAGTATTATTTGTTTGTTATTCTTAAGTGGAAATCTTAAATATTGTCCATGAAAGTTCATTACAAAACTATATACTGATCAAAATGTATAACTCATCTTCTCTTATTGCTTTTAGTTCTTTAACATGATACAAAAATCCAAACAGTATCACATCATAACTGTCGATTTGCTCAAAACTTCCCACCCAGGACTGTGCTGCAATAACCAAAAAGTAAGTTTCGCTAAGTTCTCTTGCGTTCAGTGTGGCCGCCAAAAAGCCTTCAACTCTAAATTTCTGAAAACACCGAACTAGCCCTTAAAGTAACTCCAAGGTGCATTTTTCGAGCCTGTAAGTTTTTGCTAACAGTGTTCACCGCAAACAGCACATCATACTATATAGTAAGAACTCATAGCTACTTATTTCATTGGTAAGCGATCGAGCTTCACTCTTGGCTTTTGGATCTCCAGTGACCGCAACTGGTTCAACCAATGCAGTATGGACTTACTTAATTTCATATCCCAGTGATTTTATGCTTTCTAGTTTACTTTTCCATCGAGTATCACAGGATCTTTTTACTGTCAGATTCGGTACATATTTAATTAAAATTTCAGACCGCATTGTTGACGCAGGAAAAATTATATCAATTCTTTGGACTACACCAAAAAACATCATAGCTTTAGGGGAACATTTTGCAGCATCGCAAATTAAGAGGATGAGGCAGGGCATATCCAATGCCTTTGGATTTATTGGCAGGATCCGTCCCTGAACTCCAGAGTGGATAGCTTTCATTTTGAATCAGTTATCATATCCTTGTCCCCTACAGTCCTTGATTTCTAATCCAATTTTATCCAACATTGTAGAAGGTCATCAGTTAGATTTTTCCTGTTGTTAACGTCTAAGAAACCAAAGAAATGTTCTTCGATGCTTACACCTTCATTCTCATTCTAGAGAGAACTTGCATTCATATCAATTTTCACAGATCGTATCACCAAGGATACCTGCTCCTTGTGGCTGAGGTCAAGTGTGCAGTCTAACATTACTGAGAAATACTTAGCTAAATAGTGATCATGAATTTCAGACGATCGAATTCACCTAACATGCTCCTGAATGACGGGGTCGAATGTAGCCAACATTTCAATCATTCCCAAAAAAAATTGCTGTTGTTTCGCTCGTATAGTTTGCTATTTGATCCTCTGAAAGCAATGTTATATTCTGTTGATTATTTAATAACTTCAACAATTCTTTTGAGAACCTCGTGTCAGTGCTCTTTTTGTTTATCAGTTATGCTTTTTATCAATTGTTAACGCGTTGTTTGAACGTATTTCACATTCCTTCTCATGGGTTGCAAGCCCTCTGCCAAGATGTGCCCAATCACTGTACGCTGCGCAAGTTAATTGAGACCTAGTGTTGTTACCAAATAATTTACAGCAAAATTAAAACGTCTTGTCACTAGTTTTATTATACACAAGCCATTGCATACACACAGTAACGTTAGGCCAGCGCCAGACATGTGTTCAAAGGTGTGATCAAATAAGTGTTCACATGTGTGGCACGGGCATTTCATACTATTGTCACATATTTGATCACTTGAGTGCGCTTTGCCGTTCCGGGTCGGTTTTCTAGCTTACATCAAAGGGATCACAGTCCAAATGTTTGTGTGCCTGCCACACTTGGGTGAAGGCCAGTTGCATGTGTGTCGCCGTGGAGAGCTGTTGTATTGTGGTTGTATCAACAATGGAATGTAGCAACGAGCGCGTGATTGAGTTTATTGAGTTGATTCAAGGAGAGCCAGACATATGGGATCCAAAACGTAAAGGGCTTAACATTCATGACGCCTGGAACCGAATTCGACACAACTTTTCAATGCCTTGCACTATAGAAGAATTGAAGAGAAAAAGGAACACATTACTGACACAGTACAGAGATTGTTTAAAAAAATTAAAGGACTCAACAAAAACCGGATCTGGTGTGGAGGATATTTACAAACCTTCATGGTTTGATTTGATCCCCTGTGACACTTTCTACTGAGACTATGGTAAGTAGATAAATAATTATTTCAGTTACATCAATTCTTCATGTACCTTATTATTAATCAATGCCAACACTCGATACAAAATTCTTAGCACAGTCACATAAAGACAGAGTACTAACATTGTCTCGTAGCGAAATATTCGGAAAACTCTTCACTGATGTTCTGTGCAGAATTTGCTGCTCGTCGAGGTTGCGAACCAACTGGGATCAGACCATTAGGTGGATTTTCATTTCGCCAAGTTCCGGGTACAAATATACCATTAATAACGCGATCAAATGATTCTGGTGGTGAATAGATATGTCGTTATGCTCTGCTTTTTCTCAAAAAATTGTGCAAATAAACGCACGCCATAGTCACAATAGAGGCGTTATCGGGTCGGAGAAGCATAGGATGTTTAAAAACTGAATACTGATGTCATTATTCCGAAAACATTTTCCACTTTAACTCTTGCTTTTGACAATGCTCGATTGAAATGCCTTTTCTTACTCTGTTCTGGGTGGTTACCTGGGTAGGGTTCCATCACAGTATCAATGCAAATGCACGGTCAGCAACAAACACATACGGCACATTAGCTTACCTGCCTGGTAGTTGATGCGGGTTGGGTCAGACAGCGTAACAGTTTACCTAGAACTGCGCATTCGCCGTATATGAACCAAACTGAACAAGTAGTTCATCGTCAGCCTGCCAATTTACCTAGAACCTAGATCATCCACTCTATTGATACCCCATCCCGTTGCTTCACAAACAAATATACAAAATGCGCAATCTATTTTAAATTACGAGGTGCCTTTGAGGACATCAACACCATTTCAGGTAACCAATGCTCAAAACAACTGTGCCATTCAAATCAATCTACCCGAAGTTCATCTGTCACCGAAAAATGCGAATTATGCATTGTGTACTTCAGACAATAATACTTTATATGACTCTAATATTCCAAGTAATTAAAAAAATCAGTACAAGACGTCAGAAGTTAGTAATTATAAACAGTTTAACATTATTTTCCAAACTGTCATACCACCGAGAACATACAGTAAAGAAGCTTATACCCAATGTGATGATCGTAATGGCGATGCTGATACTATCAATTATTGATAGAATTACTATATTATTGATATATACTAAGTGACATATAAATCCGAACACCCAGTTTAAATGGTTTTATTTTAATAAAAGTTGGTGAATGTATTTATCTTACTGTAAATAACAAGTGAAAAAATTTTCAGCCTTATCAGTTGGACATTCCGGTTTTTATACTGCTTTTTTTAATACACTAACGCTCTAAAAATGAATATTTCAGCCGCAGTAAAGAATCAACGTTGGCGGATTTTTGTTTTTGACATCCTTTACGATCGGTTACGATGCCTAGAGTACGGAGACCTGTACGATTTCATCAACTTAGAGAGTTTGGTAGGGGCCGTATAGTGGGACTTCGGGAAGCTGGACTTTCTTTTCGGGCAATTGCAGTTAGAGTGCAAAGAAGTGTACACACTGTGGTTAGGTGTTGTCAGGCATGGCTTCGAGAAGGCCGTACGCAAAGAGCAAGGGGCACTGGACGCCGCCGTAGAACAACAGACCGTGAAGATCGCCGCCTAAGATTATTGGCCTTAAGGGACCGTTTCTCCACTACCAGGTCCATTGCAAATGAATGGTTTGCAGAACACGGAAGACCTATTGGCATGCGAAGTGTTTACCGACGAATGAGAAGTTTTGGCTTGTTTTCATACCGGCCACACTGGGTCCTCCCTTTAACTCGAGAACACCGACGTAATCGCCTTGAGTGGTGCAGACAACGGTCACTCTGGGATCAGGAATGGAACAGTATTGTCTTTAGTGACGAGTCTCGATTTTGTTTAGGCATGCACGATGGTCGTGCCAGGGTTAGAAGGCGACGTGGTGAAAGGAGGAATCCACATTTTTTTGTTGAAAGACATGTTCATCGCACTGTTGGAGTTATGGTTTGGGGTGATATAGCTTATGGTTCCAGGTCACCTTTAATCTTCATCAGAGGTAACATGAACGCGCAGCGTTATATCCACGAAGTTCTAGAACCCCATCTTTTACCCTATCTTGACACCCTGGCAGATCCAACTTTCCAACAAGATAATGCCCGACCACATGTTGCAAGAGTCACAATAGACTTCTTTCAACATAATGATGTCACATTGTTACCATGGCCACCAAGATCTCTCGACTTATCCCCAATTGAGCACGTGTGGGATATGATGGGTACGAGATTGCTCAATTTGCAACGTCCTCCTCAGACTCTAGAAGCACTTCGAGAGGAGTTGGTGGTTGCCTGGAATGAGATACCACAGGAGGACATTGACCACCTGATCAGAAGCATGCCTAGGTGCGTTGGAGAATGCGTAGCACATCAGGGTGCATCCACACATTATTAAAGGTCAAAGGGCTTTAAAGCAGTGCAATCATTTTGAAATTTTTATCATTTACTTATTATGCTTCATTAAGTACTTATACAAAATTTTATTAAAATAAAACCATTTAAACTGGGCGTTCGGATTTATATGTCACTTAGTATATGTCTTTATTATTATTGATAGTCATTTCATTATTCATGAATAAATGTAATTCATATTAAATACTGTTTTCACTAACCTTTACTTCCTCCCTAAAAACTTGAATCAGGGCTTTACAAACTTCATATACAATGGTAGAGATTAACTGATGTGAAATTTTAAATAGATATTGTAGACTCATATAACTATCGCCTGTTGCTAGAAATCTTAAAAGTTAATGCCAATCTCACTTTGGAAGGAACTGCCATTCTCCAGTTTGTGTCTAGTTTTGAAATTAAAGGAGACATTTTTTGTAATAGTATTTCAAAGTCTTCCGAAGCCATTCTGCAAAAATTGCTGAAGTAACCCACTGGTCGAGGCATCATTTCATCAAGCATTGTTTTCATGGAATCTCTAAAACAAACATAATTTTTAAATAAAACCAATTAAAGGCAAATCTTAACATTATTCTATATCCAGTGACATAATTTTCCTGATTTATTTTTAATTGTTAGCTATTAAAATAAAATAAATAAAATTCGCTTACCTTGTTCTGTTATGATACATTTTACACATCCATTCACGTCTTCGTTTTGGCTGTTTTTGCTTATATGTTTGCACGTGTAACAGATAATTACACGCACATAAATAATATAAGCAAACTGTGTCGATCAAATCGTCGTCCCCATGCTTTGTGGAGTCTATTTGAAAACTGTGAGCTCAAAGGAAGTGATCAAATCTTTGAACACATATTTGGCAAATGCAGCAATGTGTGAGCCAATTCTTCAAAGAAGTGGACACTTCTTTGAACGCATGTCTGGCGCCGGCCTTACGACAATCCTGCCACTGGTAACCACGAGCCGACAACTCTCTGGGTAACGTCACGAAGCTCCGCCCACATGTGCAACATCCTATCTTCAGTGTATGTGTAATTGGGTCATCAAGTCATCGTTGGTTGTCAGAGCGGTCCGCGGGACCTTAGCTCTTGAGTCACAGTGTCAGTTTGTAAGTCTGTCAGGTCTGGTAACCCAGAAACCAGACAATTTTGAGGAAAAAAGGGGAAGGAAAGGAGAGAAGGAAGAACGAGAGCAAAGGGGAAGAAGAGAATCTTTTAGGATATGCAGCGTTTAGGCATTGTTAAAATCGCTTCACAGATTTTGATATGTTCTAAAAATATTTGATTTTTTCTAAAGATTGTGTAAAAATGCTCCAATTTTGGTTGTTCTAAGTTCACGAGTTAATTTTGATTACAGTGCGAGCCGCGGCCTTTTGTGCTTGCGAACTTGCTCGACTGTGTAGTCCACTGAATCACGCAACAGAGGGTTGCTGTGCGATTCCGCTAGGCTATAGCGCCGCTGCGCCTGTTGCTTAATGTAGTCCTTTAGGTAAGGGACATCGAGGTCTCTATGTAGAGTTTCGTTAGAGACATACCATGGGGCATCAGCAATAGTGCGCAACGTCCTGCTTTGCAGAACCTGCAGACTTCGCATGTGTGTTTTAGCAATAAAACACCAAGCCGCACATGCGTATGTCATTGCTGGTCTTATGACCACCTTATAGAGTCGAATCTTGTTAATCAAACTTAATTTTGACCGTTTACATAATAATGGGTAAAGCTGCCGAAACGTAATTTGGAATTTAGTTTTTAGAGCTTCCATATGGTTCCGCCAAGTCATCCCTTTGTCCAGAATGACACCGAGATACTTAGCGGAGGATTCCCATGGTATACGAAGTCCATTCATTGAAACTTCAGACGGAACGCCGCGACGTCTTTTTGTACAGTAGATTGCCTGCGTTTTCGAATGGTTTATTTTAATTAGCCACCGATCCGCCCAATCTAATACTTCTTCCACCGCACTTTGCAGCCTGTCATGGACTAGGTCACCAGACCACGACTGAGCCACCAATGCAGTATCGTCAGCATAGAGATAGACTTCACAGTTGCTGGGACTAGGGACGTCATGGATGTACAGTGAGTAAAGGATAGGTCCAAGGACCGAACCCTGAGGGACGCCGGCTGTAATCGGCCGTGTTGTCGACAGCACCTTGTCAATTTTGATCCGAAATTTCCTACCTTCAAGGAAGGATTTCAGTAGTTTTAGAAGCCAAAAAGGCAAGCCCTTTTGGATTAGTTTATACAAGAGGCCCGCGTGCCACACCTTGTCAAATGCTTTTGAGACATCCAAAAGCAAGATGCCAGTACTTTCGTTAAGGGTGAATCCTCTGGTTACACGTTCCACCAGCCTAACCGCCTGTAGCTCCGTACTATGTTCAGACCGAAAACCGAATTGAACGTCAGGAATCACATGGTGATCTGACGAGAAATTCTCAAGGTGACATAGAATCACCTTTTCAGCGAGCTTAGACGCAGCTGACAGCAGGCTAATGGGACGATAATCCTGGGGAAATATCGAACCCACCTTCTTTGGAATCATTATAACTTCAGCGGTCTTCCACGCGGATGGGAAGTACTGGATCCTGAGCATGGCATTGACTATTGCCACGAGATAAGTTAAGGACTTCCGCGAAAGCAGCTTCAGCGCCTTATTAGTGATTTGATCCTCCGCAGGTGCTTTACGCACTTTAAGGTCTTTAATATGACCTTGAATCTCTGCTGGTGTGCAATGCGGGATCTCAGGAGATACCGCTGATGTGCTAAGCAAATCTTCGGTTGAAGAAGCTTCTGAAGAAGAATCTTCTGATGAAGAAAAATCACCAACGAATGCGCGACTGTCACTGACGCCGTTGGCCCTAAAATATCTCCTGACAGATCTTACGATGTGTTGCTCCTCGTCGAGGTCATTATCAAGATCATAGTTGGGAGAGAACTGTCTTTCCATGGCATCGGCGAAAACCTCAACCTTCTCCTCTGTCCTGAAGACAATGCCTCCAGGACCGTGAAGGTGTGGGATTTGTTCACGCTTTCCGTTTTTGAGCGACTTCGCCACCTTCCAGAGAGGAATGCTCGAGTCAAGCATCCCCGCCAGAAAGTCGTTCCATTGCTCATTGCGGAATTCATGAAGAGCATTTCTTACTTCATGAACAAGATTCGTCGCTCTGCGAATGTCATTAGGATGACAAGACCTTTTCGCTTGCTTAATTGCAGCTCTTTTATCAGAAATCTTCTGACGAATGTCTGCTGGCAGAAAAGGTCTGCCGTGTCGCTGCACGGGAAGTACAGCTGCACGCTGCAGAGTTTGCTGAACAAAACTTGTCCACTCTGCTTGAGCCGCATCTATACCGTTCTCATCATCTATGATCGGTATATTGGGGAACTCTTTGAGGAGCGACTTGTATAGCTCCCAATCAATGCGTTTCCTTGGAGGGATTTCATCCCCCAAGATCTGCTCATTAGCCACTTCCAAAACGACGGGAAGATGATCGCTTGAGATGTCATACATGATTCGAGAAGTGATGCTGTAGCTACAGTTTTTGGATAATGCCAAATCAAGTACATCAGGTGCCTGAAGGTGATTAAATGGGTGGTGCGTCGGCTCCTCAGTACTATGTATGAGGTAGCCATTTCGTATCACATGGTTGTACAGTCGGATCCCACTGGTGGAATTCAACCTGGAATGCCATGCTCGATGTTTGCAGTTGAAGTCCCCTGCCACAATAAGTGGACCCGAGTAGTCTAAAAGGACTTCCAGATCCGCCTCTTGCAGCCTGTTATCACACCTGACATACACCGATGTAATTTTTAACGGCACACCTCCCGTCATATTGACCACCACGGAAGCCGCTTCGATGCTCTGCATGTCAGCGTTTGTGCTTCTGTGGTAGTCAATACCGCGTTTCACTAGCACTGCCAAGCCGCCACCCCGTCCAGTCAATCTATCAGCCCGGATAACATCGTAATTCGGGAAAGCTAGACGATCTCCCGGATTAAGTAATGTTTCCTGCAGCAAGGCCACATCTATACTTTCGTCCACAAGAGCTTGATGAAATTCCCGTCTTTTGGGAATGTCCCTTAGACCCAAACAATTCCAAAAAAGAATTTTGATAAATGCAGGCTGTCGTCGATTGTACCTAGCCATTTGCAGGAAAGATCGCCTGCAAAGCCTGTGTTGCGCTAATCAGAGGACCTATGATCTGCTGTAAGGACCTTAGCGCGGTTGCCAGGTCCACATTTTGCGTGTTCGCAGAAGATCCCACAGAGGGGGCAGCCCGGGTTGCATCCCTAGCTGCATCCGCGTAACTTACATTGCGCCTTTGCGCTATCACTTGCAGATTTTTCTTAGGGGCAAATCTGCAAGTTCGGCTATTCGCTGGATGCCCCCCTCCACAGTTCGCGCACTTTCGTTCCTCTTGCTCTGTTTGAGGGCATAAGTGGGTCATGTGGTCAGAGGCACATTTTAGACATTTAGGTGGTGCAGTGCAGTAAGATTGCGCATGCCCATATTTTTGGCAGCGGTGACACTGCCCGATGAGTCTTGAGTTCTTTTGAACTTCGACTCGGATAGCCAAACCTAGCAGCTCGTGTTCGTTGAACAGCTGCTGAGATTTTTCTATCTTGGGCAGTATGACTACCACCAAAGGCATGGGCACGCCGCCACCGCGTTTCAGGCGAATTATGTGCAGGGGGGAATATCCCCTCTGTTGCAACTCTTCCTTGATCTCAGTTTCCGAAAGTGTCGCATGTACTCCTCTGATTACAGCATGAATGTTCCTCTCGGAGGGTAGAGGGAAAGTGTGATGGGGCACCTCTTCCTCCCTGAAGAGACGAACAATCCTGCGGTAATCATCCTCGGACTTGGGAATTATCCTGATTCCTGCATCGACGACAACCGCGCGTTCGAATTTGATGCCCAAGGAAATAAACTTGTGATTTACGCCTCGCCATCTCGAAGCATCACGAAGAACGATGGGGGTAACACGTACCTTGCGTGGGGACTGTGCAGTCGTGTCTTCTAGTACCTGAGATGTCGAAGGCGTGGAAGTAACCGATAGATTAGGCACAGGCTGTTTATTCGAGTCGCTTGCAGTTGAATGTGATGTTTCAGACTGCGATTTTGGTGAAGGGAGAGGAGGAAAGCCTGTCGTGTCGGTCTTGTTTCGTCGCGTTTTACGGGGCTTGACCTTGGTAAAACAGTCAGGGAGTGTATCGTCGTCTGTGGAAAGATCGCTTGAATTATTTAACGGTCTCTTAAGATTGACAGCTTTGTCTTTACTGGGATTTTTGGGAAGTGTTTGGGAAGAATTTGTAATATTTAGATGGGAAGGTACGTGGGTTTTCATTAGGATGTCTAATTTAACTGTTAGGTCGGTAATTGTCCGCTGCTGGGCTTCGATGATCATCATCAATTGGTCTTCTTATCATCGTCCTTTTTTGACAGCTCCTGTCGAACCATCTCCAATTCGGCTCTCAGCTCCTCTATGGTCTGCTCCTTAGACTCCATCTCCATTGCCATGGTGGAAGCGCCATTTCCTGACCCCCCTGGGTCAGTTTCCATATTAAATACCTCGGTTATCTCGCTTTTCGTCTAAAAAATTTTCCGGATCGAAATTACGGGACAGCTGCTATCAGTGCCCTATAATGTGTAATTGGGTATCGTGGTGTGCCGGCGATACCCCGAGCCCGAGATCTATCCTGTCGAATGCTGCCCTTGTTCGTAGTTTTATGGCCGAATGACCAATAGCATTGCAACGCTAAGGCGGCTGCCGCGCTGCATCTTTGTTGTGCCGGGGCGTAAATGGACTACGAATAGGGTATAGTCATTTTGATATATTAATTAGCCTCATAGCCTGCATAAATGGAGATTTGGTAAGTATTGAGTTAACCTGCTTGATGCGCCCTCTGTTGGCCACTGGAAGATAATGAACGATAAAAAACGGTTTGGCAACAGGCAACGTCATATGATATGTCAATGTCGTGATGGATTTTTAGGTTATGTTGTTATGTACGTGTGATGTTTTGATTTCCAAAATTCCAGCTAAATAAAGGTTAGAAACAACTAACTGTAAATTGTCTTCCGCTGTTATTGAAATCAAAAATAAATCATCAGTAGCTTCCAAAATGTTGTCGCTACAACAATATTTAGGCAGTAGTGACGAAGAAGTAGAAGACGCAGTAAAAGAAAAGCAGTCTGGCACAGAAACGAAACTAGATTATTTTGAAAAACCAAAAAGCGAATATTCCATTGCCAGTAAACTAAATGTATGTGCTGCCCCAGTGGTCCTACCTACAGGTTTAGACGACGACAAAAGGCTTATCCACCCTGACACTAAAGAACTAGCTTACAACCCAACTTACGATGAACTATTTGCTCCTGTGGTAGGACCTGTGAACCCATTCAAGACACAGCAACAAATTATGGAACGCAACATACTCTCTGGGTATATCGAACCTGCTCATGTCAGTGAATTTCAATTTGAAAATCAGCGTAGAACATTTGCAAGCTATGGGTATGCTTTAGACCCTTCAGTTAGTGAAACTGGGCAGACTGGAGTCGTGGGATCTACAGATGAAGGAAAAAATCCAGATGCTATCAAGACAGTATTTGAGCATTCTAAAACAAGGCCTTTGGATAAGCGAAAACGTAAAAAGAATGATAACCCTGGTGATATTGAGGGGTTTTTGGGACCGTGGGGTGGATTTGTCGATGAACAGAAAGTTGCAAAGCCTACTGAGGAGGAGCAAGCTGAACTGGATGAGTTGACATCCAAAAAGAGCAAGCGAGGTAGGCTAATAAATATACAGGGTGGAGTCATACTGTATGAATGGAGATTGCAGCTTTTTCACTTTTTATAATATTTTTTCTAGGTAGACAAAGTGAGGAGAAACCAATTGAGGAGAAGTCAGTTCTTCACATCAAGGATCCAGTGGATTACCAGGGCAGGTCATTTCTGCATCCACCTCAAGATGTTGGAGTTAACCTTAAATCTGATACCCCACCTGAGAAATGTTTCTTGCCGAAATCACATATACATACTTGGACTGGCCATTCCAAAGGTGTTGCAGCAATCAGGTATCATTTGGAAAATGTTTTTAACCACTTTCTAATAACCATTCGATTTTGCAAATTCTACTAGTTTCAGAAATCATATCAAGTTACATCTTACTCAATGTTTCAATTTGGAAAAGGGTACATGAAATATATTATATTTTTTTTCTTTCAGATGGTATCCAAAGACTGCCCACCTATTTTTGTCTGCAAGTATGGATTGTCGCATAAAATTATGGGAAGTTTACAATGAAAGGAGGTGTATACGGACATACTATGGACATAGACAAGCAGTTAGGGATATAAATTTCAACAATTCAGGAAAACAGTTTTTGTCTGCAGGTTATGATAGGTAAGTTTATAATTTGTTATATATTCTAGTATCTATGTATAATAATAATAATAATAATTTTTTTTTATTGGAATGTTTATACATAAAAATATAAAAACGACAACATTCCAAAAGGAAAGAGGATTGGCAGGGCCATTTTTCACCTCCCCCTAAAAAGTTAATTTCATGAGCGTTTTTTAACATGAACAGAATTATTAGTATTCACAACAAATATTATGCACAACACAGTATATAATACGATATAGTCTGAGTGTTAATGGAGGGTAGTGTAGCAAGCGCCATAAATTTAATTTGTGGATTCAAATCTTTGCAGCTGTAGTAACACTTTCTTTATCTCATTTCTGAAGTTTTGGATGGAAGGTGCTTCAAAAAGTTCTAAATGATCGTTTAGTAAATATGGTGCTGTGTAAGTAAAACATTTTTTTGAACTTAGATGTTGTATGAACTGGAATATTGAAGTATTCACTGTTGCGTAAGGAAACTTGGCGGAGTGAACATCTCTTCGCCAAAGCAATAAACAGATATCTGGGTAATTTATATTTTAAAACTTTATATAGTAGAGTTCCATACTGAAGTAATACACGATACTTGAAATTTAAAAGATTTTCTCTCACATAATATCCAGTAATATGTTCTTGTATATGTATATCTTTGAAACAGAACTCATGCAGCAGTTTTGTAATACTTGAATTTTGTGCTTCATTTCTTGCTTCAGAAAATTATAATATACTGTAGCGCCATAGTCTAGGTGAGTGAGGATTAGTGCATTGGTAAGCCTTAATTTTATATCGCTGGTTAAAACATGTTTGTATCTCCAAAGTGACTTGTATTTACAATAGCATACTCGAAGCTTATTAGTGACATGGTTCTCAAAACTTAAATTTGTGTCCAACAAAATGCCTAAATTCTTAGTCTGCTCTACAATTTCAACAGATGTACTCGTATCACCTAAAACAATGGCTGTACTCATAAACCCTTTAAATTTTGAAATATTTAACCTTGAACCAATGCAGCAAGCTTTAGTTTTTGTGGGATTCAGTTTCAAACAATAATTTTTCGAATAGTTTGCAATCATTTCTAGATTTACATTTAACTCTTTAATCAATAAATTAACTTCATTTGGCTTGCAAGGTTTATACATTTGTACATCATCAGCATATAGATGTATATTCCAATCATATGATATAAAATTTAATAAATCAGATGTATAGAATGTAAATAGTAATGGACCTAATACACTTCCTTGCGGAACACCAGAAACTACATTTTGTAAAGTGGAAATTTTGTTAAATATCTTTGTGCATTGGGATCCGCCAGTCAGGTAGTTGTTGAACCACAGTAAGGCATTACTAGACAAACCATAATATTGTAGCTTTTTACATAATACTTCATGGTTGACCAAGTCAAATGCCTTACTGTAATCTAACATCACCAATATGGCCACCATGCCATCATCCATGAACTTGACTATATCGCTAGTTACTTTTATAAGCGCTGTGGATGTGTTGTGTAGTTTTCTGAATCCCGACTGTGTATCGGGAAGGACTTCATTTACTTCTAGATGGTCACGAAGTTGGTCAGCTACCACTTTCTCTGCAAGCTTGGACATCACAGGTAAGGTGCTTACTGGTCTCAAGTCCTTCATCTGTATAGCGTTATTGACTTTTGCTAGTGGCATTACAACTGATTTCTTCCATAATGTTGGTACTTCTCCTGTGTTCAGGGATTGATTTATGATATTCGTTATTTCACTTTTGCAAAAAGAAAATACATTTTTCAGCATGCTTGTGGTAATACCATCTATACCAGCAGCATTTGATTTCACTTCTCTCAGTTTCTTTTCAATATCATCAGATTGAACTAGATGGAACAAACTTTTAGTTACGAGTGACTTTTTCTGCCCAGATAAAGTGTTAAGAAATAACTCATCAGGTTGAATGGTTGACAACGAGTTCACAAAGTGATTGTTGATGGCTTCTGCGTCTTCAATGCCCTGAGATATCTGATTAGTGATTTTTTTATGAATGTTCCATTTAGCGAAGTCTTTCCATAGTTGCTTGGGATTATTCCTGTTCTTATTTAGTTGATATTTTATATAAGCTGTTTTTTCATTCCTTAAAGCCACACCTGAGTAATTTCTAAGATCGTTATAAAACAATCGATCTGTTTCAGATCTAGTCCTTTTAAATTTATTGTAGCCTTTTCGTTTTAAATTTATTATACATTTTATTATATAGGTGACGTACGGCTGGTAGAACTTATGAGGTGTAATTCTTTTCATTGGAGCATGTATGTCATACAGAAAGGTAATGTTCTCAGTAAGATGGAGGACTTTATCATCAAGACTTTCTAGATTATTTATATCATGCCAGTTCACAGCAGTTGCATCCTCAGCAAATTCATCATAATTAAAGTGGGAAAAGTCACGACAATAAAATGTTGTAGGAGTGTATTCTGGAATTTCAATCTTCAATTCACAGAAGCATAACCTGTGATCAGTTATATCTCCCATGCCTATAGTGCCACTCTTGCGCACATGCAGTGTATTTGATACAAAAATTACATCAATCATTGTAGCTGAATTCTTGGTAATTCTTGTGGGTTCATTAATAGCCTGAATGAGATTGAATAATGCCATGGTTTGAAAATTTTTTTTACTGGGATTGGAAGACTTATCAGTGAGGTCAATATTCACATCACCCATCAGTATGTTGTTATTTCTTTGTATGTATTTTTCTGCAGCCAAAATGCCAAAAATGAGTTTACCTAACTTGGTTAATAAATCCAGCTATCCTTATGACATAAAAATTATCAAAAGAAAACATTTTAAATAGTTTAAATAGTTTTTGACAATTTCAACTCAATTTTTTTTTTAGTTGCAGACAAAATGTAAACAGACACTATAAGTCTGTCCTGAACTACACGATTTTCTTTCATTATAGGTACATCAAATTATGGGACACTGAGACAGGACAAGTAATATCCCGATTCACCAGTAGAAAAATCCCCTACTGTGTCAAATTCAACCCAGAAAAAACTAAACAACATCTTTTTGTTGCCGGCACCTCTGACAAGAAAATCATCTGTTGGGACACAAGATCTGGCGATATAGTTCAAGAGTATGATAGGCATTTAGGTGCTGTCAACTCGATAACATTTGTGGATGACAATAGGAGATTTGTCACCACATCAGATGATAAGTCTTTAAGGGTTTGGGAATGGGATATTCCAGTAGATATGAAGTATATTGCTGATCCAACGATGCATAGTATGCCAGCTGTTACATTGTCTCCAAATGGTAAGTGATTTTACTTTAAATAAAAGAAATACATCCGTCTTCAAATTTCGCGCGATTTATCATTTCATGACATTTTTTTTGTGCTACAATATTGTCGCCACATTCAGCGAGGTCATGGTCCTGTTGTGCTTGTACTGTGTATAATCATTGATATCCTGAAAATAGCCAACCATATTCCAGCGCACAAAAATGAATTTAGAAATCTATCTAACAGATTTGCTTATTTTAATTGGGCCCCTTCAGGTGGATGACATCATTGATTGTTTACTCAATGTTTATTAAAGCTTTCTGTAATTTTATTTGTCTTCAAAGAATTTATTAAGCAGAATTGTACAGCAACAGTGAGACACTGTTATGTTTAATAAAATGCTCAGTAATGGCGTCGCGTCAATCTATTTATCAGGTTTGATCAATGTTTCGAGTAGGCCTTCTTTTTGGTTGGTGAAAGTTGCGTCATGATTTGTGTCCGGGCACAAATGAAAAATAGGTTTTTGTAGCTGAATCGTGTGATATACGTATGAAGTATTTCTTGAGTTAATATGCGAATTGGTAACCAATTTTACACAAATCGTGTAATTGTTCTATATTTTAAGAGGTATTTTACAAGAAATCGACGAAATTCATTAAATGCATGAATTCAAAGATGCCTTCTTATTGGTCCAATTTGTGCCAAATAGTAAAATCGGGCCTAAGGGTCACATTTAAAGACGTTCTCTGAAGATAGCCTACTGTTGCTTATATGACATTAGTCCAGTATTTTGAAACATACAAAATATTTCGGAATTAGTGCACGTAACTCATGAAATTATTTGAAATTTGAACAATCATATTTATACTGTACTAGTGTTGTTGGATTTTTCTAAAGCATTTGATACAGTTAACCATGATAGTCCAAATGAAAATGCTTCAGACTTTCTGATGTTCCTATTTTTTTTTAAATCTTATTTAGACAATTGCAAGCAATGGGTAAGAACAAGCCAAGGAGTTTCTGCTAGTGCTGATGTTGCTTCTGGTATTCCACAAGGATCCGTAATTGCTCCCTTGTTATACTTAATCTATACTTTTGACTTGCATACGATTTCAGACCAGAGCAGACAGAATTGAGCGGACGATTACCCAACTGACTTTCAGTTTTGCCTCAACTAACCTTACTCAAGTATTTATAAAATAAATTTAGGACTGACTATTGTAAGGTTAAATCTTGAAGCTTAATCCTACCAAGAGTTTTGCAATGTTAATCTGTACCAGAATCAACTATGAACGTTTTGAAAGGACGATTGATTTGAGGGTAAATAACGTCCATATTCCACTGGTCACACATGCAAAAGTTGAGATGTCACTTTAGACGTAAATCTTTGATTTTATCACCACGTCAGTAATATATTGAAAGCTACGTACAACAAAAACGAGAATGCAGAAAATTCAAAACTGTTGTTGATGTTTTGTTTTCAGTTTTCGTAGGTACAGCCATGTTACATCTAAGATTTGTTGGGGTGGCTAAAGCTCAAAAACCTTTTTGAGTCATGTGCAAAATAATCATCACAAATATACCTATGTACCTAGGAAGTAGGGTAGTCCCTTGTAGAAATCTAATTACAAGCTTATGACATGATGACCAGTTCGATATTCCTCTTCACTATTCTTCATTGTATCAAAGACTTTTTACGTACAATGCCGTTTGTGTTTGTTTAAGATTTATTTAGCCTGATTGCTACAATTACATTCTTTTAAAAAGCAATTACATAACATACAGGTTAATCCTCTTTTAAACATCTTTAAGTTACAAGTAGAACTTCATCATTTTCTAGTTTGTTAAATTCAAGTAATCCTTTCTGAAATATTGATTTGCTAGTTATTTTATTATTACAATTTTGTAAATGAAAATTTATATTTCCTCTTGTATAATAATTGTAGTAATGAGTATTCAATTCTAAGTAGCGTTCTAAGGGCCGTGTCGTCGTTCCTACAATAATTGTAAAACGCCTTTATGGCCTACTTGATTGTCATAGTCTTTTCTCTCCTTCAAAAATCTCTAGATTGCACCTGTTCCGTGTCAGCGTCAGCGCTCTCCTAATGTGAAGTTATGATTTTTTTTTAATTGTAGGAAATTTCAGGCGGATAAAACATGATATATACTAAGTGACATATAAATCCGAACACCCAGTTTAAATGGTTTTATTTTAATAAAATTTTGTATAAGTACTTAATGAAGCATAATAAGTAAATGATAAAAATTTCAAAATGATTGCACTGCTTTAAAGCCCTTTGACCTTTAATAATGTGTGGATGCACCCTGATGTGCTACGCATTCTCCAACGCGCCTAGGCATGCTTCTGATCAGGTGGTCAATGTCCTCCTGTGGTATCTCACTCCAGGCAACCACCAACTCCTCTCGAAGTGCTTCTAGAGTTTGAGGAGGACGTTGCAAATTGAGCAATCTCCTACCCATCATATCCCACACGTGCTCAATTGGGGATAAGTCGGGAGATCTTGGTGGCCATGGTAACAATGTGACATCATTATGTTGAAAGAAGTCTATTGTGACTCTTGCAACATGTGGTCGGGCATTATCTTGTTGGAAAGTTGGATCTGCCAGGGTGACAAGATAGGGTAAAAGATGGGGTTCTAGAACTTCGTGGATATAACGCTGCGCGTTCATGTTACCTCTGATGAAGATTAAAGGTGACCTGGAACCATAAGCTATAGGACCCCAAACCATAACTCCAACAGTGTGATAAACATGTCTTTCAACAAAAAACTGTGGATTCCTCCTTTCACCACGTCGCCTTCTAACCCTGGCACGACCATCGTGCATGCCTAAACAAAATCGAGACTCGTCACTAAAGACAATACTGTTCCATTCCTGATCCCAGAGTGACCGTTGTCTGCACCACTCAAGGCGATTACGTCGGTGTTCTCGAGTTAAAGGGAGGACCCAGTGTGGCCGGTATGAAAACAAGCCAAAACTTCTCATTCGTCGGTAAACACTTCGCATGCCAATAGGTCTTCCGTGTTCTGCAAACCATTCATTTGCAATAGACCTGGTAGTGGAGAAACGGTCCCTTAAGGCCAATAATCTTAGGCGGCGATCTTCACGGTCTGTTGTTCTACGGCGGCGTCCAGTGCCCCTTGCTCTTTGCGTACGGCCTTCTCGTAGCCATGCCTGACAACACCTAACCACAGTGTCTACACTTCTTTGCACTGTAACTGCAATTGCCCGAAAAGAAAGTCCAGCTTCCCGAAGTCCCACTATACGGCCCCTATCAAACTCACTAAGTTGACGAAATCGTACAGGTCTCCGTACTCTAGGCATTGTAACCGATCGTAAAGGATGTCAAGAACCAAAATCCGCCAACGTTGATTCTTTACTGCGGCTGAAATATTCATTTTTAGAGCGTTAGTGAATTAAAAAAAAAGCAGTATTAAAACCGGAATGTCCAACTGATAAGGCTGAAAATTTTTTCACTTGTTATTTACAGTAAGATAAATACATTCACCAACTTTTATTAAAATAAAACCATTTAAACTGGGTGTTCGGATTTATATGTCACTTAGTATATTTGTTACCCTTTTCTTTCTGGATTGCTATGCATGTAAATAGTATAATTTCATAACTGTTCTATAATTGTTTTTATGTTACTTGTGCAAACTTTTTGTAATGTTTGGTGCATATTATGGTTAAGTGGAAGAGTGGCCGGCAAGCTAAACTTCGCCATGATGTGGAAGATTACCAATAAAGTCGATTTATTATTATCTCTATTATCATTCTATTCTTTTTTTTAGCAAAATGGCTGGCTTGTCAGAGCATGGACAACAAAATAGTGATATTCTCAGCGATGAACCGTTTCAAGATAAACCGAAAGAAGACCTTCACGGGTCACATGGTAGCAGGATACGCATGCTCTTTAGACTTTTCCCCAGACATGAGCTATTTGGTGTCAGGAGATGCAGATGGAAAATGCTACATTTGGGACTGGAAGACGACGAAGTTGTACAAAAAATGGAAAGCGCACGATAACGTCTGCGCCAGCGTTTTGTGGCATCCGCACGAGCCCAGCAAGTTGATCACTGCTGGGTGGGATGGAGTCATCAAATATTGGGATTGAGATCGTTTTATTTTCATTGTAAATACACCTTTATTTTGTTATATGACTAAATATATGATGATGTAAATAAGTTTTTCTAAATAAAATTCGTCTAAGGCTTTTTTTTTATTTATATCGAAACAGCCGCGCATTCAGAAGCCTAAATGCCGGAACATCGCGGCTGCTATGATGATCCCAAAAAAATTTTGTTAATACGATTTTTGAACTGCTTAAGGTTAGTAGAACCGGGAAAAGCTTCCTACCGTAGATTGTTCCAAAAATCTAGACACCCTCGGGACAAAGGAGCGGTCGTATCGGCCAGTTCTGGATGTACGAAGCTTGACCCGGTTAGGATGGGACGCCGAAGTCAGGCGGGTCTGTCTGGCAGGCACATCGCGCGGCGGCATCATGGAAGAGAGCTCTGAGGAGCAAAGCCCGTGGGTGTAGCGATAGAAAAGAGCTAGATCGCCGACGACCCGCCGGTGCGAAAAAGTCCCGAGACTGTCTGTTAGAGAAGAGTCATCGATCAGTCGGACCGCCCTCCTCTGGACAGCATCGAGCATGGACAATGTAGTCGGGGCGGCAGCACCCCAAATGTGTGAGCAATACTCGAGGCTAGGCCTTATCTGGGCCTTGTATAGAGTGAGAAGGTCATGCCGAGAAATGTACTTCTTAGCCCTAAACAAATAGCCTAGCTTTTTCCAAGCAGCTGCAGCTATTGAAGAGATGTGTTCGTGCCAGATCAGGTCCTCCGTGATCTGGACTCCGACCAGCCGAAATGAATGGCTCTTTGGTAGAACTCGACCGTCCATCGAAACTGTATGAGCGCTAGGACGCTTTTTGTTCGTCAAAGTACAGTACTGTGTTTTGGAAGCATTGAACTGTACAAGATTGTTGCATCCCCAAGCAGTGATAGCCTCCAGGTCTCTTGTCAGAGAAGAAGTCGTCGCTAGTCTTATTTTTTCCAGCTCAGCGGCAGAGATCGGCTTGTCACTCTGAATTCCTGCATGTAGAGTGCTGTCATCAGCGAAGCTGTGGATTGGGTTGATCGTACAGGAAAGGAGGTCTTTGATATGTAAGAGAAACAGTGTTGGAGCCAAGACCGATCCCTGGGGAACACCCGCGTTGACGTTGTGGGATGAAGAGGAGAATCCGTCAATTACGACGGATATCTTGCGGCCAGAGATAAAGTCAGCCACCCATCTGCAAAGTTTTTCTGGGAGGCCGTAGGATGGAAGTTTGCTTAAGAGGGCAGCGTGCCACAGCTGATCGAACGCTTTCGTGATGTCAAGAGCAACGACATGAGCCTCACCATGAGACTGGATGAGTTTACTCCACAGTTGCGTGACGTAAGCTACGAGGTCCCCTGTGGATCGTTGGTGCCGGAAGCCGTACTGCCTGTCGCTATTCAAACTGTGACGTTCGAGGTAGTCCAGAAGCTCGCGATTTATGCACCTCTCCATCACTTTACTTATAACAGAAAGCAGAGCTATAGACCTGTAGTTGTAAGGGTCGGTCTTAGATCCTTTTTTTGGGATGGGCTGTACATGAGCAAATTTCCAGTTTTCTGGGAAGGTGCCGGATTCATAAGATATCTGGAAGAGACGCGAAAGAACTGGAGCAAGCTCCGCTGCACATCTCTTCAGTACAATGGCAGGAATCAAGTCCGGGCCAGAAGCTTTGTTGATGTCGAGCGACAAGAACACTCGTCTTACGGTCTTATGCCTGAATGTTTCCTCCCGCATAGTGTGGGGAACCCTTTGAATTGACGGCACTTGGGCGGTGGTGGGCACGTCCATGGTGGAGTTGGCAGCAAAGATCTTGGCTAGCACTTCCGCCTTGGCCTTTGAGTCGAATACAATAGTTCCATCCTGACACGTAAGTGGTGGAAGGCTACTGTGTGAGAAGTTCTTTTCAATCTGCTTGGCCAGCGTCCACAAAGACCGACTGCCATTACCCTGTGCCTAACTTTTATATCATGCTGGTTTTTGGCATTGCGAACCGCTTCGTTATATTTGTTTCTGGACTCGACGTCGGCTTGTCTGTTCTCTACAGTGGGGTTTTGTAAGTAGGTTCTGTGGGCCTTGATCTTTTGCTGGCGAGCAGTGTCACACGATTTGTTGAACCAGCCGTTGGACCCTGGTTTAGGAACTTTCACTGTGTGAGGGATGTATTCCTCCATTCCGACGTGGATAATTTCGGTTATTGAAGAACAGACAGTCGACGCATCCGCGTCAGTGAAACAGACATCTCTCCAAGGAAAACTAGAGGAGCCCCTCCCAGTCGGCATGTCCGTAATGCCAAGTTTTGCAGCCTGTGCGAGTTTCTGCTGCCACAGCGGCTTCTGACCGAAACCTAACCTCCACAACACCGTGATCTGAGTTACCCAGGGGGGACAGGACAGCAGTGCTGTAAGTGCTTGATGTTGTTTGACTTTTTTAATTCTAGCAATTCTTTATATTTACATATACCGGGTATTTTAATTCGACCTTTACCATTGGGAACGGTAAGAGATACGAAGTGACTTAAATAGCGACAAAGTTGCGTATTTAGGTAACACGATGCCGCTTAGAAGGGTTTGAAACCCAGATAGCTTCCGGAAAGAAACGGAAGAAAAACAGGATTTTCCTAAAATAGTTTTAATTTGTTCCTGACTTGATTTGTAAAAGGTTTTTTAAATAAGCGGCACGTTAACTTTGCCACTTTTTCTCCTCTTAAGATGGCCTAATTGGAATTTCAATATGACGTTTCGTCTCTTGTCCTCCAGCATCAACTTTTTCATAAGGATGCCACATTCAGGGATGCTGGCGACTCACTTTTTTCCGCTCACTTTTACTCACTTTCGCCCTCGCTATTCATATTATAGTTTATGGACGTTTTCGAGAGAGCTGTCCTTGTTCTCTCAAACTCCATAGAAATAAATGACGTGATTTTTTTTGTAAAAATAAACTATAACAAAGTTGTTCGTGTATAGGGTTTTCCCCAAACTGAGCCAACAATATGTATTACATGAGAAATTACTAGGATTAGTTAAAATCTCAAAATCGTTTATGAAAGCAAAGTTGTGCATTTAGGTAACTAATAAAATCTTACTTAGATATAGGGGCTTTTTCGTGAGTCCACTGTGTAGCGCATTGTAATACTGGGAAATGACCCAAATTTTCGCGAAGAACGGGAATAGGGGAAGATAGATGTGACGTCATCCAAATGTCAAAAAGTCACGACACTGCCTAACGTAAGTGAGGTACTAGCGGGTGACAGGCCTTATGTTATATCATTTAAAGAACATACATCTCAATTGAAAATTTGTCTTCGCAGTACCGAAAAGTGAGTTAAATCAAGAAAATGGAGGAACAGGTTCACCTGACTTTAAATGACGAGGTCATTGTAGATATGGCAACCGCACATGTCATGTCAAATGGTAGATTTTATTGATATATTCATTGCATATAAAACGATCGGTGTCTTTATTTCAGTTTCAAAGGAAGCAGCTAAGTTTATCAAGGAGCTTAAAGCAAAAATTTTGCGTAACAGGCGCCACCCTAACCACTCCCGCACGGCTATTATGTAAAAACCTACAAAACGTCAAAAAAAAAACAGTAAAATGTCATCTTATAGACTAGGTAGTTTTTAGGGTGCAAATAGTTCATTACACGTTTGCTCGCTATGGTCGCTGTGAGCGTCCATCTGCGGAGGAATGACTCAACTACACGCATTGTTGGTTGCAGAGGGCAAGCATGTTTTGGGAAGCCGAGTAGTCTGTAGAGAAGATGTGAAAGAAAAAAAGATGGTTGAATAGCAAAATCGCATCTGGATGATTATGTGTATTAGTCTGCATGTGTATATAATCAGTCATATTTGTTATGTGAGAAAATTATTACTGAATATGCTTCCAATGAAGTAACTGTTGTTGATTTGTTAGAATGCATGTGTGGGACAAATCCTGAAACTGAACCAATTAACATTGACCAATCGAGGTGAATTTCTGTATGCGTCTGGTTCATGTGACCATACAAAATGAATTAACTGCCGCCATTTTGAATCTAATATGGCGTATGCTACATAATGGCGACTTATCATTTCCGTAGTATATGATATGGGTATCAAATGAAAGAGAAGAGAGAATAAGCAAACTGACGTCGTTCTAAATTCAATATGACGGAGGTCGGAAGATGGCGTTTATAATTTCTATAGTTACCCCTATGACATGGTTATCATCTGAAATTGCCGGATGAGAGAGATACAGTTTTCAACGTGACGTCATTTTAGATCCAATATGGCGACCGCAGCAAAATATCGATTTATAATTTCCATAGTCACCCCCATATTATGGATGACAAATGAAAGGGATTGATGAAAGTAACATAAAAAGCAAGGTGACGTCAATGTAATCCAATATGACGGACGTTTAATTTAACAATGCGCTATTATTATGACATGGAGATGGAGATGATCTGATGATGAAGCCAGGAAGTGGCCATGGGAATCCATCGAATAGAGCCTCGCTTGATTCCTAATGACAAGTACTCTAGTCTTACAATCCTATGATTAAGTTAGTCAACTATTGTGTAAAAAATACTACTTTTTAACATTAGTTCGCTAAAACAGGGTCAATCAATTAAGCAAGAATACTTAATATATAATAATAGGACGTCTCCCGCATTTACAAGAATTTGTTATATTTTTTTCATGCGTCGTATGCATTTGATCTTAATATATACATACATACATATGAATAATTATTTTTGCTTACGTCAATAAAACAGTAACAAAGACCTTATATGAGTTATTCTCGGTTTTTTCACACATTCTTATTTTTATTATTCGTTTAAATTTGGCATTATGATATTCAATTTGTCAGAAAATTAATTCACTTTTTCAGTAGGGGGAATCCGGGAGGCTTGCTCAGGTGGGAGACTTGCCATTCCGTGATATATTTACTTTAAAATTGCGCACCATAATCTGAAACGAGAGAAAACGGGACGCCCTCTAGTGCTTCTAGGCGTCTACGAAATCCTAGTTGACTTTTCTCAGTTTGTTTTGTATCTGACCCGAGGCATGTGGGTTTTTGCGTTTAAACCAAAAATTAATACTTATACAAATTTCGTGATTATGTGGGCAAATTAAAAGGTAAGTTTTAGATTCTGGTGTGGGTATATTAATTAGACATTGTAGATTTATGCACCATAAATGTTAAACGTGCACTATTCATGATTTTTAAGAAAATTGAAGCTAACCTGAAAAAGAAAGGTGTGGGAGACTCACCCATACCTCATACTTCTGATGTAATTCTAAATTGGTATTTGTCTTTAATTAATTTTAGTAAAAGTTAATGCATTTTTTTTATTACAGGTCTGTACAATGCCATTTAAGTACAAAACAAAAGACGGTTCTACTCGCATAAAACTTGACAAGGATGTTCTTAAAAATGCACTAGATGAACTAGCCAAAGGTACTTCTCTTCGAAAAACTTCTGCAAAATATGGTATTGATCGGAGGACTTTGAGACGCTAGGAAAAACAATGAAAATAAACTTGAAAAAATAGAAACTAAAGGCCAGTATAATACTTCACAAATATTCACATACAAGAAGAGAAGCTTCTGGTTGCATATTTTTTAAATTGCAGCAAAATGCACTATCGACTTACTCGAAAACAAGGAATGAAATTAGCTTTTGAGTTTGCAGTTTCGAATTCCAAAAAAATTCCAGAATGCTGGTCAAAAAATAGTTTGGCAGGGAAGGATTGGTTTCGCGGTTTTTTATCAAGAAATCCCGAAATAAGTTTAAGAGCTCCGGAGGCAACAAGCTTGTCACGATCTACAAGCTTCAATCGGAAGAATGTAAACGATTTTTTTCAAAACTTAAGGATTGTACGAGAAAAATTTAAGTTTGACCAACAAAATAGTTATAACTGTGATGAAGTAGGATGTACTACAGTTAAGGATTGTCCTAAGGTATTGGCCAGTAAAAAAGCTAAGCAGGTTGGTCAAGTTACTTCATCAGAGAGGGGCACTTTGGTGACAGTTTGTTTTGCAGTTAATGCAATTGGAAGCGTTATTTCACCCTTTTTTATATTCACTCGTATCAAATATCGAGAAGACTTCGTTTCTGATGGCCCAGAAGGTTCTAATGGGGATGCTTATTCAACAGGATGGATGACTGCTAGAGCCTTTCTAAAGTTTATGGAGCATTTCAAAAAATATAGCAACGCGTCACCAGAAAATTCTGTTTTGCTCATATTTGATAACCATGAAAGCCACGTGAGCATTGCAAAATGGGATTATGTTGTTAACGCTGCCCCCGCATTGTAGTAACAAGATGCAGCCATTAGATGTGGCCGTCTATTCCCCACTTAAACTAAGATACAATGCTGCATTAAGTAACTGGATGATAAGTAATCCTGGAAAAACAGTAACTATTTACAATATTCCCACATTTATTAAATCAATAATGTCCGCAACTTTTAGCCAAGCAAATATCCTTAGTGGATTTAGAAAGTGTGGGATTCATCCATTTAACCCTGACATATTTACTGAGGAAGATTTCTTGTGCTCAGCTGTGACCGACAAAGACAATTCTCACGGCGAAGATTCGTTAGCAATTCCATCTACTTACAGCAACAGGAATTAAGCAAACTCCCCCTAATCAAATCGCTGTAAATTTGGAAAATATAAATGAAAACGCACCCAACGAAATTCCCTCAACTTCTGCTATTACAGAAGCAGAAATCGTGCAAACTACACCTAAAAAGATGGCTGTAAGTACGACAAATATAAGTAAGGACATGCCTACAAGTATATTTGATAATACACCCAAAAATACACCATCTAGAGCTACATCATCTTCTCTCATAACACCTGAGATGATAAGGCCATTTCCAAAAGCTGGTCCCAGAAAGACAACAAGGCGTGAAAAACTAATATTATCCCAAAGTCCAGAGAAGGATGAAAATTATGATAATTTCCAACATAAATCACCAATAGAAAAAACTAAACAAAAAATGGATAAAAAAACAAGGCAAGCAAACTTAAAAAAAGAGTGATAGACACTATTAAGGGGACTAAAAATGAAGAAACAAAAAAGACAAAAACGACGTCTAAGAATGAAACAAATAAGGAGGCTAAATGGACAATAGATTTATCTTCAAGTGATAGTGGAACTGATAACGATAAGATATCTTAGGCTGAAAGTTCTGATGATGATCAGTGGGCAGAACCTCCAGATAAAGATGACAACTGGTACTGTTACATTTGTCAAACTGACGATATGCTTGATATGAGGCTTTGTATTATTTGTAAAAGATATGTCATGAAGTATGCGTCGGGCTAACAAAATCAGATACCGAACTGTTTAAGTATCATGAGTGTGAATAAAAATTAGGCTAATATCTTTGTTCATATTAGACTTTTGTTTAATTTTATTTTTCATTCTTACTTTCATACTTTTTTAAAATTATTTTTATTTGTTTTTTGCATTAAACCTATGTTTATTCTGATTTCAAAGATTTAGATTTAGTTTCGTTCTTGAATAAGTAAAGTTTTTTGTTTTATTTTCTGAGTTTTTCGAATACAAAAGTTATTATTTACATTTGTTTTTATTTAATAAGGGGGGTGGGCAAGTCTCCTTCTGACTATGGGCAAGTCTCCCGCATATGTGGAAGAGTTGCCCATGTTTTCAAAAAAATAAAAAAACTATATATTTTTTTTCTGACTTATTTTTTTAAGTTTTAAATGATAAAACAAGGTTCCTAAAAATATATGCTACGAAGTCATCTAAAATTTATTGATTTATATAAATAGGAACAAATTTGATCACCAATAAGTCTCCCGGACTTCCCCTATAAATTTATTTCTCACTTATTTTTTTTTAAATCTCACTTTTTTGACTTAAATCCATGCTTTGGACCATCAGCACCCCTCCATATTAGATTCTTATACAGACTAACAACAAACAAAGTTGGTGACGGAAGTTGAAATAAGAAACTTTGAATTTAAATCCAAAATGTTTTTTCGCCTTTTACACAGGAAAAGACCGTTCAACCTTTTTTGTCAAAACAAATTATCTAATTTCAATATCCAAAAAATTATCAGGCTGATTCCGCTTTTGTCTCAAAAACAAATCGAATCCCTCAACATAGTCAAAGAAAAATTGACCAAACGCATCATCCATGTTTTTCTTCTTATTTCTATCCTTTTTTCTCAAAGTAGGCCTAGGAGTCGTAGAAGTACTCCTAGTTGTCATAGTAGTAGGTCTAGTCGTCGTAGCAGTAACTCTTCTAGTAGTAGTTCTAGGTGTCGTAGCCCTGACAACTTTCGACACCTCAGTCGTTTCACTGGGATCTAGTGCGTTTAGTCTATTAAACCTTCGTTTGTTCTGAGCCCTGGATGATTTGACAGACTTGATATTCTTAGGCAGTTCGGAACAGCACACTTTTGGGAACCCCATTTCGAACCCACATTGTTGGGACCTCAGGTAGCTGACGATAGGCGCGCTGAGGGGTTTTTCTAGAGTGCTGATAACATCCATGTACGAGGTGCAATCACGTAGTACGGTACAGTTGTCTCGGGAATCACATTGTCGACCTAGAAAAAAATAATATATAGAATGTTACAGACAGTGCCCAGAGATAACACCACTGCAACGTCTGAAAAAAGCGTTTTTTTGTCATGTTTTTTTATGTGGAAGAAAAGGTAACAAAATAATTGTCAGCATATAGTTGAGTAGCAAAAGAAAAGTTATTATAAAAAAAAATCGAAAATGTGGACACCGCAGCTATACTAAGTGACATATAAATCCGAACACCCAGTTTAAATGGTTTTATTTTAATAAAAGTTGGTGAATGCATTTATCTTACTGTAAATAACAAGTGAAAAAATTTTCAGCCTTATCAGTTGCACATTCCGGTTTTTATACTGCTTTTTTTTTAATTCACTAACGCTCTAAAAATGAATATTTCAGCCGCAGTAAAGAATCAACGTTGGCGGATTTTGGTTCTTGACATCCTTTACGATCGGTTACGATGCCTAGAGTACGGAGACCTGTACGATTTCGTCAACTTAGTGAGTTTGATAGGGGCCGTATAGTGGGACTTCGGGAAGCTGAACTTTCTTTTCGGGCAATTGCAGTTAGAGTGCAAAGAAGTGTAGACACTGTGGTTAGGTGTTATCAGGCATGGCTTCGAGAAGGCCGTACGCAAAGAGCAAGGGGCACTGGACGCCGCCGTAGAACAACAGACCGTGAAGATCGCCGCCTAAGATTATTGGCCTTAAGGGACCGTTTCTCCACTACCAGGTCCATTGCAAATGAATGGTTTGCAGAACACGGAAGACCTATTGGCATGCGAAGTGTTTACCGACGAATGAGAAGTTTTGGCTTGTTTTCATACCGGCCACACTGGGTCCTCCCTTTAACTCGAGAACACCGACGTAATCGCCTTGAGTGGTGCAGACAACGGTCACTCTGGGATCAGGAATGGAACAGTATTGTCTTTAGTGACGAGTCTCGATTTTGTTTAGGCATGCACGATGGTCGTGCCAGGGTTAGAAGGCGACGTGGTGAAAGGAGGAATCCACAGGTTTTTGTTGAAAGACATGTTCATCACACTGTTGGAGTTATGGTTTGGGGTGCTATAGCTTATGGTTCCAGGTCACCTTTAATCTTCATCAGAGGTAACATGAACGCGCAGCGTTATATCCACGAAGTTCTAGAACCCCATCTTTTACCCTATCTTGACACCCTGGCAGATCCAACTTTCCAACAAGATAATGCCCGACCACATGTTGCAAGAGTCACAATAGACTTCTTTCAACATAATGATGTCACATTGTTACCATGGCCACCAAGATCTCCCGAGTTATCCCCAATTGAGCTCGTGTGGGATATGACTGGTAGGAGATTGCTCAATTTGCAATGTCCTCCTCAGACTCTAGAAGCACTTCGAGAGGAGTTGGTGGTTGCCTGGAATGAGATACCACAGGAGGACATTGACCACCTGATCAGAAGCATGCCTAGGCGCGTTGTAGAATGCGTACCACATCAGGGTGCATCCACACATTATTAAAGGTCAAAGGGCTTTAAAGCATTGCAATTATTTTGAAATTTTTATCATTTACTTATTATGCTTCATTAAGTACTTATACAAAATTTTATTAAAATAAAACCATTTAAACTGGTTGTTCGGATTTATATGTCACTTAGTATATTTTCGCCAGGCACATAGAATTTGAAGCACTCTGCCTGAAATAAGTGATTTAGAAAATATTGATTTTTGTATGCTTGGCGAGTATTTGAATTGCAACGGTCAATTTTCGAAGAAAAAAATGTCGTCAAGTATACTGACTCTATGCTTCCTGCGCCTTCGTTGGAGGTTTCAAAGAAAAGGGATGAGTCAAATCCAGGGGCGGCAAGCCCTTAAGTTCTGCAGAGCTGCAGAACTGCCAAAACTTTTGTCTTAACAGAAAAAAGCAGTAGTAATTTGATCATTATTTATTTGCCATGTTATCACACAAATAGAAACAATACCGGCCGCAATTAATAATTGCTTTCGCAGGTCAAAAAAAGAACCAGTTCGGAACTAAAACTGAACCATCCAGAATTAGAAAAATGCGCATGTCCAGTTATTTTCTAGTTCGAGATTTTCGTTTACCGCGAACGACTTTGGAACCGTTTGCGTATTCAACACTGTTGCCAATCTGCCCTTAATTGGCGCTACGGGGCCGCGACGAAACCGAGAGCTCCCAAAACCCGGGAATATTTCGTGGACTGATTAATTTTTCTGCTGAACTTGATACAACCTTAGGCGAACACATAAAAAATACTTCAATATTTAAAGGAACTTCGAAAGAAATACAAAACGATCTACTGGATTGTATTCTTGAAGTTTGTCATGAAGAAATAATACTCGTAAAACAGATTATCAGAGCCTCGTATTTGGCGATAATAGCAATGAAACAACGGACATTTCGGGGAAAACCCAACTTATAACAAGTTTCAGATACGTACTTAACGGCGAACCAGTAGAACGTTTTTGGAATTATATGAATCGCGAAAAATGTGACGCTGGTACTCTCACAAGACATATTTCGAGCGTCGTAGATCCATTAATAGGAAATTTCCCTAACAAACTGATTTCACAAAGCTATGATGGAGCCGCGGTAATGAGCGGACATAATGCTAGAGTACAGGCAAAAATTAAACAAAGATACCCATTTGCTCACTATGTGCATTGCTATGCGCATCAGTTAAACCTGATTATGTCCCAAGCTGCTTCCACAAATGCTCAAGTTGGGGATTTGAAGGATATTCCGGGATTTTTTAATAATTCTCCTCAACGCGTAGAGGTACTGAACAGAATTGTGGGGAAAAAATTCCCCAAGGAGCAACAACTCGTTGGAATTTTAATATTCGAACAATAAATGTAGTGTTTGAGAACAGAGAATCACTCATTGAATGCATGGAAGACATAGAAGAAAATTTCACTAATGAAACCGTTTGCAAGGCAGCTTGCGGTATTCGCCGTATGTTAAACGATTCTCTTTTCGTGTTTTGGTTGACATTTTTTCATCATGTCATGCCTCACGTCGACATCTTGTTCAATTAGTTGCAGAAGAGAAAAACCGAGCCAGCGCAAGTTAAAACGGCTATCGATAATTTTGAAGAATATATTGTCGATGTGAGAAATAAAATTGACGACATAATAAATGAAGCTAAAATTATTTGCACTGAACCCCAAGGCAACAAAAGGAGACTACGTAATAATAGCAGTCACGATCACCAAGTTGCCGTATTAGAAGTATGCGACAATATAGTGAATTCTGCAAATGACAGATTTCAATTCAAAGATCATTTGGTAGCCGCATCCCTTTTTTTCCCCGAACACTCTGGAGAATCCTGTGGTAAGTTTCCTGATGACAAGTTGGAAACTACCTGCCTGAAATTTTGGATACAAAATGGTTTGGAGGAAACACTAAAAGAAACAAAAAAGCTATTAGAAATTATTGTGACAACTCCTATGTCAACATCAGAGGCTGAGCGAAGTTTCTCAACATTGAAAAGAATCAAGACTTTTCTTCGAAATACTATGACCCAGGATCGCCTTACAGCGTTGTCGATGCTGTCCATTGAAAAGGAATTTATTTCGACCATGGAAAATTTCAACGGAAAGGTGATCGACAAATTTGCTGCCAAGAAGGAGCGCAGGATCGAACTGACATATAAAAAATAGGTACGTTTGGATTTGCAGAACACCTGTTTTATTTTGCCACGAGCCGCCACTGGTCAAACCGTTTCAAAAGGCGAAATCGAATCGTGAGTAGGTAGGTTCACTTAGGTACGATGAATCTTCGACCTCTGCATATCAAAGCATATAAAGCAAATCTGTCATATTTCTGTTTCCATGGCACATGTAGGGAAAAAAGTTACTTATTATGTCTAATAGATGCATAGTATCACTGATATCAGCAGCTTCTGTCTTTAACTGATACCAAATATGTAACGATTTACTACCATTCTAAAAATTAGCAGAAATCTCTGAAACGTGGTAACACTATGTTCCAGCAATTTTGTTCCCGCCACCTCTGAATCAATTTTCAAAATCTACGACTACCTAAACGATGGAAGTATTAAATGCGCGAGAATATTCGAACTTCATTTGACAAGTTTTTGGTTGCTTAAAGATATCTTCATTACTCAGGTCCATGTTTCTCATCATGTCGGTTGGTCAGTCCGTGTCTATTGTATAGAGGAAGTGCAGCATATTTGGAATACTGTATGTAACTTGGAATACTTAGTCATCTAAATAAATGCAAACTCTATCGTTATTTTTTTTGCCGGGAATATACTGTCGTAATTCACACGAAACCACAAGTACTAAAAACAGGATGTCATCTTGACATTTCCTGCTACCAGCCACACGGGAACGAACCATTTACTTTGAAAACTTTTTCGGTAAGAATGCAATCATTGGTAATCATTTACTAAGGCCCGTATCGTCAGTCGTCCCTACAATTGTAGGGCGCGTTTATGGCCTCCTTGATTGTCATAGTTTTCTACTTCTCCGTGTCAGAACTCTATTTTGAGGTTATGTCACAAACATCTATTTGCATCAAATTGTGCTTGCTTTTGAGTTAAGTATATCATGTTTTATCAGCCTGAAATTTCCTACAATTTAAAAAGAAAACATATCTTCACAATGGGAGAGCGCTGACGCTGACACGGGACAAGTGTAATCTAATTTTTGAAGGAGAGAAAGAAGTATGTCAATCAAGGAGGCCATAAACGCGCCCTACAATTGTAGGGTCGACTGACGATACGGGCCTTAGATGGTAAAATCTTCATTGCAATTATTTGAACTGTTATGTGTCCTTGTTAGTTCACAATTTTATTTTGATTTTGTGAATATATTTAGAATTAAAAATGTGACATGGAATTTCAAGTTAGGATGCCATGTTGTTAATTTGGAATACGTAAGTGCTTGATGTGCGAATTATGGGTTCACGCTGCTTGTAGCGCTCATAAATTTGGTGTGTATACCTGTGATTATTTTAAGAACAGTAACTAAGAACACTAAACCATAAGCTCAGGCTAAATACTGATTTGTGATTGTGACGGATTATGTAGTTAATCATTTACTTGATAATTAATAATTATAAGCTGTTTAATTAAACAGATTAATTAGCAAAGAGTGTAAAACGATTACAAAGTTGAGAAATTGATTAGTTTCCTAGAAAAAGTGTAAACAATTGTTAAAAAAGGTGATTATAATTTGAAATACTATATTCCAAATTACCTGCACCTTAAGTAAATTTACGCTTTTGGAGTTACTACTGGTTTTTTGTTTTGTTTGATTGTTTATAACATTAAAGTTTAATGATTTCCGAATAATTTAACGCATTATTTATTTTGCTATCCCGTTTATCTTGCAATTTATTTCCAAAAAACAAACCAGTATTCCAAATATGCTGCAGTTCCTCTATCAATGCATCATAAGTACTGAGTCAATCTACTTGGCGAAATATTCAGAGAACAATCATAGATAAACACAAATCAACGGTTAGGCGAAATGGGTGATACATTTAAAGATCATAAAATTCAGAAAAGTGTTTGTGTAGATATAAAAAAAGTTAGGTCATCATTTAAAAAAGCATCACAGGACGCTACAGTGGTAGGTATTACGATAATATAAAAATATTGCTAATATTTCTCTTGTAGCTGTGTGTAAGTGACGACACCACCGCAGGCCAGTTGGAGTTTGTTACCCATTACCCAGTGAGCGCAACGCGAACGATTGCGAGTTATTTCGAATTTTATTATTTAATTTTTCCGTTGGTACCGGAACCAGAAGTTTCTCGTTGATAGAACATCTTTGACTAATCCTAGAGACGTAACAGTTACAACCCCGTACCCCCTACGACCCGCAACTTCCAAGTTTCAACCCCTACAAAACAAAATTCCGAATATAATCTGAAGGCTCCGAATCGTCAACAAAACGGAGTTGGAGCGATTTTTATTTTTTTCGTGTTTTCGAACCTAGCTTCGCCACCAGCAGACCGATTTCCAAAAACTACAAAGTTTTTTCATCCTTGGCATAGTAGTACCCATGTGAGAAAATTTCCGAAGGTACTTCTCAAGTTATAGGCCCAACTAGCAAAGTAGTGCTATAAGCTTTTGGTAAAGGAACCATTCAGCCATAAAAGCTCTCTATTGTTGTTGCCTGAACACCAAAATGCTGGGTTAATGTTGTGTGGAATGCACATTTGCTACATATTTGCTCTAAAATGAGGTGTTTAAAATATTCTTTAGCATAGTTATACAACACCTTATAGGACAAATTTTTAACTGTTGCATAAACGTTTATACAACTATTTTATACGGCATATTTGCACGTTAGTCAAAATGGTTGCATTGTGGCCTGCATGGTAACGTTTATAAAACAAACCCGAGCCCTGTTGTTTTGCTGTGCATATTACTACTTTAGCCAACAAGTTGCTCCCAACGGAAGCACTTATACAACTGTTGTTTAGTAACTGTTAAAGGCTGTACATATGCTAAATATGTTGGTATATAACTTCACCATAACCTAACTTTCTACTGTCAGATTTTAGTTAAAATGCCATAACCAATGATTTAAGACAAACAACGCATGCATATTGGTTCAAAAGGTTTTATCAACTGTTCAAACAGAAGATACAGATCTGGTACAAATTCTGGGTAAATCATTGGACTCTGTCGGTATGTCATTTCAGACATTTGTCAAATTGTTGTATAACACCTGCAGGCAACACCAAAATATTCTAATAAACTGAAGACAACATGGACGATGCCATGATTATACACAACCACCAGCCATATTGGGCAAACATTTATTCCTCTATTTAATATTAAATAATTATGTTTCAGTTCGAAATTAGAGATCTAAAGTGATAAACATTAGTGTAATTGTGTCTAAATATAGGATTTATGGAAGATTTGACGCAGATAAGTTCAGTTTTCCATCTTAAAAATCTAGACATACTTTTGATCATTATCAAAATATGCATGAAATAAGAAGCCCGTAGAAATTGCGTAATTACTTTGCACGATAATCACAATAAAATTTGCTGTGCAAGTAATTCAATAGCCCTATATCACAGTGTAGAAGTTTATCATATATCTACCTGTGTATTAAATTCACAATGGGCGATATGTAAGTAAACAAGATGACTGTAAGGTGTTAGTTATATATTCTTCACTTCGTCTATGCAATAGATAAGAAATAGTTTGGTTGCAATAAAATAGAATCACGTAACAGAATAGTTGAATAGTTGACAAAAACTGAATCTTCCACTGACGCAAATGTCCTATATCGGCTGCAAGGGGCTAACACTTTTGTTGTATAAATATTACCTGCAGCCCTTATACAACCCCTTAAATGACTGAAGTGTCCTCTTAGGTGTGCCCATTCCGCTTGTATAGCTGTACTAAGAGGGTTTTGCCAATGTTCTTACAGTATACAATGCTGTGTAAGGAATACTGTATAATCATTTTTGCAACTCTAATAGGAGTGATAATTGTTAGTTGGGAGATTAGCGGACAAACCGACAAACAGACAAGCCGACGGAAATGAGTGACATTGTTTTTCGTGATGTACATGTCATATAACATCCAAAAAGCATAATCTCCGATACGGAAATTTTTCACGGTTACAATATACTTCCTCGCCAGTTTTGGCATAGGAAGTAAAAGGTAATCATTTGTTAATAAATAATGATAGAATTAACTTATCGAAAATCCCCTGAGTATTTATCTTCAAAATGTTATTTTAAAATATCGCAAAAAATTCGAAAAGGATATTTTTTCGAGTTATCTCTTATCTCAAGAAAAACTCTTCGGTGCTCCTTTTTTGAATATTTTTATTGGGTTGGAGGAGTTTTGTTTTACCTGAAGATGGTTTTGACTGGACAGCTGGACTGACAGTTTCGTCCTGACAACAAATTTTCGGTATTCCTCTGTGGAATCCGCATTGCCTTTCTCTTAATAGTTGAACTGTGGATGGTTTCAGTGGTTTTTCTAGGCCTTTCGTGGATTTGCACTCGTCAAGGGTAATGCAGTTGCAAGCATTTATACCTGTTATAGAAGAATAGTATAATTAATATATTTGGATGTTTCCAGAACGAGTAAATCGTATTACAATCAGTTGCAGTCATTCAAATTCTTGACTGAGCTCTAGAATTTAATGCGAAATATACAGAAACGAAGTTTGGGGGTGCTTTGTTGTGAATTGGTATTCGATTGTTCAAAAATTGGATTCGAAACCAAGCCATTGTTGACACTTAACACTTATTTGTTAATCATTATACGCTGCACGGTAGGCTGACTCATATCTAATTTCATAGAATAAATCAGTACTTATACAATATTTGACTTAGGAAAGCGAAGTATTTCAATTTCAATTCTTAAATGCCTAAGGTGGATATCGTCGCCCTAATAAGAAAACTGCCTGATCCTTTTTGGCTCCATCTGTTAGAGAATGCTATCGTTCGTCAATCTACCAAACGATATGTTCATAGAAAAATCTACACGCATGCAGATGATTCTGATGGCGAAAAAAACTGCTCTGAGAGACGCATCCTCGAACGTGCCAAATTATACTGTTCAAAATTCCGGCATAGATTGTTCCAACACATCATCAGCAGGTTTTATTCTCACTGATCCAAAACATCTCACCAGTAATATAGTTCAGAATATGGATATGGATTCAATAACAGATCATCCATACCTTGTAGTTGAGAAACTGTATCGTTAGAAACAAATATACTAAGTGACATATAAATCCGAACGCCCAGTTTAAATGGTTTTATTTTAATAAAATTTTGAATAAGTACTTAATGAAGCATAATAAGTAAATGATCAAAATTTCATAATGATTGTACTGCTTTAAAGCCCTTTGACCTTTAATAATGTGTGGATGCACCCTGATGTGCTACGCATTCTCCAACGCGCCTAGGCATGTTTCTGATCAGGTGGTCAATGTCCTCCTGTGGTATCTCATTCCAGGCAACCACCAACTCCTCTCGAAGTGCTTCTAGAGTCTGAGGAGGACGTTGCAAGTTGAGCAATCTCCCACCCATCATATCCCACACGTGCTCAATTGGGGATAAGTCGGGAGATCTTGGTGGTCATGGTAACAATGTGACATCATTATGTTGAAAGAAGTCTATTGTGACTCTTGCAACATGTGGTCGGGCAATGGAAGTGGAGAAACGGTCCCTTAAGGCCAATAATCTCGGTCTGTTGTTCTACGGCGGCGTCCAGTGCCCCTTGCTCTTTGCGTACGGCCTTCTCGAAGCCATGCCTGACAACACCTAACCACAGTGTCTACACTTCTTTGCACTCTAACTGCAATTGCCCGAAAAGAAAGTCCAGCTTCCCGAAGTCCCACTATACGGTCCCTATCAAACTCACTAAGTTGACGAAATCGTATAGGTCTCCGTACTCTAGGCATCGTAACCGATCGTAAAGGATGTCAAGAACCAAAATCCGCCAACGTTGATTCTTTACTGGGGCTGAAATATTCATTTTTAGAGCGTTAGTGAATTAAAAAAAAGTAGTATAAAAACCGGAATGTCCAACTGATAAGGCTGAAGATTTTTTCACTTGTTATTTACAGAACATTCACCAACTTTTATTAAAATAAAACCATTTAAACTGGGTGTTTGGATTTATATGTCACTTAGTATAGTTCAGAATATGGATATGGATTCAATAACAGATCATCCATACCTTGTAGTTGAGAAACTGTATCGTTAGAAACAAATAATATTTCCGATACGAGTCGACAAATTCAAGAAAATGACATGTCAGCATTTTGTTTAATGTCTGATCACCAAATATTGGAGATTGTCGATGAAAATCTACAAATTTTTTAGAAAGCAGCAGAGCCGTCATTCGAAGTTGAAAACTTGCCAAATAGGCCTGTACCAGAAGAAGAAATGGATAATACGAATACTAAGGCACTTGAGATACATGAAAGACACTAGAATGGGCAAGAAATGGAAAGATGTAAATCACCAGTAGATGAGGCAATTGACTGAGAAGATATCCCATTTGGAAGTAACCTGAAAAAAGCGCCAGCGGAAGAGAATGCGGAAATAATTGAATGGGCCAAATACGCAGATAACTGAAATGAGAGTAAGGAAAAGAAAAAGGGGTAAAAATTATCTAAATGCCTGGTAGTTAATCAGAGGAAGAGAGAACAGGGGGTACAGTATAAGGGCAAGCGGAAACAAACAGAAGGTTGGACATACAAGGGATGTCTTTTAATGCATATGGAAGTAAAACAACACGGTAGGTAGTTTTAAATGACGTTATTGTTTTTCGAAGTATTCTCCACGAACCAGTTTTCGAAGCACTTATTCCACTCGTTTGCTGGCAGATCCAAAACGGCATTTTTGAATGCGTCAACTGCTTCTTCTAGTCACTGGAACCTTTGAACACGCAGTCTGTTTTTAATTTTCGGGAAAGTAAAGAATTTGCTAGTGCTTAGACCGGGACTATATGGAGGATGGTCCAATAATTCCACGTTTTCTTCCGTTAAATACTGCCTTGTTTTTTGGGCTGTGTGCGAACTTGCATTGTTTTGGTGGAGGATGATTCTTCTTTGGGGGTTGATTTTTCGAAGCTCGGTGATGACTTTTGGCAAACAAATGGTGGTATACCAATCCGCAGTAACAGTTCTTTGCTCATTAAGAGGAATTGTTGCAATATGACGCGCTTTTGACACAAATGTCGCGACCATCTTTTTCGAAACACTTCGAGAACGGATGACTTTTGTTGTCTTTTCTTCACCTTGGAACACCCAAACAGCCGACTGTCGTTTATTTTCTGGTTCATAACAGTAAATCCACGATTCATCACCACTAATAATGCTGTACACATTTTTTGAGTTTCCGGAATTGAAACGGTCAAGCGTTTTTTGACACCAATTAACCCTTGCTGCTTTCTGCTCTTCAGTCAACACATGGCGTATCCAACGAGAAACTAATTTTCTTACTCCTAATTCTTCATGTAAAATTTTTTGAATTGAGGTCTTTGAGATCTTCAAGGATGCCTCAATCTCGCGATATGTCACATGTCTATCTTCAATGATGAGTTTGCGCACAGCATCGACGTTTTCCTGGGTGACTGCCGTTTTTGGTGCACCCACCCTGGGATCGCCGCTAAGACTCACCCGTCCACGTTTGAATTCTCCATACCAACGGGAAATTGTCGACTGATGTGGCACTTCGTTGCCGAAAACAGACAGTAACTCAGCAAGGCATTCTTGTTGCGATAATTGTCTCTGAAAGTTGTAATAAATTATGGCGCGAAAATGTTCTCGGTTGAGTTTGAGTTTGGATGATTTGGTTTGTAAAAATATGTTTGTCGGTACTTTAGGGCTGAAGGGAAGAACTGTGGTGGAATGGGTTAAGGAAGATTTAGAAAACATAAAAAGTACTGAAGTAACAGAAGGCCGAAAGATGAGTATAAAAAGCATTGTTGGACAATCTAAACAAGAGCCATCTAATACCGGAGTTTTACAGTTTTTCGGCAACCTTGCGAAGATGGAAAGTCATCACTGTAGAGCAGCCAGTAAAAAATTCTAACTGGAGCCCCTGTGGATTTCAAAAGCGTCACTGTACAGATTTTATAAGTCTAACTACTGCATAAAGAATCGGGTAGAACCAGTGACAGGCAAAGTTTGATAGATACATTTGAAGAACTGAGCCTTTCGCAATTTCGTCCAAAAAAGATTAGGGTGATATTTTTGTCGGTTACCGCATATCTAATGTTAACGAGGTAGACTATAAACTTCACCAAGAATTAAAAGAAGCTAAAGCCGAAAAGGCAGCGGTTAACCAGCGAAGCCGTTGTGTTCACTGTAGATCTACAATTTGTTCTGCTGAGCTCAAAGATCAATGGGTCCAATATGTAGGCACTATAAGACTAAACTTATCGTACATAACTACACAATTTGCAATTTAAAAACTAAAGAGTCTTATTGCTATCTGTGGAATGAGGCTGAAGGGCAGCTGACCTCAAACAAATTCTCTTCAATTCTTGTATATTTCCTAGAAACAGAGATTATTCCTAAATTAGATCTTTCCAAAAAGATGTTCATATCTTCTAACTATCTATCAACAGTGATGATTGCACAGGTCAGAATCGTAACGCAACTCTAAGCAATGCACTCCTCCACGTTGCTACATTGCACAAAGTGGTAATTATACAAAAATATATTTTGAAAGGTCACACGCAGATGGAGGTAGACGCTGTTCATTCAGCTATAGAAGGAATAGTGAAAAATAGAAAGATAAATTTGTCGGCAGATTATGTTGAGGTATGTAGAATAGCTCGAAACAATCCTTTTCCAATATTACAATTCTATTCGACCCTGCAGAACTGCCGGCCATCCAATGGTAGTTGATATCAAATCTTTGAAATATGAAGATGGATCAATTCAATACAAATTACAACATACGGGAAAACTTTGGAGTGACCTCCCCTGAAGGGCTACGAAATATGTTCCCAATGGCATTAATCAACAGCCAAAAAATATCCTAAATAAAATCAACAAAATATTACTATTTTCAATGTGCTAAAACCGGAATGAAACTTATTTTTTCAATATTAGTTCAAGTTTTAGAGATACGGTAATTATATGTGTTCCTGCTGTGACAGTGTTAATATACTGTAATTCACAAGAATGCACGTGCTACATTTTTATATTCGGCAAGGAAACATGATGTAATCGGCATAATTGTGTTACGTTATACATACGTGTACATTATATTGTTTTATATTAGCCATTTTTTCCTCAGTTGGCTGACAGCGTTCATGCAAGATGTCTCGAAAGTGTGTAAACAATCCAGATCAGTTTTGTTACTCCACTAATAACAAAGGCATATCAGCTTTATTTCGGTTGTAAACTAGGTGATCAAGACAAACAGTGGGCACCCCACATCTGCTGTAATACATGTGCTTCAAGTCTGAGGAGCTGGTTAAATGGCAAAAAACGGTCTATGCGCTTTGCTGTCCCAATGGTTTGGAGAGAGCCTACAAATCATATTAATGATTGTTACTTTTGCATGGTACCTTGTGTTGGACAAGCCACAGGTATGTCCAAGAAAAAAAAATCGGTTATTAACTACCCAAACATACCATCTGCGATGAGACCTGTGCCTCACAGTGACGAAAATCCTATTCCAAAACCCCCAGAATCCTACACTTGCGAATCAGAAAACGAATCAGATCATGGCGATCGAGTGATTCGTCAGGAAGAAGATATGCCATCAACGTCAAGAGATCCTGATTTTATACCGAGCACGTCATGCCACCAACCGCACAAAATAACACAGTCAGAATGAAAAGATCTTGTAAGAGATTTAGAACTTCCAAAATGTAAGGCAGAGTTACTTGGATCAAGACTGCAGCAGTGGAACTTGTTAGAAGACGATGTTTCGGTATGTGTTTTTCGTAAACGCCACAAAGACTTAGAATCATTTTTCAATATGGAGAATAACTTGGTTTTCTGCAGTAACATTAACGGCTTACTGGCGGCTTTAAATATAAACTATAACCCAGAAGAATGGAGATTGTTTATAGACAGTTCAACATTGAGTTTAAAGGCAGTGTTATTGCATATTGGAAATATTTTACCATCTCTTCCTGTAGGGTATGCAGTTCACATGAAAGAATCATATGACAATATGAAGTACCTATTGACATGCATAAAATACGATGAGCACCAGTGGCATATTTGTGGCGATTTGAAAGTTGTTGCACTTTTACTTGGGCTGCAGCTAGGCTACACAAAATTTTGCTGTTTTTTGTGTGAATGGGACAGTCGGGCAAAGGCACTTCATTACACCAGACAAAACTGGCCTGTTCGTCAATTCCTAGAGCCAGGGCAGACAGCGCATATAGTGATTCTTATAAGTATATGAATGAATAAAAATAAAAAGTTTTTTATCTAAACCGCAACTAATTTTTTTATTTCATTGTCATTTTTGGATTCAGCGCCCCAAAATTAACAAAGAAGTGCACTTTTCCCACAAGATACAATTAAAAAACTAAAATTTGTTGGCCAGTGTTATGATACCTTACCTAGGCTGTGTATGAGAGTCGATTGAAAATAAAGAAGGACAAATACAATTTATGGTACTCATTCAAAGCATATATCAGGATTATTATAACTTTTATCTCAACCTACCACGTGAATAAAATGTATAGCTCTTCTTTGAGTTATAATAAATAATTATTTATTCTCATTCTTATTTGAGCTAGTCACGTGAAGATATGTTTTTTCTTACACCAAAGAAATGTCTATTTTTTTAATTCTATGTAAATAAATGTTTTTTTTTAAGTTTTATCCAATATTAGGCAGCTTTATGCCTAACTCTGCATTAAGTGTGAAAAACAAGTATAAGAAAAATGGATTGCTAACCTAATTATGATTACATTCTAAAATAGTTTGGATTATAAAATTAATAAACTTAAGGAACATTATTACTACAAATAGTTTTTCGTCTCTCCTGAAAATTGTATTGAATTGGACTTGGACAGTTTCCTTATTAGGGCGACGATATGTAATTCTAAACATTGCCGACTAAATTGTAAACAAAGAAACGTCATCCGTATGCCATTCGTGGACTAACGTTGTCTATTTTAAATGTTTCAAAAAAATACCTAATCAACGTAAAAATTTAATTTTTTCTCAGTTTATTGAAGGAATGATCCAAAAAATCAGAACAAAATTAGTCGGAACAAAAAAAATTGTAATTTGCTTAAAAAAATAATTATTCTGGGTTACTGACCGGTTACCTTTTGAGGCATGTCAAGGGTCACCGAACAAACGTAATTATAAAAAAATCGAGTTGGAAGAGTTGTCTCGCAAATGCGAGACGAGCGATGTTGCCAGTTGTGACAGACGAACACCACAGATGCTCTTAAATGCTTCGTAGTCTAAAAAAGACAAAAAAATATTACAAAACGTTTGCTAAATATCCCTTAAAATGAAGCAAGAGGTACCTAGCTGTTCGGTAACCCGAATCAAGTTTGTTTAAACACTTTTTTGAATGATATTATAAAAAAGGTTTCTTTATCGCCCGGACTAATTATTCCTAGGTTTTCTGTATCATTCTGAACAAAAAGACCTCTATTTTTTATAGTACCTTTTCTCTGAAGCCTTTCGTTTTCGCGTTATAAGCGATTTAATGTCTGAAAAAAACCTAAAAGTGGGTTTATAAACTCTGTCAAGTATCTAAATTAAAGTTTGAGCATTGCTCTACATCACCCGAAAGAGTATTCTGAGATTCGTTTATTTTTAAGAGATTTTTAACCTTGCTTGTCGAACGTTTAGTTCGGCAGACTGTATATCGCTGCCATTATTTTAATGTTAGTGTCGTGGAGATCATAAAACACTGTACAATACCATAATAATTATAATATTCGTGTAATTTTGTAAACAAATAATGCTTACCTTTTGTATCCCAAGCAATCACTTCCGTCACTATAATAACACTCACAATAACGCATCTCAGACCAAGAAACATATTTGTTCGTATTTTTCTCTACGTATACAATCGTTATAATCAAAACATCACTTGACACTTAGTGGTTCTTCTGTTGATCATTTGTTGGCCAACACCTCTAACGTCAAACAGTCGAAATATTTTCGTCATATTCTGGAGGTGAAGATTACGCCGAGAATTTGGTATTTCCGAATTAGAAAATTACCTGTGGCGAGAGGGTATGCAAAAGGGTCAGTAACAACCCTATAACAATAATGAATCATTCGAAATGCAAAGACCGGATTAAGATTTCCGGATTATGAATTCTTCCAGAGATGGTCAGAGGAATATTCGAATGGCTTGGGGCTATAAGGTACCGACGAGACATTTGAATAAAAAAAACATATTTCTATCTAACAGCCGGTGCACACGGACGTATTTTGACGGTGTGGTAACGCAACGTCCCGGAAATACATTGCCGTAAATGGATCGATTCACCCGGGACGCATTTTAACACTATGGTATAGGATTCGGCACCAGCCTTAATTTTATTGTTCAATTTCAATTTATTCAACCAATAACAAGCCGGGTGCCGAAATCACTACCGGAATGTTAAACAGTGCTGAAAACAGTGTCAGAATGTTATCAATAAACTGCTTCTACTAATATATATATATATATATATAAATATAACTTGAGACGTGGTCTTTGTCGTCTAGACCAGTTAGGTGAAAAATTAAAGCTTCCGCCTTTTGTTGGGTACTTCGACAAAATTTAAGCAAGGAGGGCTCTTGATACTTTTTTTATTCTCTCTAGCTTTCAATGGTCTTTGCCATCATCATCAGGAGAGTAGTATGTGAGGATGTTGTTAATTGTTGTTTACGTTAAGGATGAGGGAAACACCCAGTAACATGGTGAAAGCTGGATAAATGGTACAATGGCCAAAATTATATAAAATACACACAGCTGTATGACAAGGACAAGTTAAAAACAGATAAAATTTTTTTTAGAAATTGAAAGTTAAACATTACATCGTGAAAATGGTGGGCATGTGCAATCATCAAGTGGCTTCACGATGTAATGTTTAACTTTCAATTTCTAAAAAAAATTTTAATCTGTTTTTAACTTGTCCTTGTCATACAGCTGTGTGTATTTTATATAATTTTGGCCATTGTACCATTTATCCAGCTTTCACCATGTTACTGGGTGTTTCCCTCATCCTTAACGTAAACAACAATTAACAACATCCTCACATACTACTCTCCTGATGATGATGGCAAACACCATTGAAAGCTAGAGAGAATAAAAAAAGTATCAAGAGTCCTCCTTGCTTAAGTTTTGTCGAAGTACCCAACAAAAGGCGGAAGCTTTAATTTTTCACCTAACTAGTCTAGACGACAATGACCACGTCTCAAGTTATATTTATATATATATTAGTAGAAGCAGTTTATTGATAACATTCTGACACTGTTTTCAGCACTGTTTAACATTCCGGTAGTGATTTCGGCACCCAGCTTGTTATTGGTTAAATAAATTTAAATTGACCAATAAAATTAAGGCTGGTGCCGAATCCTATACCATAGTGTTAAAATGCACCCGGGACGTCGACGTCCAACGCTCGACGGTAACGCACCGTTGAAAACCCGACGTGCCGTGACTGCTTCGCTGCAACGACATTTCGACGTTCCGACGGCGAAGCGGTACATTAGGTTATATCATTGAGTGCACACTAGCGACGGAAAGCAGTGCGTTGAAAATGACGGACCCTGATATAGACACTCAAATATTGATTGAAGAGGTGAGGAGACGTCAAGTGATTCATCAAACGATTTGGAACTTATTCTAAAATAATTGAAAAACTTCTCTTCATTTCTCAGATCCAAAAAATCACGAACAAATGCCCGGGCACTCATATAAGCGTGGACCCAGTATTTTCTTTTTAAAAATATGATACTTATATACATACGTGATATGCAAATAAAACACATTGTTCATGATCAAAATCCATCTTGCGACTTGCGGCGCGTCGAGAGAACTGCATGCGTTATTGTTGAAATTGACTTATGACAATTCGCTGACGCTGGCACAGTCTTAATGGAAGAACACAACTTTTATAAAAAATATATATAGATGAAACATTTGAAACATCTACGGAGTCTAGAAATTTTAAGCCACAGAAGGCACTAAATTACATTGTTTTTTGAACTGAATATATTTTCCTTAAATGGGTTATGTTTTTTCGATTCTGTTATTCCCCAAAATGTAAACCTGTTCTTCCATTTCAACTGAAATTAACCAAGAAACGTAATTTTAGGACTTATACATAGAACGTATACGTAACGTATAACTTTCGATTTCTCGAAATGAAGTGACTGTGGATTAGGTACCTTATTGCCACAGCCACTTCATATCTACTGAACAATGAACACAAAAAACAACGAACTAGTTACATACTAAGTAGCAATGACTGTTTTTGTATACCTACAGGGTGTTTTTAAGGTTGAGTCATTCATTTTAACTGTTTGTAGGACTCGTCAAAAGGAGTTGATATACCAAAAATCACCTATACGTTTTACTATACTATATATATAGTATCATGTGTCGTTTTTCCCTCTCCATCTTCGTTTCCTCAGGTTACACCCGTATCCGGATGTGTGGGCATGTGTATCTACTTTTGTAGTTGCATATGTGCATTCATTTCGGGCCTGATGAAGCCAACCAGCAGAAACACGTATCGCTCGGGTTACCTATCCTATTTTCTGCTCGAATCCACTTTTTACGGATTTTGCCCATTATTTTCCTATTTTTGTTATATACCTTTCTCCGCATGACAATTTTCTCTTTGTAGATCCTTTGGGCTTGAAGTACCAGAGCAAGTGGCTATAACCGGCCGCGTGGTTGTGGTTATTTGTCGCCTTGAAAATTCAAGGTCTTCTAGCCATTTTATACTACAATGTGTAGGTTGGCTCTTGTTGTGGACTTCGTCTGTCTTTTTTTTCCTCTCCATCTTCGTTTCCTCAGGTTACACCCGTATCCGGATGTGTGGGCATGTGTATCTACTTTTGTAGTTGCATATGTGCATTCATTTCGGGCCTGATGAAGCCAACCAGCAGAAATACGTATCGCTCGGGTTACCTATCCTATTTTCTGCTCGAATCCACTTTTTGCGGATTTTGCCCATTATTTTCCTATTTTTGTTATATATATATATATGAGCAGTAGGCATTGCCAAAGCCAACGACCTGTTGGGTACAAAATACAATTAATTGTTAATTGGAAAATTGGCAAATCTTTTAGGCTTAAGTTGACTCTTTTGACGATAAAATCAAGCTTTCGGCATTCTCTATGGAGCCTTCATCAGGATTCTGAAAACACAATTGTGATGCTAGCAAAGAAAACAGGACAGATTTAAATTGTCAGACAACTCGTCGGTGAGGTTACAGCCACAAGGTGTTTCAAAACGAACGTAGAGAAGATCGAACTTGTAATCAGTATAAAAACAAAAGGACGGGGACATTGGGCTTGTTGAAAAAACGGCAGATACCTTCGTTAAATGTTAAAAATATCAATCCACTCGAACAAGTTAAAAATATTACACGTGAGAAGACATTTTGTTGAAACAATCTGAATTCAGTCTCTTTAGCCCAAAGTTCGACAGAGAGGTTTACAGTGCCGTCCCCCTCTCCACGTGTAGCGGAAGTAGAAGGTAGGTCAATCTGAAAGATGTTCCTCTAAATGTGAGACAGAATATCTCGTTCCTACATTATGGGTGTTTGAAAAGTTCCGGAACCCAATGACAATTTGTGAACTAGTAATGATGATCTTGAATTTGACCTTGACCATGACCTTCAAGGTAGGGTGGTACAACTTGAAAACCTGTATTCATATAGGGAAACTACACAGACATTATTTACATTGTTTTCCCCCGGATATCCAATGGTGACCTTAGATCTGACCTTGGTCATGACTCAAGGTCATTTGAAGGCAACTGTTTTTTAATGGGACCCTATTTTTTTGACTGGGCAAATGGAGAAAGGGGATAAGTTTATGCTTGAATATGCCCGTGACCAGTTTTGGAACTTGATCTTAGACTTGTCCATCAAGGTCAAACACAAGTTTACCTTAATTTCTTGATAATTCAGAAAACTGTGTAATCACCAGATAAACTTCTTCACTGTTCTTTCAGGATTGTTCCTCGGCTACAAAAATCTGTCACCTTGGTTCCAAGGTCACCATTGGATATCCGTGGAAAAATCATGAAAATAATGTCTCGGTATTTTTCCTATACGACATCAGTTGAGGCTAAAAACCGAAGTAAAACAGGCATGAGCCTATTAATAAAGTAGGAAGAAGAAGACTGCTGGTTTTCAAGTTATATGAGATATAAAATTGTCCGCTCTTTTCATTTACGGGGTCAAAAATAGGAGATTCCACTTAAAAAAATCGAATTGACCTCCAAATAACCTTGAAGGTCAAATTTAAGGTCGTTATTGAATAGCTGGGAAAACTCCCAACAATCGCAGGGCTTAGTTTTTTCATACCATTATTAATTCACAAATTATCGTGGGGTTTCGGAACTTTTCAGAAAACTTGTTTACATATTACACTGGAATCAAACAGAAGGTCATTTTTTACCAATCTACCTGAATAATCGCGAATTCGCGAAGAATTTTGCCCTTAGCGAAAAACTGAAATCAGATTTGTGATCTGCGTACAGTGTCACCGTAACTTAGTCCATCCCATTACCTCAGAAATCAGTGATACAAAAAATAATAAATAATAAAGTTGGCTGTTGAGCCATGACATGCAATAGTTGCCTCTTTCACTGCTTGGTGAGAGGAGAAATAAACGTAAAAAGAAAATGGATTTGCTGTTGAGTGAACTAGCTTTTTACATTCCATATACCCTGGCAATATTTCCGTGGAATACAATCTAGTTTTTCTCATATTTATGTATTTTTAGCCATCGTTTTGAACGTTACCATGAACGTATTCTCTCAACGAATGTTAATAGTTCACCATAAATTGCTATACGATCAACCTTCAATTTATTAAACAAATTACCTACAAACAAATTGAAGCAACACTAGTTTTTATGAGATGACGCGCATTGCGATTTTGCACTTTTATACCTGTCGAGATATTAACGGACGTATTACCAGGAACCATTAGAAGCTTAAAGCTTAAAGGATTATCCCTACAAACCCCCAACAACCATAGGTCCTACCCCCAAAGGTGTTTCAGAACCATGGTTGAGTTATACGTGCCAAAAACAGTGAACCTTTAGGCAGTTGTTTGTTGAAGAAATGTATCTAGCGCAAAAAGGGAGATGTTTCGGTGTGGTTGTGTTGTAGTTTTGTGGTTTTTGCTATTTTCTGGAACTGGGGACGCAGGCAGAATGCTGATCAGTAAGTAGAACTTAAAATAGGGAAAATACATTAATGGATGTTTACTTGTGAGGTAATCTTTCTAGAAGGACAATATCTGATGAGGTACGCGACTTGATCAGAACTATCACTATTTTCATTCTATTCCTCATATAATGATAATAATAATCAGGCTTTATGTATACAAAGTATAAATAATAATAATAATAATAATAATGTTTATTGGACCAATTACAAAGTTTTCGTATAAATAATAACGGCAATGTCCAATAAACATAATATACCCAAAAAAGTTTACACTTGTTCTTGGGTTTTAACCAAAGTTTAGTTATATTAATACAACAAATTTTCTTCAAGTATACTAGTCAAATGTATAAATTTGCATCATTTTATAATCAAACAACATATAGGTTTTTAGTGTCAACAAACTTATGGATTTGTAGCCTTGGTTGATTTAGGATCCATGATTTTAATTCAATTTTTAAACGTTTTATACATTTTATATGTTTAAGGTTTGCAGAAATAACATTATAAAATTTTGAGCATAGAAAATAGAATGATCTTTGGCTGATAGTCTTATTAAGACTAGGAATTAGTGCAGAGGTTTCCTTGAATCGCGTTTGATGGTTGTGGCTGATAAGAAAGCAACAATTTTGGATTTTTTGTTAAATATATTATTGTATGATAAAAATAAGTTTTTCCGAGAAAAAATGTGTAACCTTTTGAAAATCTAATACATTTTTTTTTAAAGAAGTCCAATCTTTGTCTGAGTAAATAATTGCCGTATCGTCTGCGAAACCAATAACACTGATCAACAGCCAAAAAATATCCTAAATAAAATCAACAAAATATTACTATTTTTAATGTGCTAAAACCGGAATGAAACTTATTTTTTCAATATTAGTTCAAGTTTTAGAGATACGGTAATTATATGTGTTCCTGCTGTGACAGTGTTAAATACTGTAATTCACAAGAATGCACGTGCTACATTTTTATATTCGGCAAGGAAAGATGATGTAATCGGCATGATTGTGTTACGTTATACATACGTGTACATTATATTGTTTTATATTAGCCATCTTTTCCTCAGTTGGCTGACAGCGTTCATGCAAGATGTCTCGAAAGTGTGTAAACAATCCAGATCAGTTTTGTTACGTGTGTGGTGATGTGACTTTTGCGTCTCAGAGACGGTCTATTACTCCACTAATAACAAAGGCATATCAGCTTTATTTCGGTTGTAAACTAGGTGATCAAGACAAACAGTGGGCACCCCACATCTGCTGTAATACATGTGCTTCAAGTCTGAGGAGCTGGTTAAATGGCAAAAAACGGTCTATGCGCTTTGCTGTCCCAATGGTTTGGAGAGAACTTACAAATCATATTAATGATTGTTACTTTTGCATGGTACCTTGTGTTGGACAAGCCACAGGTATGTCCAAGAAAAAAAAATCGGTTATTAACTACCCAAACATACCATCTGCGATGAGACCTGTGCCTCACAGTGACGAAAATCCTATTCCAAAACCCCCAGAATCCTACACTTGCGAATCAGAAAACGAATCAGATCATGGCGATCGAGTGATTCGTCAGGAAGAAGATATGCCATCAACGTCAAGAGTTCCTGATTTTATACCGAGCACGACATGCCACCAACCGCACAAAATAACACAGTCAGAATTAAATGATCTTGTAAGAGATTTAGAACTTCCAAAATGTAAGGCAGAGTTACTTGGATCAAGACTGCAGTAGTGGAACTTGTTAGAAGACGATGTTTCGGTATGTGTTTTTCGTAAACGCCACAAAGACTTAGAACCATTTTTCAATATGGAGAATAACTTGGTTTTCTGCAGTAACATTAACGGCTTACTGGCGGCTTTAAATATAAACTATAACCCAGAAGAATGGAGATTGTTTATAGACATTTCAACATTGAGTTTAAAGGCAGTGTTATTGCATATTGGAAATATTTTACAATCTCTTCCTGTAGGGTATGCAGTTCAGATGAAAGAATCATATGACAATATGAAGTACCTATTGACATGCATAAAATACGATGAGCACCAATGGCATATTTGTGGCGATTTGAAAGTTGTTGCACTTTTACTTGGGCTGCAGCTAGGCTACACAAAGTTTTGCTGTTTTTTGTGTGAATGGGACAGTCGGGCAAAGGCACTTCATTACACCAGACAAAACTGGCCTGTTCGTCAATTCCTAGAGCCAGGTCAAAAAAAAAAATGTGTGGGTCAGCTTTTCAATACCTGCGTCAGAAATTTCCAAGACTAAGTGAGGCAAAGGTTAAAGAAGGTATTTTTGTTGGGCCACAGATTCGAAATATTTTGAAAGATACACAGTTTGAAAACACTTTAACAGGTATTGAAAAAACTGCTTGGAATGATTTCCGTCTGGTGGTCACTATTTTCTTGGGAAATAGAAAAGCTGACAACTATAAAACCCTTGTCAAAAATATGCTGTCATCGTATCAAAAGATGGGCTGTAATATGTCTCTTAAGATACATTTCCTACACTCACACCTGGACTTTTTTCCTGACAATTGCGGAGCCGTAAGTGATGAGCACGGCGAACGTTTTCATCAGGATATTTCAACAATGGAAAAAAGGTACCAGGGAAAGTGGAATCCTTCCATGCTTGCAGACTACTGTTGGACTCTTGGTAGAGATGCTCCAGAAACGATCCATAAAAAAAACAGCAAAAAGACAGCGCATATAGTGATTCTTATAAGTATATGAATCTTGTTACTTTTTTTAATATATCCTTAAAAATAAAAAGTTTTTTTTCTAAACCGCAATTAATTTTTTTATTTCATTGTCATTTTTGGACTCAGCGCCCCAAAATTAACAAAGAAGTGCACTTTTCCCACAAGATACAATTAAAAAACTAAAATTTGTTGTCCAGTGTAATTTCTCCATTGTTTCTTAACTTAAAAAGGTCATTAATATATAAATTCAACAGCATTGGTCCTAATACGGTTACTTGTGGAACTCCGCATCTAACAATCATATTTTCACTCAGTGTACTGTTGAAGTTCACACATTGTGTCCTGTTTTCTAAATAACTTTTCATGAGTTGATAAGTGATTGTACGAAGTCTTAAATTTTGCAAGGTTCTTAATAATTTTTGATGTGTAATGCTGTCGAATGCTTTGGTTAGGTCTACAAAAAGGCATGCTGTTGACTTATTATTATCAACGTACTTGTAAATTTTTGTTGTTTACTGAATAAGCGTATCTTGATTTGATTTTGCTTCCTGGAAACCTATTGCTTTTCAGATATGAGGTTGTATTTTGCAATAAAATCTGAAAAGCGTTTTTTAAGAATTTTTTCAAAAATTTTTGAAAAGTTTGTCAATACTGGAATTGGGCGATAATTACAAGGTTTCTGTTTATCTCCAGATTTAAATACAGGTTTTATTATTGCCTTTTTTAATTGGGTCGGGAACATTCCTCTTTCCATGCAGGTGTTTATAAGATATGCTAATACTTTAGAAATTTTATAATTTATTTGTTGAGTGCATGCGGTTATATTATCAAATCTCGGTGATTTTTTAACTTTCAGTCGCTTTATGATATGTTCAATTTCGTATGTAAATTTTATAATCTGGATGAAAACAACAAAACCTGTTACCAATCCCTGTTCATCGCCATGATCCACCTACTGAACGACATAATCAGAGATAAAATGCTTTAATGTTTTTCCGACCGCTGGCTGTAGCCAAAAGTAACAATAACTCAGGATGTGTTGATTTTATTGCCATCGGTGGAAATAAAAAATAATTAAAACACTAAGTCGCATTAACATTGAAATTAATTCTTATCAACATGAAAACAAAGTATTAAAATAAATGTTCGAACACACCTTCTTCTTGGGTTTGCCTGTGCGATCATTATCTGATGTAACACTTTGGCAACACGGCAGATTGCACGACCTTCTGCGTCACCGTTGCTAGACAATGTGGTGATGACCTTGGCTCTTCAGCCGGCTTCTATCTCTTTCTAACATGTGTTGATACACACTTCTCACGCTTCTCTCTCATACACATTGTACTCAAGCCGTCAGACAAATTTGGTTTTCTCGGTATATACACTTTTAATATTGCTAACACTCTTCAAAATAGCTCTAGTCATTCTTATGGTGATAATATGAAAAGTCTCTGTAGTTTCTCTCCGAACAATTACCACATGGCTAACAACCTCATTAGTCTAGATTTACAATATACAGGGTGGCAGATATGTAACTGACTGGTTTGTATATTGAATATTTGTGAAATGAAATAAAATATACTAAGTGACATATAAATCCGAACACCCAGTTTAAATGGTATTATTTTAATAAAAGTTGGTGAATGTATTTATCTTACTGTAAATAACAAATGAAAAAATTTTCAGCCTTATCAGTTGGACATTCCGGTTTTTATACTGCTTTTTTTTAATTCACTAACGCTCTAAAAATTAATATTTCAGCCGCAGTAAAGAATCAACGTTGGCGGATTTTGGTTCTTGACATCCTTCACGATCGGTTACGATGCCTAGAGTACGGAGACCTGTACGATTTCGTCAACTTAGTGAGTTTGATAGGGGCCGTATAGTGGGACTTCGGGAAGCTGGACTTTCTTTTCGGGCAATTGCAGTTAGAGTGCAAAGAAGTGTAGACACTGTGGTTAGGTGTTGTCAGGCATGGCTTCGAGAAGGCCGTACGCAAAGAGCAAGGGGCACTGGACGCCGCCGTAGAACAACAGACCGTGAAGATCGCCGCCTAAGATTATTGGCCTTAAGGGACCGTTTCTCCACTACCAGGTCCATTGCAAATGAATGGTTTGCAGAACACGGAAGACCTATTGGCATGCGAAGTGTTTACCGACGAATGAGAAGTTTTGGCTTGTTTTCATACTGGCCACACTGGGTCCTCCCTTTAACTCGAGAACACCGACGTAATCGCCTTGAGTGGTGCAGACAACGGTCACTCTGGGATCAGGAATGGAACAGTATTTAGTGACGAGTCTCGATTTTGTTTAGGCATGCACGATGGTCGTGCCAGGGTTAGAAGGCGACGTGGTGAAAGGAGGAATCCACAGTTTTTCGTTGAAAGACATGTTCATCACACTGTTGGAGTTATGGTTTGGGGTGCTATAGCTTATGGTTCCAGGTCACCTTTAATCTTTATCAGAGGTAACATGAACGCACAGCGTTATATCCACGAAGTTCTAGAACCCCATCTTTTACCCTATCTTGACACCCTGGCAGATCCAACTTTCCAACAAGATAATGCCCGACCACATGTTGCAAGAGTCACAATAGACTTCTTTCAACATAATGATGTCACATTGTTACCATGGCCACCAAGATCTCCCGACTTATCCCCAATTGAGCACGTGTGGGATATGATGGGTAGGAGATTGCTCAATTTGCAACGTCCTCCTCAGACTCTAGAAGCACTTCGAGAGGAGTTGGTGGTTGCCTGGAATGAGATACCACAGTAGGACATTGACCACCTGATCAGAAGCATGCCTAGGCGCGTTGGAGAATGCGTAGCACATCAGGGTGCATCCACACATTATTAAAGGTCAAAGGACTTTAAAGCAGTGCAATCATTTTGAAATTTTTATCATTTACTTATTATGCTTCATTAAATATACAAAATTTTATTAAAATAAAACCATTTAAACTGGGTGTTCGGATTTATATGTCACTTAGTATATGAAAATTCTCTGTAGTTTCTCTCCGAACAACTACCACATGGCTAACAACCTTATTAATCTAGATTTACAATATACAGGGTGGCCGATATGTAACTGACTGGTTTGTATATTGAATTTTTGTGATGTGAAATAAAATACGTCCATTTTTTACGCGCAAGCCTGAGCCTGCTTGATTATATTTTCCATTATTTCTTCGTAGGTTTCGGGAGGAATATTTTCAATCACTTCCGAATTATTGCTCTTCAGCTGCTCTACAGTATTTGGTTTATTGGCATAACCCCTATTTTTCAAAAATCCCCATAAAAAAGTCAGGAGCAGTTAAATCGGGTGACCTTGGTGGCAACAAGCGACTCATTATTTAAGTAAAACGTATACTTGCCGTACTCTACGGGCGCCCATATACGTGTATATGGTCATCGAAAAGATATACAAATATCTCAACTTCGCGATTGCAACATAGGATTTGTATTTCAGGTCTTCCATCTGTCAAATGCGATTCTGCGATTGGTGAGGTCTGCATAGAAATAAGAAAATGCCCATATTTTGATGACCTGCTCAATCGAAGTACGATACCAAGACCTCGTGGCGTCATAAAAATAATTCGAGAGAACCAGTGCGGATTCTATGGAAGCATACCATTTGTTTGCTGTAGCAGGTAAGAATATTTGATTATCTGAATCCATATAGAGCACCAAAAATAATGTGACAAAGCCTTATATCCCATGGGCTTACCTACATAGATACAGGCACCTGAAAGAATATACAGGTATTTCAAATTCGACCCTCACCATTGGGATCTCGGGAAATGTAAAGAAATACGAAGTCGCTCAAGTGGGGGGTAAGTCTCCGCATTTAGGTAATTCACAAAATGCCGCTTAGAAAGTTTCGAAATTCAAAATACTTCCGGGGAGAGACGGAAAAAACAATGTTCCCAAAATCGTTTCAAATTTTTCCTGACTTTACTTGTAGTAGGATTTCTAAATAAATCGACACTTTTTTTCCTCTACAAGAAGGCATAAATAGAATTTCAATATGACATATCGTCTCTTGCCCTCCAGCATCAACTTTATTTTTCCATATAGACGCCATATTGGATTTTTGAACAGATGAATAATTTTTTTAATTTTGATTTCAAAAATACATAATATGGCATACATTGTTGTTTTATCAAAAAGTACAGCAAATTTACTAAATAAGACGATATGCTTCATATCCCCTTATAATACTTTTGTACTCGACAAAGACTGTTCGAAAAACAGACCCAATCTGAACGAATTTTAAAACCGCACTTTTTTCCGCTGTCTGCTTCACGTGAAACGTCCCATTACGTGAGACGTATACTAAGTGACATATAAATCCGAACACCCAGTTTAAATGGTTTTATTTTAATGAAAGTTGGTGAATGTATTTATCTTACTGTAAATAACAAGTGAAAAAATTTTCAGCCTTATCAGTAGGACATTCCGGTTTTTATACTGCTTTTTTTTAATTCACTAACGCTCTAAAAATGAATATTTCAGCCGCAGTAAAGAATCAACGTTGGCGGATTTTGGTTCTTGACATCCTTTACGATCGGTTAGGATGCCTAGAGTACGGAGACCTGTACGATTTCGTCAACTTAGTGAGTTTGATAGGGGCCGTATAGTGGGACATCGGGAAGCTGGACTTTCTTTTCGGGCAACTGCAGTTAGAGTGCAAAGAAGTGTAGACACTGTGGTTAGGTGTTGTCAGGCATGGCTTCGAGAAGGCCGTACGCAAAGGGCAAGGGGCACTGGACGCCGCCGTAGAACAACAGACCGTGAAGATCGCCGCCTAAGATTATTGGCCTTAAGAGACCGTTTCTCCACTACCAGGTCCATTGCAAATGAATGGTTTGCAGAACACGGAAGACCTATTAGCATGCGAAGTGTTTACCGACGAATGAGAAGTTTTGGCTTGTTTTCATACCGGCCACACTGGGTCCTCCCTTTAACTCGAGAACACCGACGTAATCGCCTTGAGTGGTGCAGACAACGGTCACTCTGGGATCAGGAATGGAACAGTCTTTAGTGACGAGTCTCGATTTTGTTTAGGCATGCACGATGGTCGTGCCAGGGTTAGAAGGCGACGTGGTGAAAGGAGGAATCCACAGTTTTTTGTTGAAAGACATGTTCATCACACTGTTGGAGTTATGGTTTGGGGTGCTATAGCTTATGGTTCCAGGTCACCTTTAATCTTCATCAGAGGTAACATAAACGCGCAGCGTTATATCCACGACGTTCTAGAACCCCATCTTTTACCCTATCTTGACACTCTGGCAGATCCAACTTTCCAACAAGAAAATGCCCGACCACATGTTGCAAGAGTCACAATAGACTTCTTTCAACATAATGATGTCACATTGTTACCATGGCCACCAAGATCTCCCGACTTATCCCCAATTGAGCACGTGCGGGATATGATGGGTAGGAGATTGCTCAATTTGCAACGTCCTCCTCAGACTCTAGAAGCACTTCGAGAGGAGTTGGTGGTTGCCTGGAATGAGATACCACAGGAGGACATTGACCACCTGATCAGAAGCATGCCTAGGCGCGTTGGAGAATGCGTAGCACATCAGGGTGCATCCAGACATTATTAAAGGTTAAAGGGCTTTAAAGCTGTGCAAAAATTTTGAAATTTTTATCATTTACTTATTATGCTTCATTAAGTACTTATACAAAATTTTATTAAGATAAAACCATTTAAACTGGGTGTTCGGATTTATATGTCACTTAGTATATTTGGGTAGGAAAACCCCGTAAGACATTTTTGATAGGAGCATGTCGCATTATTTTTATGGATTCTACCTATAAGTCAGAGATTCCTATCTTATTCTGGGACACTCTGCATATTAAAAACTTTTCTTATATTTTTTTTATTATCTATTTTTCCTTTCAGATTTGCAGCACCTCCCCCTCCAACGTTACCCCCTCTCCCCTCCCCAACACGTTCAATGCTCCTTGCCGAATCATCATCAACTCGAAGGCCTATTTCGCATATCCTGAGTAGATTCACCACGCTGACGGCACATCGAAATTATGGACAGCTAAGGAACGATATTTGCGGGAGTATCCAGACGAATACCAGGATCACGGGAGGGAAAAAGACTGCTATCAATGAGTTTCCTTGGATGGCACTATTAGCGTATTATCAAGGTAAAGTTCGTACTTCAAATAAAGTCCCATGATACTTCACAAGGGCGGATTTAGGTTTAGGATTTCGTCTAGGGGGAGGGGGGGAGTGGCGCAAACGATATTTGGGGTTGGTAATCTTTCAACCTCAGTGGAACTTCTAGAATTTATCCTATTATTGCTCCTTAAATCCATTGTGTTCTATCTGGTCAATGCCAGCTTGAAAAAAAAAATGAAAATGCTCAAACATCCCCAGAAACGCAATATTTTATTATACGAGAACAAAGTAAGTACTTGGCATTTATAATTAGCTAGTGTAATAATATTAAAGATTAAAACATAAAAAACTTCTTTTCTCTGTTAACCGAAAAAAAACATTCTTAGGGACCCCGAGACATATCCCAGTCCATTCCACACATAACAATGTCTTTGTTGGCGAAAACGAGCATGAGACCGAAAAATTCACGTTATCGTATTGACGTTAGACGAGACAAAGAAAGATGTCTACGAGACCCTTCCCACTTCAGTTGGCCCACTTCAAGATTTGTACCAAAATATGCCTTTATAAACTAATGACGAAACTATTTACTTCTAAAACAATTTATTTTCTCAAAAACATTTTAGATACACTCTAGTCGTAAAAAATACATATTTGAAATCACTTAGACCTATAACTAATAGAACATCTGAACAAATAAACAATGTGCGAATAAATGCGCGAAGTTAACAAAGCAAAAATTGAAAGATTACCATTGGGTAACATCACCTTTATTTTTTATTACGGCTGAAATTCTTTGGGGCATAGTGTTAACCAATTTTTGCAAAAATTTGGTGTAAAACAATCCCATATTTCTTGAAGCTTTTGTCTCAGTTCGGTGATTGTATGAGCAGGATGTTGTCGGAGAACCTTTTTCATCTCGTGCCTCAAAGTTTCAATAGGTGACAGATCTGGACTGCTAGAAACCCATTTCAAAAATGGTACATTATTTTCTTCCATCCATTTTATAGCCTTTTTTGAGGTATGGCACGCTGCACCATCTTGCTGAAACACAAAATCTTGGCCGGATGTCAAACATTCTTCCATCACTGGTAAAAGTGATTCTTCTAAAATTGCCAAATATTTGTTTGTATCCACATTTCCATCAATAAAATGAAGTTTTCCTACTCCTTTTGATGACGTACTGCCCCAGACCATAATGGATGCTGAAAATTTCAATTTTCTCTTCAAACAGTCAACATGGAATGCTTCATTTTTTTGCGAATAACTCTACTGCGACTGTCAACAACACAAACTTCGAATCGGGCCTCATCACTCCATTGTATTGCACACCATTGTTGAGGTGTCCATTGTCTATGTTATTTAGCCCATCTAAGCCGATTTTTCTTTTGCAGTGGAGTTAATAGTGGCTTTTCTTTGGCCTATAAACAAGTTGTGCAACTTTAGGGTTTTTACTTCACTTTTTTTTTATAAGAAAACTTACCTTGCAAGTGCTAAATCCCAGTTTGTGGCTTCTCTATGAGTTGTGGACCTCGAAATTCTCCTTCCAACAGCGTCACTCCACAGAGCACTTAATTGTAAATAATTGGCACGTCTGTTTTTCACGATTATTCTTCTTAATACTCTTCGGTCGGCATTTGACATATTACTTTTTTTCACATATCGTGGCTTAACATTAACTGAATCTGTTACGTTATATCTTCTAACAATATTTCTCACACTGTACCGCGATAAGTCTAACAAAGTTGTAATTTCTGAGTTTGATTTCCCAGAATTATAAAATTTAATTATCAGTAACCGAATTTTCTCACTAATAATCTTTCCTCTACCCATTTTGAAAACTACCCAAAACTATTTTAAACGTATTCTGACAGCTGTGATTAATAAAAACAATTGTCATGGCTTTTATTTTTCACAGCCACCTATGCGTTATAGACTTATTTTGCATTGAAATGAAAATAGGCTGATATGCTGTAATTGCAACATGTGTTATTTTTATGCTGCAAATTTGATTAGGGAGTGATAAAGTTGGTGTTTTCTACTATATATATTTTATCAAAATATTCATTGTTAATATTTTAAACCTATAACATCCTGCTACATTTTTATTATTTGTGTTTGATAAGAAAAAAACTATTATTTCAATAGTTGGGCCAGCTGAAGTGGGAAGGGGCTCGTATATACCATCTATAGATCGTGTCTTGAGACCGCCTCCAGACCCGCCTATAGACATATTGCCCAACGGGGTCTACTAGTGTATACTAAGCTTAAGGATTAAGACTCTGAACTGCCCATTAAACAAATCAAGTAGTTGGTGCAAATACTGACACAATTAAGCACTTCTATTATATCAGTAGGTGATGAAAATATCAATAGTTATAGTCAATTATTTTTTGAAATTCAATATAGATGTTACAGTTGTTCTTCAGACTTTCGTTGTCGAACTCAGATTTACGGCATAGTTGTTGATTTCTCAGTTTTCGAATCAGTGTTGATCGCAAGTAAAAATGTTGGAAATCTTTGGAAAAAACTATATCTGACGTAATTATTTTGATAACGAAACAACTACAGGAATGCAGAGAATATACATATTCACGTGTCGTGCAGAAGCTCTGTGATTTAAACGAATTCAATATAGCAACATAAATAGACACATAAGCGGGAAGAGATGCGGGACGTGTGGTATTGACTTTGAGCATCGATCAACGCATTTTCTGGACAGGTCACAGGCGCACCGCTAAACAAATCTCATAAATGTCTATTTCCAATTTAGGCGTTCATCTAACCCAGTGCTTCGCTGCAACACCAACCCCGAACGAAATCAGTCAAGCTTTACACACTTTTCAGATTACTATTGAACAACAAACAGAACATAAATCACTTTTTAAGTGCAATCTATATAGCTAATATATTACTAAGACTTAGATTTGTCACAAGTCACAATACTCGTATATACGTATAAATCGTAAGAATTGTACTGTAAACGTAAGTGATGTCAAAGAGGGACATCGTTTGGAATACCAAAGGATGCTGTGCTGATTTCCAATATTAGTTTTAATGAGTCCCCAAAGAGTTGCTGTAATTTGGTTACTGTACCAGCGTTTAAAGCGTCGAAAAATTAAGCGAAAGTTCTGGACTCACTTTTCTCTTTGGACTCCATTTCTTTAAAATCCTCATTCAGTTCGCAGCAAACTTGGCTCCATGCTTCTCTAGTAGCGTTTCTGCCTTTAAATATGTCCAAAGTTTTATCCCATAAAACTGGTCTTGCTTCCACTAGCGCAATAAGTATGTCATTATCGATGTTCATCTCTTTATCCATTGTAAACGTATATGCAGTCATAATCACGGCCATTAAATAATAGGCGAGTGCGCAAGCTCCTATTCAAATACGTATGCCCGGTACCAGTGCATCACAGTGACAATGTCCGGCTGCTAACCGGCTTTTTTCCGGTGCCGGTCGATATTTTACCGGTCGTCCAAAATCGGTGTGTGTGCAAGTAGCCTACAGATTCAACTAATATCAGCTATGCGCTTTCCACAGCGGTCGACTCTGGTTGTGGTGTCTTATTTCGACAGACCGTATAATAGAGGATAGTTGCAATGCTTTTATTGGTTCGTCCAGAGACAAGAGACCAAGCCTAGATCACGCTGATGAGTACGGAAACGTGGCTATCAAAAGATATATCTAATGACCATATAAGAATGAATGGATACAACTGCTATCGCTGTGATAGAGATGGGCAAGGTGGTGGGGTTGCAGTCTTTGTAAACAACCACTACAACTCTTCCATAACTTCATTTGGGCAAGGCCCAAGTCTTGAATATATATGGTTGAAGGTACAGCTTCCAAAACAAAAAATTGCTATTGGTATATTCTATCGGCCCCCACATAGCTCTGTTACAGAAGCCGGTAATACCTTTGATAACATGTTGCCTGCCATATTAGCTGAATATGATGATATCATCCTTGCAGGGGATATCAATGTTAATTTGCTTTTAGTTTGTAACAAATTGACTTAATGCCTTGATTCTTATAATCTGAAACAGGTGATATCTGAACCGACTAGGATAACTGAATCGACACTCACTCTCTTAGATCCTATTTATTTGAGCAAGCCTGAAAGTTGTCTTAGGGGTGGCACTATTAATGCTGATATGATTACTGATCACTATTTAACCTTCTGTGATATACGTATTGCACTTCCTAAAAATCAACAGAAATTTGTGACATTCAGGGATTTCCATAGTTTAAATGAAATAGCGTTTGTACAAGATCTCAAGAGTTTTCCATGGTGGCACATTATATCGATAGATGACATTGAAGATAAAATTAACTTTTTAACAGATAGTATTTTATGTTTATTTAATGTTCACTGTCCAAAAAAGGTAGTGCGTGTAAACAAAGCTCCAGCTCCTTGGTTGGATGATAATATTAAACTTGTATTCAAGCAGAGAGCTGAAGCTTTGTCAAAGTTCAAACGTGATCGTACAGCCGCCTCTTGGCAACAGTATACATATTTCAGAAATCGTGCATTAACGCTCGTGCGAAGAGGAAAAAGAGATTATTTACAAGCTGTTCAAAATCAGGATATAAAAAATTTTATAAGCCCCTAAAGACTTTCAAAGTACAATCGCAATCTCAGAAAGATTCTACAATTCCCGTGAGCTTGTCAGATCCTTATAAAATAAATGAGGCATTCATTTCAATTTTCGAGAATAGTGTTTGAATAGTGAAATTGATGTGTACTTAACGCATATTATAAACTGCTGTTTAGAGAGGGGATATTTCCCCAATCAGTGGAAACGCGCTATAGTTATTCCGCTACCTAAGTGTTCTGATCCTACTAACTATGGTTAACTGAGACCGATCAGTCTACTGCCAATTTTTTCTAAAGTATTGGAACGCGTTGTTTACGAGCAGCTCTGCGCCTGCTTATATTCTAACAAAATTATTCCATCTAAACAATCTGGATTTCGACAAGGTCATAATACAGCTTCGGCACTCTGTGATTTAACAGACAATATA